ACTTCACTCTTTCCTCAGATCAATGCTGACAAAAAACTATAATTCTCTCTGTAATTAAATTGTATTTCATAAGTAATCTTGTGATTTGAATGGTTCCTGTTTGTGTTGTACTTTTCGTGGAATAGGCGTCTGAAAATCCCATGGGGCTTCTCTCTTTTCTTGAACCCCTGAGCTGTTTTGTCTTTGAACGACTACAAAAGGAAATGATTTGTGCGGAAAAGTATGAAACCCGAAATATCAAAGAACAGGGGAGAAGGTGAAAAATCGGTTTGTATTGGATTGAATACGTTTTTAAACTTTTTGATCATTTAACAGACGTTTGTCTCTCTGCTTTGGGACATTTAGCCCTGAGCCTGAGCCTGAGCCTTAACCAGAGTCTGAGCCTGAGCCTGAGCCTAAGCCTAAGCCTAAGCCTAAGCCTAGCCATAAGCCTGAGCCTAAGCCTGAGCCTGAGCCTGAGCCAGCCTAAGACTAAGCCTAAGTCTAAGCCTGAGCCAGCCTAAGCCTAAGCCTAAGCCTAACCCTAACCCTAAGCCTAAGCCTGAGCCTTAGCCAGAGCCTGAGTCTAAGCCTGAGCCTTAGCCTTAACCTGAGCCTGAATTGTGTCAATTTTTGAAAACTAGCGTAACCTCTAGCTTTTAACCATTTATCAACTTCAAAGCTTTTCTTATTCTTCATGAACTCTCACAGAATGAAATAAAGCTTAAATACAGGTTTTCCCAAAAGTTCTCCTATGTAAGCAGTAATTTTTTTGACTTGAAAACACGTGAATTCCTCAAAACTAACACCGAATTCTTTAAATTCAGGTATTTTTACCCCCATATACCCATTTTCATATAAAGCTTTGAACTCACAACAACTTTTTTGACTAGAACTTTTTATTAGGTTGGTGCAGATGAAACTTCCGTCACACTTGTTTGTTTATATTTTGAAACTAATAAAAGTTTTTATTGAAGATATTTGTCTATCTGAAAGAGCGTCTCTTTGCGCGTCTTTTGCTATCTAAGATTTAAGCGTTTTACTTAATTTGAAGCAATTTTCAGCTTCTAGAAAATGGTTGACGAAAAATTTCGAGTGCGGGTTTGCTTGTTGTATGATTTTAAACAAGGCAGAACGCCTGCGGAATCTCATCGTGCTCTGTGCAAAGCATTCAGCGATGACGTGTTGTCCGAACGTCAATGCCGGACTTGGTTTCAGCGCTTCCGAGACGGTGATGAGAGTTTGGAAGACGAAAAACGCGGGAATCCGCCTCAAATTGTCGACAACGATGAGTTGAAGAACGCTATCGAATCGGATCCATGCCAAACAACTCGGGAGCTTGCAGAGCTGTTTGACTGCGACCATACAACCATTCTCCGCCATTTGCACGCAATTGGTAAGACGAATCGGTGTGGAAAATGGGTGCCACATCAGCTCAGCGACGCAAACAAAGCGGCTCGAGCTACAATGGCTGGAATTCTCGTCCGCCGCGCAAAGACCGCCGGTTTTCTCGACTCCATTGTTACGGCAGATGAAAAGTGGATATGTTACGACAACACAACAAGAAAACGGCAGTGGTTGGGCGCCGGTGAACCGCCAAAACCGACTCCCAAACCGAATATCCACGGAAAAAAGGTGATGCTTTGTATTTGGTGGAATAGTAAAGGTTTCGTGTATTTTGAGGTGCTGGATTCGGGCCAAAGAGTCACGGCGGATCTCTACAAAGCCCAATTGAGCCGCGTGGACCAGGCATTGCGTCGTCAAGGCAATAACACGGCGACTACAAAATTCCTCCACGATAACGCTCGACCCCACACCCCGAAGATCACTCAGCAGAAAATCGAGGAATTGGGCTGTGAAGTTCTGCCTCGTCCGCCATATAGCCCGGACTTGGCCCCATCCGACTATCACTTGTTTCGGTCGATGCAGCACTCTTTAGCAGAAAAAAAAAATTCAAAAACCGCGAAGAAGTTGAGTGTCCAACTTCTTCGAGTCGCAGTTGCCCGAGTTCTTCGAAAAGGGCATCCATTCTCTGCGTGGAGTCATTGATAATGATGGCGCAAAGAGTCATTGATAATGATGGCGAATATCTTTTGGATTGAGGTTCTGTATTAGGATTTTTATCATAAGTTTTGTTTATGGTTCCAACGGAAGTTTCATCTGCACCAACCTAATACATCGAGGTCTGGCCGCTGAAGATTTTTTGCGAAAAGTTGACTTAAACTTTGCAGAATGAATTTCTTTTCAGAAACTCTTGTTACCATTTGATAGAGCAAAGCTTTTTCTTGAAAACAGGCTACAAACGAACTTTGTATCTCAAAAAGAAAAAGTTTTTCAAGCGATTCTACGAAGGGCACTCAAATCTCAAAAGCTTTTTTGATCATTCTCATCAAAAAGTTGTTTAGAGTTACAACTTTTATGTAAAAAAAAAAGTATAGTAGAGGTAAAAATACCTATTTTCATAATCTGGTGTTAGTTTTTCAAAAAAATAGCCTCTTTTCCAAGTAAAATTGTCCGTTTGTCCGTCAAACAAAAAGTAAAACTTTTGAGATTACCCTGTAGCTTTAACAAAACTGAGATAAAATTACGGTAGCTTTCAAAAAGTTGACATTTTTTACTAGTACTTTACTAGTGCAATACTTGAGAGAGATCATTTCCTTCTGACTTTTGTATCCTTTATGAATAAAACGTAGATACACTACTGGACAATGAAATATCATATTTGAAAAACGATCGTCACTTTCGCGCTTCTGTAACTCCCTTATCTTTACCGTATTTTTAAATATTAATATTACCATTGTGTAGCCCTTGAAAAGAGCTTTCAGAAAATGTATAACACTAATAGTTTAAACTCAAAGACAACGGAGTTACAGACGCGCGAAAGTGACGATCGTTTTTTCAAATATGATATTTCATTGTCCAGTACTGTACGTAGGATTGGTATTAGTTTTATGGGATACTGGTATACTTGTATTGCATGATTTTCAACACGATAGAACTTCCAGTAGCCGAGATCACCGAGATCACCGAAATACGGTAAAGACAAAGGAGTTACAGAGGCCCGAAGGTGACGATCATTTTTTAAATGCGATATTTCATTGTCCAGTACTGTAGATTTAACAAAAAATAAAGACAGCATTAGCTTTCAAAAGTTGACAAGTTTTAGAAAATGCTTGAATTTAAAGGAATAGATATAGATATATAGATACTTTAAAGGAATATATATAAATAGATACTTTATTCAGGAGCTGAGCTAAAGTGCGCTAGATTTACGATTAAAACACATGAATTCATACACATAACACGAAAAGGGCCGATAAAAAGCAACAGGAGATAATATATGGAATATATGGGTAGCACAGATAACGTCAAGGATCCACTAGAGCTTCAAGATCAAGAGCTTCAAGATCAAGATCATCTACAGATAATTTAAAGGTTTCGAGACTATTGGACCCTCTCAAAACTCTGGGGAGTCGATTCCAAATTCTGGCAGTTCTTATTGGAAAAGAGTTATAAACAAATTTATTGGAGGTGACTGGAATTTCTAAAACGAAAGAACCTCTCCTTGAACTAACCGTGGGATTAACTTTGAATAAATCTCGAAAAAGAGGGATTGGTTGCCTGCCCTTTACAATTTTGAAACATTCTAAGTATTGGGTTGGTGGAAAAGTCCTTTCCGATTTTTTGGGAGAGTACCTTAAGGCTTTTTTCAGGAATGTCGTGGCCAGTTGAATCGGAGGAGCACCAGCGACACCTGTTTTTGTATGCATTCAACATTTTTGTATGCATGTATGAAAACCCAATGCCGCACAGGCTCATCGAGAGATTACTGACGTTTACGGACCCGATTTCGTGACCGAACGAACTATCCGGAATTGGTTTCAACGATTTCGTGAAAAATTCCTGAAAAAAGCCTTCTAACAACATCAAAAAAATGATAAAACAAAAAAAAAACGAGAAAAAGTTATACACAGACTTATTGGAGGTGTCTAATAGTTTCTATCTTGATATATTTTGTCATTTTAACCCATTCGAAACCGCAGCGTTTTTTCTTTTTTTTCGTCTACGGACCAAGCCCTTTTTTGACATTTTTGACTCCGAAGTAGTTTATTTATGGTTGGAAAGATGCAAGAGAGTCTCCTACACCATTTATTTTTGATGAAGAACGATTTGGATTTGACTTCAGTACTTTTCAAAATCCTATATTATTCTTATTTTATCGACGACAAATTAATCAGCATGTTAGTAGTCGAATCTAATAAACATGGAAAAAGGAAAAAAAAACTGGCAGGATTTCGATGCAAGCTCTTCCTGGCTCTGTATCGTGACTACTGGAGTAGCAGGCCTGGATTAGGAGGATTTTCCCACATGTCCCACATTATGTCAAGAGCAAAATTTGAATCTATTCTTCGAAACCTGCGTTTTTGTGATAATGAACTGGATCCTGCGGGAGATCGGCTTTATAAGATTAGAGCTATTATGGAACATTTCAATGCAAAACCAGAGACTGCATTGATTCCGGGTAAATATAAAACATCTTCTTTGCCCACGTAATTTGTAGATCTGCTACAATTGGAATATACATGCAATGCTGAAAAACAGCAAAAAAAAACCAATTAATTGAATGAAAATAGCTCAATTAGCGCTGCAGCGAATAATCGCTGCAGCGGTCCGTTCCTGAGTTTTTGCTGCAGCGATTATTCGCTGCAGAAGTTTCGAATGGGTTAATAAATTGCTATTTAATTATGATTTTCAAAACTCAATGGAAACAGTAAAAAATTTGTTTTTAAACTGAAATTTTGGCAAGCAATCGAAGTTTTGTAGTTTTAAAGCAAAAACTGTTTATACACTTTAAATTTTCATAACTTTTTTCTGAAAAAGTAACTTCTTGTGGCTTTAAAAAGCAAAAATCTTCGTTAAAACATAGAAATTTTATTACTTTTAACGTCATACAATACAATAAAATCAAAAAATTTTTATGCAAAACTCGTGAAGGCAATCAAATTTGTCCTTCAATTTCAGGTACGAAGCGCTTGCGCATTCTTCTCGATACATGTCTCACGACGAACACAACTAAATTCAAGAATAAATAGTTTTCAAATGTTTTCAAAGCAAGATCATCAAGATCAAGATCATCAAGAGCAAGATCATCAAGAGCAAGATCATCTACAGATAATTTAAAGGTTTTGAGACTATTGGACCCTCTCCAAACTCTGGGGAGTCGATTCCAAATTCCAAATCCAAATTCTGGCAGTTCTTATTGGAAAAGAGTCATTCAAAACTGATTGGAAGTACTTATTGGATTTTAAATACAAACTCAGCATTGTTGGCTTCACTGGTGCGGACGAAACCCTCTTGACACATGCATTTTGGCCCACCGCATCTCAACGAAAAGCAAGAGGAGACCTGGAAATGGAAAAGTGTGAGATGAATGGGATTTTGGTTGAAAGATCTGATTTTTAATAAGTTTACGTTACGTTTAACGTAAGTAACGCTTTACGGAAACAACGTCGCTATCTTCGGCTGAACCGTTTCCAGCGAGTCCGTTCCTTAACCAGAGAAGAGAACTCTGGCTCGGGCCTAGCTAGGTGTCACCGAGTTCATTTGCGTTACCGCCCGATGCACTCAGAAGAGTACAAATCTCCGTATCCGGGTACGGGAATATTGACGAGAAACTATTGAATGCGTCAGATTGGGTAATGTCTGGCTTGAATCAAATGTGGCGTGTAGTTGAAAGGTTCCCAATTGAATGACTCATTTATCTCTCTCTTAAACTTGGATAATTCAACCATGCTAAAAAAAACAATGGAAGGGAGAGAACAGAAGACAATGTGGAATGGTTAAAGATTGCTTTACGTAGATAGATTGCTTTACATGCATAGATTACTTTACATACATAGATTACTTTACATACATAGATTGCTTGACATACATAGATTACTTTACAGACTAACAATTGGGACGACACAGTGTGAGCAAATGAGAAAAATTAATTGCTTTACTGTTTCTGCTTGCTGCTTTTCGCGCATAGCTGAATAGCCTTCGCTTACTGAATTGTTTTTCTGTATTTCTACGGTGATTTAAGCCTTGTTTAAGAGATTTAAGATCAAAGCTACGCATTTGCCTTGACTTAGTGACATTTGTCGCGAAAAGCTAGTTATGACAACAAATCTACAAACTCACCATCATGATATTCCCACAGTGTTTCTCCGGGCACAAATTCGAGCACTCTCTCCACTCGGCGTTTGCTGGGCAAGTCTCTGAAATGGGTTTTTTTGTTGGAAAATGGTTCTTGTTAAGCATAAAAGTTTTGATTTGCCTTTGTTACTTCATTTTTGTTAGACTTAGCTTCAAAGCAAATCAATCAAAGGTTAGAAATATCTGTAAAATATAAATCTACACTAAAAGGCTGATTTTAAGACTCAGCGGATATCTTACAATTATCAAACTTACAAGTAAAACCGAATTTCAAAAAGTTCACTTGATAACTCCTTTTGATCAGCTTTATGAGCGGCGAGCTCATCGCTTGTCAACATTGGCGTAATCGGAATAGCCAATCCGACTCCGATGAACGAAAAAAGGAAAAGGCAATACATTTTCTGGAATTTCACATTCTTTTTCTTCAGATCGATTTCAGAAAAAAACATCGTAAACAGCGAAAAATCTTATTTGGCACCAATTTCACTTTTTCCCTGCAAGGCGGTCAGCGTCGCGGTCCAACCTCATTTATTTCCATTCATTGGAAACGGGAAAGAAAACGAAGAAATTGAGAAAAGTCAATACTTGAGGAAATTCTCAGAAATTCTCAGAAATTCCTTATTTCCTTATATGGGAATTAGAAATTTCTGAAATTTTTGGCTAAATCTGGCTAATTTTTGGCTAATTTTTGGCTAAATGGAATTTTTGGCTAAATCTTTTTCAAGCATGAACTTTTAGAAGCCTCAAGACTAGAAGACTAGTCTTGAGCAATTTCTTGATCAACTTGAGCAACTTGAGTCTTGAGCAACTCAAGCAATTTCAACGATTTTTCATTTTTTTTGTTTATCGATGAACTTTTTGCCTTAAAAAGTCTACAAAATTTCAATAATGGTTCCAGAATGAGAGAAATATTATGAGTTCCCCGGGTCCTTCCTCTGATACGGATTCGATTGGATCGAAACGAGATGATGCAAGCCCAGAAGTGCCTGAATCAGTGCCCGACTCATCCCCGTCACCCTCCGAAAATGATCCTCCACCAAGGCCACCGGCTCCAAAAAGGTTTCTTGCAAAACATTAAGTACTCTAACGTTATATAATCCTATCTATTGTCGACTGAAATCTTGCTACTTAAAATATTGATAATGAAAACCCTTTCTGGGGCTTTTCTGGGGCTTTGGAGAATGCTCTTTTTCGATAAAAACATCAAAATCTGCTGGCTTTGATATACCGTATTCCTTCGAATAGAAGACCGGGTAAAGAGTATCATCGCCAATACCAAAAATTCAGATTAACCCCCGAAAGCACCCCACAGCACGTCGCGCAAAGTGCTGAGGCCAGTCCCCTGCATGGACTCTACGAGAAATTCGGACAGAAAGAAAAGGAAATCGAACGGTGGGAAGATTAGTAGAGTAACTAGTAACAAATTCTACAAAGTATTAGTAACAAGACCATAGATCTTCCAATTTTAGACTCGAAAAGCAAAACACTGACTATCGCGAGCAGCTGATAAGGACGATAAGAGAAAGGGATTTGAATGAGGGGCTGCTGAAGGTTGGTTTTAAAGACTAATTGACTCGAGAGATCGGGAACCAAATCTAGAGAGATAGGGAACCAAATTTAGAGAGATAGCTAACTTTTTATATCATTGTGCAGAGAACATTTCAGGCTTTCAAATGATACCAAATAGAGCTTGACTGGATTATTCATTCCCATGAAAACCAGGCGGCACGACACCCGAGTTGGATAGGTCTCATTTGCTCTCATTTGCTCATTTGTCTCACCAAATTTAAAGAGATAGGCAACCAAATTTAACGAGAGATAAGGAACCAATATTAGAGAGATAGGGAACCAAATTTAGTCAGATAGGGAACCAAATTTAAAGAGATAGGGAACCAAATTTAGAAAGATAGGGAAATTTGAATGAGGGGCTGCTGAAGGTTGGTTTTAAAGACTAATTGACTAAACGGGAAGGATTTTTTTTGTTAGGAACGATCGTAATTATGTAGGCTAGTTTAAAGGGCTAATATCATGATCTCTATTAGAGATTAGAGCTAAGAAATTGTCAATGTAATGAAAAAATTTTAGACATTCGGTAAAAAATTGAATTCAACTTTAGAATGTTCGCGACGAGCAAGCGGGGAAATTCGCCGAGCTGGAGAAAAAAGTCTATGATCTTGAGTCACAGCTACGGGTTACAAAGGTATTTTGGACAAAAATCAAACTGATAAACATACGACAATGATTCAAAGGTAGAAGTGATTCAAAGACTTCTTTCAGGACCGTGCCAATGCTCAAGAGTTACACTACAATAATACAACAAAGGACTTGACGACAAAGTTCAACACTCAAGTGGCTCAAGTGAGTAATTCAAATTTTTGAAAAAAGAAGTTGATAAGTATTTTTAGTTAACAAAACGGCAAGAAACGGCTGAGAAAGAGAAAAACGAAGCAGTGGTGAAATACGCAATGAAAGAAGGGGAGATCATGAGGGTTGTTGAGGAAAATAAGCGAAAAGTGAGTTCAGATTTGAATTATTGGGTTGGTGAATTGAAAACTGCGGGACTTTGAATTATTGGGTTGGGACTTTGAACTAAAATTTATTGAACATAAAACCATGAATTCATTCCAAATAATTTCCATTATTATTGACGACTTCTGCCCATTTTACAGCCAATTTGCGGATTCCTCTTTCGTAGTAGGATTTTGGTTTGTGTGAGACAAGTGTGAGACTCAAAAATGGAGGACTCGAGATGGAGACTGGAGATCCCAGTTTGAGCACTTTCTTCAAAAGAAACCCATTTTGGTGTCAATAGAAAAGTTGTAGAGAATCAAAAATTAGGCTTATAGCCAAATTTCCAAAAAGATACACTTACTAGTTTCGCTTAAAATGCAAGTTTTGTGAAAATTCGTAAATTTAGCATTTCTTGAAAATCAGTTTTTGGATGGTTCTGAAAATTTGGTTATAAGCCTAATTTTTGATTCTCTACAACTTTTCCATTGACCCCAAAATGGGTTTCTTTTGAAGAAAGTGCTCAAACTGGCACATATGAAAATAGCCCGCAGTTTTCAACTCACCAACCCGATAAATTGAGATTGGCCTCGATTTAATCAATGTCGTATTTGACAAGTCAATGTCGAATTTGAGGCTTCGGAGACGGTCAGATTAGTTTGCGTAAGAGAGAGGGAAGGGGGTTATGTAAAAGCCCTGCGCCAGACGACGAGCGATTACGCGGCCGCACAAAGAACACACAGAACAAATTTACGAACTTTCACAGAACTTGGTTTTTAAGCGGAACTACTAAGCGTATCTTTTTGGAAATTTGGATAGAAGCTTGGTTTTTGATTCTCTACAACTTTTCCATTGACCCCAAAATGAGTTTCTTTTGAAGAAAGTGCTCAAACTGGCACATATGAAAATAGCCCGCAGTTTTCAGCTCACCAACCCAATAGATATGGGCTGAATTGATTTAAGTGAAAAAAATAAATATAAAACATGTTTTCATATAAACATGAAATTAGGGGAATTCAATAATTGCGCGTCGAGTTACAGTCGAAAAACCGAGTTTCCATAATTGTGCGCCATCCTGTAGTTTAGTTTATTTTCACTAAATTATCAGTAAAATAGTAACGACTACGCGACTGTACATTCAAAGTGCCGTCGTCGTGAATGTGTTAAAAAGATTTATTCTTAAAGGTACTGCAAAGTTAGTTCCATTTTCCGAGATCAAACCCTCAATCTTTTCAAGGCCAAGATTCACAATCTTTGGAAACAAACGACGCAGCAAACGAGGAAACGACGAATTTTATCGGTTAAAAGTATTTAGTCTTGAATGTAATAGGGATACTGGGCTTTTAAAACCTTTAAAAGATTACAGTACCTTTAAAAACATATCCAAACCAAGCCCAAATTCTATTTTCAGGAAGAGGACAATAAAAAGTTGAAGCAAGAGTTGGACGAGTTCCGGAAAAGCGCCGACCATCAACGGGTCACCGATTTGGTTAGTGTTTCGTTTAACAAAAAGGAAATTAGATTTAAATTAGATAACATTTTAAAAGTTCTAAACTCTCTTAAACAAACAACTCCAGTTTTATTTTTCAGGAAAAAGCCAAAGAAGCCCTGACAGTCGAATTAGAAAAGGTGAAACACGAGCGTTTCGATTTGGATAATCGGCTAAAAATCTCGGAGAAGAGGCTTGAAGTTGGAAATGTTTTAAGGGAAGAAGAAATAAAAGAAATTCAGGTAGTACAATTGGCTTTAAACGATCAAAAGCAACAAAATGAGGTTTTGCGAAGACAGTTGATGCAAGTGAAAGAAGAGAAATCGATGTGCCAAGAGACGATTCGGAGCTTGGAATTGCGGATACAGGTTAGCTGAATATTTCTGGCTTCAGTTGAATGTTTGAAAAAAGAAATGTTGGTAATGTTGTTAATGTTGGTAATAATTGGTAATTCTTGCATTTTTACTGCATTTCAGAGTGACTGTGAAAAGAAGACGGTGGAAAGCGAAGAGGCAAACAAAGTGCAAAACGAGAGAGAGGAGATTTACAGGTTTGTCTCAAACTCAAAATCTCAAACAAGCCAATCCATTGCACAAATAAAGAATGGGTCAGCACACAAATACGAGATCATTCATCGAAATACGAGATCGAAAAAGAAGAGTTTTCTAGATTAGTCATAAGAAAGTATTTTAGGAATATTGTGGAAGAAGTGGCTCGAACAAAGAAGTTAAATAGAGAGCTGGGAGAGAAAGTCGAGGAGTTGACGAGGTGAGTGAGAATGAATTGTGAGTGATTCAGAGGGAATAGTTAGAGTAATTCAAGTAAGTAAGTAAGTAATTTAAGTAAGTAAGTAATTTATAAGTAAATCAGAAAGCTTCAAGTATAATAAACCCTGGTTTTTACAGTACAAGTTCGCTGAGAAGTTCTGTCTCTGAGAAGCTCGCTGAGAAGCTCTAGATTTGGCTCTATAATAAAACTTATAAAAGCCAAAAGTGTCTCAAAGTTTAATGACCAATTTTTACTTTTACGCTAACCATATAAACAAATCCAAAAGTATGATTTCAAAGCTTTTTTATAAGTATAAGTATATGTCGTAGCCGAATATGAATGAGTGGGTCTACGAGCGTCCAACCGTCAAGTATTTGGTATCATTCAACGCAGAATCATTAATAATTATGTTAAATTTTTAAAATTAGAAAGATTTAATAAAAAGAAAAAAAATTAGAGCAAAAAAACTGTTTGCTCAAGAGGAAACTTGGAGGCCCCATAATTTTTTTTCTTTTTATCCAATCTTTCTAATTTTAAAAATTTAACATAATTATTAATGATTCTGCGTTGAATGATACCAAATACTTGATGGTTGGACGCTCCTAGACCCGCTCATTCATAATCGGCTACGACATATAAACAGTTTTTGCTTTAAAACTAAAAAATTTCGATTGCTTGCCAAAATTTCAGTTTACAAACAAATTTGTTACTGTTTCTATTGAGTTTTGAAAATAATAATTAAATAACAATTGATTAAAATGACAAAATATATCAAGATAGAAACTATTAGTCACCTCCAATAAGTTTGTGTATAACTCTTTTCCAATAAGAACTCCCAGAATTTGGTTTTGGAATTTGGAATCGACTCCCCAGAGTTTTGAGAGGGTCCAATAGTCTCGAAACCTTTAAATTATCTGTAGATGATCTTGATCTTGATGACCAGTTTTGGTTTCCTTAAAAGCAAATCTAGATAGCCTATCCGAAAGAGGGATCATTTTTTTCTTTAAAACTTTACCTTACATAGTCTGATTGCTTTTGAAATTAGAGTTTTGAGATTTTGAAGTTTTGAGAGCCTTAAACATTGTGATTTGAGCTTAAAAATCGCGGGAGTTCAAGGAAGTTGCGTAAGAATTGATAGAAAAAAACTAAAAATGCACTTCAAAAAGCAAATACATTTGCTCTTTAAAACAAACATATAAAAAAGGCAAAAATAGTCGACTTTTCTAAATTTAAGCTCTATTTTGCTCTATCTTGACGGAGTTTTGTCATAAAGACATATCTATTAAATGCGGACAGAACTTTTCACTGTATTGAAGTAATTGAATTGAATTGAAGTAATTCTGTAACTGTAATTCTGGAAGTAATCCTGTATGGAAGTGATTCTAGAAGTAACCCTGTCTGGAAGTGATTCTGGAAGTCATTACTGTTGAATTAACAAAACCAGTCCCCGGTTTGGCTTGAAGAAAGTGTTTTTTCTTTGCGATTTGCCAAAATAATCAAGTAGATCTGCGCAAATCTTAAGAAATCTTAAGAAAATCTTAACAAAATCGACAAAACAATGCGCTTAAAAGAAGAAATTTCTACAAAAGAAACATTTTGCGAAGCTATGTAGTAGATGAAGTCTACTCTCACCCATTTATAGCCTGGTAACCGTTCTCATAGACAGCTATATCCATTAGTTATCGTTAGGATAACTTCAGATATTTCATACATCAATTGCAAACGGATATGACTCACCATTTCAATAAAATAAAGAAAACGGGAAAACTTATGAAAACGGATTGTTTATAGGGAAAACACATCGCTTTTGACGAATCTCCAAACAATCGAGACACAACTAAGAAAAGAAGAAATCGAGCATCTCTCCGCGAGAAAAAGAGTCGATGAATTGGAAGGGATTGAGAGAAAAGTGAATGGGTTTGTTTTTGAGAGAAATACTTTTGAGATTAATCATTTGGATTGATCAATCATTAGATCAATCAATCATTATTAGAGGATATCAGGGAAAAAGCTTTTATGTGGAAAAAGAGAGAAATAAAGTTTGGCTCTATGTTTTTTAATGGAGGAGTCTTTAGCAAAAATACAGCCAAATTTAAGGCAAAAATTGTTTCCAAAAGTTTGAGCATAATAACTCGAAAAACTAGTAAAATTCATGCTTCATGCCGAGAAGATCCATGCCAAGCGAAAATTCATGCCCAGTTACCTTTTACTTTTTCTAAAAGAATGACTAAGGTGTACATACCGTAAACAGTCATCAGTGGCCAGCTTTGAACTATTTTGGTCAAAAGATCTTTAGAAAAATAGTCTAAAATAGAAGTTAGTACAAAGATTAGGAGAAACGTCAAAGTTTGGACGCGGATTGGAGTTTAGGAAAGCTGCAGGAGAGCTGCAGGAGAGCTGCCGGCAGAGAAAAGCTAACAGCATCATTTCATCTCATTTCTCTGTTTATCTTTAGCTAGCTATTAGGTCTAGAAAGTCTTTTTGTTCCTTTTTGTATTGAAAAATAACAAATACACCAAATAACCTACCGTAAATACTGTAATAGTACCCCACCCCCATAATGACGGCGCGGAGTGTTGCGTAGTCTAGCTTTGGACGCGTTTTTCTCGACACTGGTTTATGCTACAATGTGTGCTTAAATATCAAAAAATAGCTGAAATTCAGCTATTTTTTGAAACCAAAGACACATTTTTTTTGAAAGTACGGGCTTTGAAAAAAAAATGAAATACTAAAAAACTTTTGCTTTTTTTACTATTTTTATAAGCTATCTAACGCTTAAACATACGCATACTATCTAACGCAAAAATCAGCAAGTAAAGAAAAAAAGTGGAGCGCAACTTCTAAAATCAAATTATGTACAATTTTGTAATTAAAAGTGAAAAGTGAAACATTTGCTTTTCTTTTCTTTCCAATAAAGTAATAATTTCATTTGAAATTTTGATTCGATCTTTTTATCCAAACGCTTTCCTCGGCATCACCACAAATTTTCAGACGGCATGAACTTTAGCACCCTTAAACCGGCGCGTTTACCGGGTTCAAAAGGGAACGCGTATCTATTGGGAGGATGTGCCAGATCCGGAGCGATTACGCGGCCGCGCAAAGCACGCCTCGCCATTCCTTTACTTAGTGCTTTTTCTTTTGCTTTGTTGATGATAGAAAAAAGATATTGAGCTGTAAATTTGTATCCGGGGGGTTTCGGGGTCGGGGAATCTTTTGGAGCTATTCGTTTTATTGAGTTGACCATTTGGAACTCGGTTTAATTGGTTTTAAACTTTTAAATTGAGTAAGAATCACGCACTCATTTTATTGACTCGAACAATTCAACTGAAATGGTTCCAAACTCAAACCAAACACAAATCCAAACCAAAAGAACCAAAGAAATAAAATTTTTAGATAAAATAATTTCAATTGAAATTTTGATTCGATCTTTCTATCTAAAGTTTGCTTCGGCATATATCTAGCACTAAGAAAATCTTTGAAGGCTACTGTAGCAAGAGAATAACTTATAAACAGCAAGATTAGTGACAGTAATACAGTAATTTATATAAACAGCAAGATTAGTGACAGTAATACAGTAATTATCACGAGTCGGCTCTTTGGTTCCTCCTTTTATGAAGCCAGATCTGAATCGCTTGATCTGAATTTAAGTCAAAAGCTAGAAATTAGAATTTAGTCGACCCTTAAGAAGAACTGAACTGAAAAGTTTATAAAGAACAAATTTCAGATCGTTAGACGAGGCAAGAAAGGCGAGGCTAGCTCAGGAAGAGGCCGAAAATGATCGAAACACCGCTGAAACTGAGGCTGATCAGTGCAGAAAACAGGTGACCCCGTGATAAACATATGGTTTTTGTATATAATTGATGATATAAACTGAAAATTGAATGTTAAAGTAAACTTTGAATTCAGGCAGAACGGATGCTCGAGATCACTGAACAGTTAACAAATCGAAACACGCAGATGTGCTCAGAGTTGGAAGCGGTCAGGGAGGAGGTGAATTACTAATGGATTACAAAAACCTTATGGATTTGATGCAATGAAAGCAAATAGATAGCTAAGAAGACATAATGGAGAGGTAATAATTGGTCATCTAAACTGCTATTGTTCAACTTTTGGATGTGAGACTGTGAGACTGAGAATGTACATCTAAACTCAGCTCAATTCATAAAGGACCTAACGGGTTTAACTCTATGCAAAGTTCATTCTCTCTAGAATGGAGTGGAAGGGACCAAAAAATTCTTCCGTTATATATAGCATTGTTCCTTATGTATCTAATAGGTTGATGCATAAGTCTTTTCGTTTTTTTCGTACTTCTGTTAAAAAGTAACAAATTCACCAATTAATCTATAGTTTGCTCTATAAAAAAAAGTGTTTTTTTGTTCAATTTGCATCTTTTTAAATGAATTTCGGTTCACTTTCGAGAGTGAAAAACGCCTTTTTCGTAAAAATCTATAAAAAACTCTACGGAAAAATTGGCTGAATGAATTTCTCTGAAATTTTGGCGAAATATCAAACGTTTTTTTTCTCTATCTTTTATCTATTGACACGAAGATAGGTTTTCTTTAGCTAAGGTGTCTAAACCGCATCATCGAGTTAGCCCTTTTTGACTACCCGACTTCATACTCTCAAGAAAATCCAGGCATTAAATATTTTTAAACCCGTTTTAATGTTATTTTGCAGAAAAATAATTGGTTTTTCTAATGAAATCAACCGTAGTTTAATTCGTGCATTTGTTGGCTTGAAACGGCAGACGAAAAGGAACAAAAAGACTTATGCATCAACCTAATAAAAGATGGGTTTCTAAAGGATCTAAGAGCTAACATAGTCTTTCTTTCAACTTTTCTTCAACATAGCTAATTGAGGAACAATGCTATGTGCAGAAATCAACCTGTAAATTGAATAGATCAAAGAAAGAACGACAAAATCTCAATGAAAGAAAGACTATACGAGATTTCTAAACTGCCCACCTTTTAGAAAGTTCAGAAACAAACTAAATCAAACAAACAAACAAACAAACAAATTGTTATGCTGGCAATTCAAGCAAGTAAACTATTTTAAGCTATTTCAAACGAATATCATATTTAGTGCATTGAAAGACTTTTTCAGAAAACCAATCTCCAAGAAAAATTGATCGAGGCGGAAGGAGCGTTGAAAAGAGCCGAGTCAAAGCTGGCGGACAACGAGATGAAAGACGCCACTTCATCCACAAATATGGAAAACGAGATTGAGTCGATGAAAAGCACAATAGCGACAAAGAATGATAAAGTAAGAGATTGGATTTTTTGCAAACTTATCAAGAATTTAGATCTACCAACTGGAGAAACAGCTTGATCAGGAGGTGACTTCTGCTAACATTTACAGGAAAAAGACCACTGCGAATATAAAGGTTGGTGTTGATGGATTTTGCAATAGCTTGCAATATATTTGGACTTACATAGCTTACAATATATTTGGACTTATTTTAAGCTAATTATAAAGATAATCCTATAGCCAATCACACTTTCAGGAACTCAAAAACGAGCTCTCCCAACTGCGGAAACAGCTTCAAACTCAACAATGTCAATCCACTCCCGAAGTCGTTGTTGAGTTGCCCGGTCCGTCATCGGGCAGCAGAAGTAGGACGAGCTCAATCACAAGCATTGATCAAGTGAGTTTAAATAATTTTAAATGCAGTTTGTTTGAGTTTGACGATCGTCAAAAATCCATAACCGCAAAAGCTTTAATAATTTTTGAGTCACCCTTCGATTTGATTGATTTCAAAGCGCTTGAAAACAACGGTATACTTCTTCGCGAGAAACTGACGTGATTTCGGTCACTTTTTCCTTGTCTTCTGATGAGGATAAAGAATTTGATCGAGTTGCAGCAGCTCTCAGCTTCTCCTCGTAAGCTCCTCCTCGTCGTGGCCACATTTTCATCGGCAAAAACAAATTTAGCTGCATCAATTGATTGATCTACATCTCCCAATCGGCTCTAAACTTGGTTCAGTTCGTCTCCCAAAGCATCTTCATCTGCTTGAGTCTCATCTTCGAGATCCGTGTGTTTACTTGCTCTCAAATGTGCCCGTTTTATTCCACTTCCTTCATTGATCGCATTCAAAATCGTCGAACTCTTGCCAAGTATTGTAGAAATGATCGATTGTGGCTCAAAATACTTTGTCAATTCACGCGTCCTTTTGAAACCGAGAGATCGATTATTACCTTCTTCAGGTTCATGGCTCAGGTTCAGGCTGTTTAATCAAGAGTTGTTTTAAGTCGTTTTATATGGGGCTCGGCCGGAACTGAGCATGACCATCGTTATATCGAGAGTCGATTGTATAAATTCTTTTTTCTTGCTAACATTATTCATTTTCCAGGTTGGGCGTTCATCAGAGGCTTCCTACAATTTGCAATCGCCACAAGAAGAGATCGCACCTCCATTCCAACAGGCCATGATCGAAAAGGTTAGTTGAGTAAACATTAGGCATAAAAAGACTAATAGCGAGATCTGATTACATAATACGATTGATAATCTTAAATTTACTAATCTTGAGCTTTAGATCGTCAAACTCCAAAAGCAGCTCGCAAGACGAACGGAGAAAATCGAATTCCTTGAAGAGCACGTGAAGCAATGTTTAGAGGAGCTGCAGAAGAAAACAAAGTGGGGAATTGATTGACAGTAAAAGGAAAACATCGGACAAACTTTATTCAACAATAACGAATTCAGAATCATTCAATACTATGCCCTTCGAGAAGAGGCTTCGCTTCTTGTACCAGATGATAAAGATCTACGAAAAGTGAGCAATGACTTCTAGACACAATATTCTAGACACAATATTCTAGACACAAGATTCTAGACACAAGATTCTAGACACAAGATTCTAGACACAAGATTCTAGACACAAGATTCTAGACACAAGATTCTAGACACAATATTCTAGACACAAGATTCTAGACACAAGATTCTAAATACAATATTGTAAAGCTTATGCCTCACTACTGAAAGTAAACTGAGTAAACTAGTAACTCACTAGTAAACTGAAATAAATTGTTTAGTTAACAAATAGAAATTTAAATGATATTTAACCTTATCTATATCTTTTAGCTTCTCGATATGTGTGAAGTGGTTCAGGTAAAAGTAGTTTTTAAAAAATCGTTGTACAGTCGCTGGTGTAACTCCATTTTCACTTTTCACCCTATCAAGCTATCCCTGATTTAATCAATGTTTTCAGAATGAAAGTTGAGATTTAGGTTCCAATCTCGAAAAGGACTGCTCCAGCCTACAGTTTGATGGGATCGATGTGGTCAACGGGGAATGACAAATCGGCGCTGCAATTAGCCACCGAAGTGAACTCTCGACTACAAGCTGTGCTTGAGGAGACATTGTTGAAGAATATTGCGCTAAAGGTCTGAACTGATCATCAATATACCCTGTCACCGATAACCAGTATGGGATTGAAGTGGGCATAGTCTCGGTCCGAGTTTTTTTTCTCAGTCAGGTTTGGTCGAACGCGAGCCGAGTGGTTAATTCTTTTTAGCTGAACTGATAAGGGAAGGTCACAAGGCTGAGTTGGCCAAATGACATGAGCCAAACGCAAAAGCCAACGATAAGAAGCAGAATTTTTACGCTGATTGATGCTGATGATAATTCGTTTTCGTTCTCGATTCGATGACATTTCTACAAAATGATTCGGAAAACGCGAGCAATCTGGCAAATAAGTTTGAGGTCTAATTAGAGGTCAGCCTCTATATAAGGCTTCTTTCACCGTCTCGAAATGTGGGCTTATGGTGAAGTGGATAAGAGTCTTGTTTCCGAAACAAGCTATTAAGTTTTTGCTCGGGTTGATCCCTTCTTTTTGTTTTATTTTGATGTTTAACCGCTCGAATTCGCTCTATTGTTATGATAAAATAAGTATTATAACATCTTTCATTCTATTCATTCACTTTATACTTGCTGCCTCTTGTTATTATATTTCTTATCAATTGAAAGATGTCATAATACTTATTGTAAAGTTAGAATAGAGTGAATTAGAACAATTAAACAACAAAATAAAACAAAAGAAAGGGACCAACCCGAGCAAAAACTTGATAGCTTATTCCGGAATCAAGACTCGTATCCACTACACCATAAGCTCACATTTCGATACGGTGAAAGAAGCCTTATATAAAGACTGACCTCTAATTTGTCCTCAAACTTGTTTGCCAGATGCCTCGCGTTTCCAAATCATTCAAATCCAAAACCAAAACGGATAGCAGCACCGAAATCAGAGTAAAATTCTGCATCCGATGGCATATGACTCGTGTCATTTGGGCACCTCAGACTTGTGACCTTCTCTTGTGAGTACAAAAAACGAGACCGAGACCATGTCTAATGTCTAGAGTTTGTTGAGTTTTACATTAACTATTTCTTGGGCTACAGCTGTCCCTCAACACTGACAATTTCTTAGCTTTTATAGGAAAAGTTAAGGTTTTTCGCAAATCAACTCACTCTATGACACTAGTTAATCAGAATTAGGCATTGTTGTGCCTAATTCTGATTAACTCAGGGTTTGGCTTTGGCTTTGGCTTTGTCTTTGGCTTTGGCTTTGGCTTTGACTTTGTCTTTGGCTTTAGCTTTGGCTTTGGCTTTGACTTTGGCTTTGGCTTTGGCTTTGACTTTGACTTTGGCTTTGGCTTTGGCTTTGGCTTTGGCTTTGGCACTGGTTTATCTGCTTGACTCTCTGCAAGCTAAAACATTGTGCAAAAAAAGTGCAAATCGATAGTGAGGTAAAGAATTTTTAGTCAAATTTCTCTTTTGAGAGAAAACAGCTTCATGATATCAATTGCATAATTGCAATTGCAATTGCATAAATCACATTTGCAAATAATCCAATCTTGCCTTTAAAGAGCATAGCATTTGTTTCAAGACGATCTTTAGACAAGTGTCGACAATCTCGGTGAAGAGATCGCTCGACTATCACGAGAAAATCGACAGCTCAGTTTGAAGTCTTGAAAGTCTTTTATTGATTCTTTTAAAATTCTTATTTTCTTGATTTCTTGATTCTTGATTCTTGATTTCTTGATTTCTTATTTTCTTATTTTCTTGATTTCTTGATTTCTTGATTTCTTGATTCTCGATTTCCCTAATATACAAAACCCTTGATCAAAATGAAATACAAAATCTCAGAATTGTTCCCGATTCTTTCACCCATTGCCATCATCATTTCCCAGCTCACTTCTCTTGATTCTCTAAAGGTCTGTGAACAAGTGTATTTCGTGAAAACTAGTCTGTTAAATTATTATTGTATATCGAAAATTGTGACAAATTTTTAACTGGTCTCTTTATGTTGTGATTTTTATGAATTTTTATGAATTTTTCGCTTTTTCTCTCTCGACAAACATTCCTTTCAAATTTCTATGACTGATTGTCCAAAAAAAAAGCTTTGAAAGGTGATAAAGCTGATAAAGATATGTTATGTTATCCCATACAAAACTTTGCACACTTATAGCTTTTAACAGAGTACTCAATAGCAGAAAAGGAAAGCAAATTCAAAATCGGCGTTTGAATTTTGCGTCGAACAACCTGTGGCAAACTTTCATTTAGCCACCACACTGAGTTGAAATTCCTTTGTGGATAAAAGTTTGCAAATTTTTGAAAGAAGCGGACATTCTAGACTTTTCCCTAATCTAATAATGATCTAATAATACTTTAAGAGTACTACAGTACTTTTAAGTGTACTACAGTACTTTTAAGAGTACTACAGTACTTTTAAGAGTACTACAGTACTTTTAAGAGTACTACAGTACTTTTAAGAGTACTACAGTACTTTTAAAACTCTTGCAAAGCGATTAAAAGGTTTAAAATTATCGATACGCAAATTTTCTATTTATCTTTATCTTTAGATTCTGAAAATTTATCAAATACAACATAAAATACCCGTCAGTGATACATACAAAAAGAAAAATAGGGAAATGAAAATCAAGAGCATTTCACATCAGCATCCCAACATGTTCTAATGGAACTCGGCGTTATCTGGTACAATATGATAAATGCCAAAGCAGCCCATGTAGTTCCTGAAATTGCATAGATTACTTTATTAAGCCTAGCATTAAAATTAACAAGTCAATAAGTAATGATTCTCCTTTATTTACAATCAGCAGTTTTCAGCTGCTAACCCTTCGTGCCAATCGATAAAAAAAAAATCGATAAAAACTAGTACAAAGTTGCCGGGACTTTCTGCGAAATAAATCACAAAATTCCTTAAAAACTTGACACCAAAAATAATCGTCATCAGCCCACCGGTGGGTTGTATTGTCGTGAGTGTGTCAAGGTGCTTTAAAAGCTCTAATATCACTTTAATTCTTGTACAAGATTACTGTAGTTTGGGCAAGCTGATACATTTTTGTAAATTCAAAAAACAGGTTGACGTGTGATTGCTTTAGTAGCTTAGTAGTAGCAGGGTTTTTCCATCGCATTTGTTGCTATAAAAGCAACAAAATCTGTAGATTAAAGGACCAAATCTATATATAAAAGTAACTAAATCTATATTATATTAAAAAGGAACCAAATCTGTAGATAAAATGTACAAAATCTGTGGATAAAGGGACTATTTGGTTCCTATCCCCGCCAAGACCCATCCCAGCCAAGACTTAGTTACCTGGCGCTTTTTTTCTCTCTTTTAAATCTTGCATTTACACCAAAGAGTCAAGTATTTTTTGAAGCTTATTAGATTAAAAATGTCTTCCAATTAAACACTCACCAAATAAGTCGCCCATACCGGTCAATATGGGAATCGAATGTAAATCCGGATCCACTTTATACCGCCACATCGCGAACACCAAGAATTGGCAGCAATAAAGCAGAATGAAAATCTGAAACGGTATGGTAGCCATAAAATAAAAAATAAATCGCTAAAATGTTTCTTACCTGTACAAAAGCGGCAGCGAGATATCCTAAAGTGAATTGCCAATTGATCATCGGAAGTGGATTGATCACACCGGCTTTGTGCAGCAAGTAGGAAACCAGATAGGTCAAGGAGACGAAAATTGCCTAAAAAATACTGGTACAAGGATTCACATCTGAAAAAAACTAGATTCAAATTGGCTTGCCTTTTTCAGAAGTTTTAAGGGGGTAAAGACTTTTGGGATCTTGCTTAGTTGCTGGGTATTTTGAACGGGTCATCACGCTTTAAAGGCCTATAACTTTGTCCAGAGATGATATTTTGACCATCATTGTACAGAGGACATTTCAGGCTTTCAAATGATACCAAATAGAGCTTGGCTGAATTATTCATTCCCATGAAAACCAGGTGACACGACACCTGAGTTGAATAGGTCTCATTTGCTCAGAGTTGGCTCTGATTTTCTTGGACTAGATTATCGAATCAAGCTTTATTTGTTATCATTTGAAAGCCTAAAATGTTCTCTATACAATGATATAAAAAGTTGGTCAAAATATCATCTCTGGACAAAGTTATAGGCCTTCAAAGCCTGACGACCCGTTCGAAATATCCGGAAACTAAGCAAAAGCCGACTTTTGTACTCTCTTACTCGTACTCTCTTACTTTCTCTTACTTTTGTACTCTCTCTTGTACTCGACTTTTTGTACTCTCTTTTGTACTCTCCATTCTTACTCACCTGGAACGGAACGGCTGTGGCCAAAAGAAGTCTAGCAGCACCTGAGTCATCATCTAAAAGAAATTTACTTGTATTATCGCATGTGTACTTTGTAATATTGTACTGCAAGCTTACTGCAGTTTATTCTGTTGCTTACCTTTTGAAAAGTAACATCTCAACACCGACGTGTACTTCCATAGAGTATTTCCCTTTGGCAGCTCGCCGGACTAGACAAAATTGATTTTAAAATTGAATCAATTAGATCTAGTAAGCTATGCTGATTTAAGAAACTCACAGTATGATGTGTGAAGAGTCTTGAGGCAATTCTGGAAGACTGAACGGCCACTCGATTGCCGGCAATTCCGGCCATCAACGGTTGATAGAGAGACATCTCCGGGAAAGAGTTGATACAGATTTGCAAGATGAAACCACCACATCTGAAATTACAAATACACTAATGCCTATATTCTTATGTTCGCAACTTTCAGAACATTTTTGAAGAAAGAAATCCTCAAATCTTTGTCAAATCTTTAAACGTTTACTTTGATCGTTTAATCCAAACAGTCAAAAACTACAGGATGCGTAAAAAGTTCCCAAAATCGATATTTTAAACGCTTGCAGAGCTTAAAATTGAACTGAAGAGCAAGTTTATATAATTTATTTTCAGAAATGACCCAACATAAACAACATTCAGATTACAAATATACCTTTTTCTTTGATACAGGCCTTGAGTCTCTTAGAAAATGCCTAGAAAAGAAAACGGATATGATCGGGATCGAGACCCAAGCTTTCTCAAGAGCACGTCGCAGAAAAGTGAAATTTAGATGTCGTGTGGCACAAGCCTTGCTCTTCATGATAGACCATATCGAATCGGATTCAAATCCGGTCTGTTTGGAGGTCATTCAGTCGACGCGATAAACCCCGGGAAATCCGCCTGGCACCAATCTTGAACGATCCGAGTTTTGTGAACTGATGCAGAATCCTGCTGGTAAGTCCAAATGCGTCCGTTAAAGCTAGAATTAGCCCAGGGAAAAAACTTTTCATTAAAACATCATTCAGATAGTTTTGGCTATTCACTTTGACTTCCTGATCCAGGAAAACAAGGGATCTCTTCCCATCAGCGGTGATCGCTCCGAAAACCATGATAGCCTGAGGGTGAGCTGTCCAAGAAGAAATTCTGTCATTCTGAGAAGCTTGTTTAATGTTTCCTACAAGAATCCGATCATTTTGGTGGCTCACAAACTGCTCCACAGTGAAAAAACACTCGTCCGACCGTTGAAGAGGCGCGTGCCGGTGTGGGGAAGCGTTTAAGCAGCTTCTTGCAACGGTCCAAACGAGTCGCTATCATGCGGTCGGTTAAGCCGTGGGTTTTTGGATCTTGTATGAATATTTGTGCAGATTTTTGTAAACAAAACGAACAGATCCTTTGGAAATTTTCTCTTTTTAGGCCATTTCCCGCATCGACCTTCTTAGGTCCCTGCGGCTTCTTTCTCGGATTCGTTTCACAATTCCTGGAGTAGTAGCTGTTTTTGGCCGTCTCGAACGTGGACGATCGTTTGCCGAACCGGTAAGCTATCTTCTTCTGCAGCTGAAGCTGAAGGTATCCTCTTCTACAGCTGAAGCTGAAGGTATCCTCTTCTGCAGCTGAAGCTGAAGGTATCCTCTTCTGCAGCTGAAGCTGAAGGTATCCTCTTCTGCAGCTGAAGCTGAAGGTATCCTCTTCTGCAGCTGAAGCTGAAGGTATCCTCTTCTGCAGCTGAAGCTGAAGGTATCCTCTTCTGCAGCTGAAGCTGAAGGTATCCTCTTCCGTATCCTCTTCTACAGCTGAAGCTGAAGATATCCTCTTCCGTATCCTCTTCTACAGCCGAAGCTGAAGGTATCCTCTTCCGTATCCTCTTCTGCAGCTGAAGCTGAAGGTAATAGTAAACGGTGCTCTTTGGAATGGCGAGTTGCTTCGATTTGTTTGGAATGGAGTTTGGCGATTGCTAACGTTCCTACTCCAGATTTCGGTGGACGCTAAATGGCTGGTCGAAGATTCCTCGCGCGAGCCATCCAAATAATTATGTTAAGGAAGAAACTAATAGAATAAAATGCAAACACAAAACAATTACTCAAAAAAAGCAAAGTTATCTGGTCAGCAAACTAGAAGATCGCCTAAAAAAAGCATGCGTGATTCGATTCCGGGAACTTTTTGTACAATAATCTCATCTCTATTTTTGTTCAATCTATCGACTTTTGCATTTTTCGATATCCTCTGTGAACTCTTACATAATCAAACCAAAAGCATAGTAGATACATACGATATTTTCTAAAACTCATCAGGTTTTACGACACTCCATGTATCAAGTCATTTTATGAACTTTAGAGCTTGAATCTTTCCCAATTCTGAAGTCTCAAACGCCTCGATTTTTGCTGTCTAATCAATCCAAACAGCTAACGCGTTTTCTTAGCAAAAATTTCGGAATATTTTCTGTGCTTTCTGCAAAAAATTTAGAGATTCCAGCAAGATGATCCCATAATCCGGCGTCTTCAAAAACGAGAAAGATTCAGAGATAAGCGACCGGGTTCAAAAAGCGTCGAAACTAATCAAAGAAAAAAAAGGGGGATCTCGGAAAAACTCACGCTGAAAACACGGCCGACGCAATCAAGGAAAACCATGAAGTTTTTAGCATAGCTCGACATTTCTCATCTTGCAAACATTTGTAGAGCCAAAAAGGCCAGAGACCGATGATGGCAATGATGACGATTATTGAGGGAACCATTTTCCAGGAGGCATTGCTATTATAGGGAATGTAGAGAACCGATCCATAGGCAACCTGTAAAAGAATCAGTTAATTGATTCAGTTAACTGATTCAGCTAACTGAATCAGTTAACTGAATCAGTTAGCTAAATCAATTAACTGAATCAATTAACTGAATCAGTTAGCTAAATCAGTTAGCTAAATCAATTAACTGAATCAATTAACTGATTTTGAGAAAAAAATCTGATGAACTCGAATTTGAATGAGCAAAAAGTTACATTTTTTGATCATGAACAGGAAAAGTGAGTTAGCGTGCTTGTTTTTTTACAAGTTTACAAGTTTTAACAACATTTTACTCACCAACAAACACATGCAAGCCAGATCACCCATCGAGGCCGCGATCGGCGCTGTGATGTTATCCGGATTCACGTTCTTGCGTCTGAATTCTTGTTTTCGTCATGTTTCAAAAAAAAAATCAAGAACTATCCAAGTTACAATATAATTTTGATACCTAGAAACAATGACCATTGTAGCCATGACAGTATCCATGACTCCACACGATGTGCAAATGGTCAATAAACCAGTGGCGATCATCAATGGAATGTGTGAGCCAAGGGAGTCCATCTAAAAAGAATCTACTGATTTGAAAGTTAAAAATTCCACATTTTTTTCCAAATCTTCGAATTTTCCTTACCGATGGAGCTCCTTGAATGTGCAAAGCATTCTGGATGGCTGACAGTGCCAAGGTAATCGCGGTGGCAAAGAATGAGATGATGATGGCTTGAGCCTGAAATTTTGAGTTGATTTATTGCAAGATTTGTAATTTTTATAAAAATTTACCTGCACAAGCATCATGTTGATCGGCACGCGTTTCTTGATTCCACTCCATGTGTCCAGCTTTCCCTGGTGACTCTAAAAGACAGGTGATTGCCAGGTCAGGTAAGACAAGCTGCTGGGAAGAGAAGGTTAGGGCAAGCTAGAAGCCAAGGTCTGGCTTGGCTTATGTCTTTACATTACCCTACATTACATTACCAAAAGCTCGGTTCTACTATTAGGGTGGTAGGAATGATTCTATTAGGGTGGTAGGAATGAAACTAGCGCTCACCTTTCTTTCTAAAATAAAAAGATTGCAAGCCACAGTCAATAAGTGTGTTGTATACTGTTCAAAAGCCCTAAATCTCCTCTACAAAATAGTGCAAAAAGATTAGGAATTGGATTGATTATTGGGGACTTGCGTGTTCAAAAGTAACCGCAGGTTGATTCTCAACCTGGGTACCTGCGCCTGCTGGCAAGTCTTCAATCATCAATCAAATCAAATCAAACAATCCAATTCCTAATCTTTTTGCACTATTTTTTAGAGGAGATTTAGGGCTTTTGAACAGTATACAACACTTATTAGCTGAGGCTTGCAATCTTTTTTATTTTTGAAAAGATGTGTGAGGACGGGTTTCATTGCCGCCACCCTAGCACATGTGCTTCTATTTTTCAATGTCCCAAAAGCGACCAAAAAAGTAGGTAAGGGGAACGACATGAATCAAAAATTTAGAATTATTATGAAAAACATGTTTTTAATTTCACTGCCGATGGTATATTAGGAAGATTAGATCTAGAAATCTCCATGGAGGGGTCACAAGGGGGTCTAGAGTCAAGATTTCGAAAGATTTCGATTGTTGACTATTGAAATTTCGATTGGGTCTTTATGTTGCTTCTATTAGATCTAATATTCTAATTTCGCTATGGGGCAACACACGGTTTTCTCTCGGCTTTGAGATACAATGAGGTGGGATAGGAAATTAGTAGCTTCTTCCTTTTGTTTATTATTTCTTCTTGGGCAAAGAAGGGGGCAATAGCTCAGTGGTAAAATATTAGGCTGGTAAGCGAAGGGTCGAAGCTTAAGACTCAGGGTTCGGGCCGAGTTTTGTTTATTATTTTTTCGTGGACGAAGAAGGGGTAAATAGCTCAGTGGTAAAATATTAGGCTGGTAAGCGAAGGGTCGAAGCTTAAGGCTTAAAGATCGAGGATTCAATTCCCTTGGTTTCCAAATTTTTCTAATTCTTTTCTTACTTTCATCTCTTATAATTTTTATTAGGTTTTTAATCTAATAATATGTTAAGATAATCTATTTTTCTATTTTTTACTTTAAGACAACTCAAGCTTGTCTTCAAGCTGGAAATTCAAGATTCAAGACCGTGCTTCTATTAGAAAAGATACGGTAGTTACAGCAAAAACCCCAAATTTTCCAATCCACTTACCATTGTCGCTAATCTCGAAGCAAATGTCATGTCCAAATTTCCCTTCAATCCCATAATCGGTGTCGATAAGCCAATCATTTGCGGGATATTTCTAAAATTTAACAAAATTTTAATAGCAATGCTCAATTGTTGGTTAAGATTTAAAGACTTACACAAACAATGCAAACTGTTGTGCTTGATTTAGAGCCACTCCTGCGCCAATTGATCCAAGTCCGGCAATAAGGAACGGTAAAGCGCTCTAGAATTTAGCTGTGCTTTTAATCTCTCAAGATTTCTAGACTTGAATCCAAATGGTCATAATCGTTTCTTTGGTCATCATGTCTTTGATCGATTTCAAACTGAGCAACGAGCTGGCTCTTGACTTGATCGATTTCATCGAATTCTTGCGAGACCTTGTTTTCATCCATGTTCCTGAAATTGCTAATTGCTATAGCATGGTGTATTAGTAAAAGTTTTGTTTTAAACAAGATTTAAATTGAAAAGAAGAATAGGTTTTGAATAATCTATTTAATCTAGTGAAATCTTAACTTTATTAACCAATTTAACCAATTCATAGATATTTGACAGAGTTTTAAGCGACGTACACTACTGGACAATGAAATGTCATATTTGAAAAAAGATCGTCACTTTCGCGCGTCTGTAACTCCCTTGTCTTTACCGTATTTCTAAATATTAATATTACCATTGTGTAGCCCTTGAAAAGAGCTTTCAGAAAATGTATAACACCAATAGTTTAAACTCAACGACAAGGGAGTTACAGACGCGCGAAGGTGACGATCTTTTTATCAAATATGATATTTCATTGTCCAGTACTGTAGTTTACTTTTTCAAGCTATTGGAAGCTTAAATCAAAATTTCAACTGGTAAAACTAACGTCATTTACTCAAAAACTAACTCAAAACTTTGATCTTAAGCTTTTCTTGTTAATTCACTTTACTTTCAAACATTTTATTCACGAATGACTCCATTTGACTCCAAAGACTCCATTTTTCTTTCTTATTGTGTTAATCTATTCAATGTTAAAAGTATTTACAGGATTTGAAAGCTTTGAAAGACATGAAAGCTTTGAAAGCTTTGAAAGACATGGAAGCTTTGAAAGCTTTGAAAACTTGAAACTTCTAATCCCTTAACCAAACGATTCACAGGATTAACCTATTCAATGCTAAAAGTTTTTGTTCAATTTCAAATCTCGCGTGATCTTTGGAACAATTCGAGTGCTTAGAATAATCTGAGATTTCGCCAAAGATCAAGCTTCACTTTTTGGCGTTAAACTGCAAATCATTCTTTTGTGCAAATTTATGAGCTGTGAAATGGGTCGTTTTTCAGAGAGCCACACGGGAGTGCCTTGTGATAAATCTCGGTTTGATAGAAAGCTTATCTATTCCCCTCTTCAAATCAATTACCCCTTTTCTCCCCCGCCACCTTCTTCTTCTGGCCGATCACTGTCCAGAGTGATCTCAAAAAACTCGGTCAAATCGATAAAAAAGGAATGACGTGACTTTACAGCTTTACAATCGGATATGGAATTGGGTTACTTTTTGAACGATAGCTAAACGATAGCTCGAGTAAATATTGAATGTTTGTGAATGAGATCAGTGAGTAAAATTTAGATATTAGAGTAAGAAATGGTATTCATAAACAAGAATAAGGCTTAGGAAAGCTCAAAAATCTCCTATTTGTTTAAAAAAGCTTTTGAACAAATAGCGGATGGATTTTGAAAACAAAAATGGGTTTATGTGAAATTCTAATAAGGCACTTAATTCTGGTAGAGTTTATGTAAAATTCTGACAATTCTGGCAATTCTGATAAGCAAGCAAGCGGCTGCTTAAGCAAGCAAAGAGTGGTAGCATTTTTCAAATTGGAATAGTTTGAGGAAGTAATTTTGCATTTAATTGCATTGAAAGGTTTCTTTTTTCGAGTTTATTTTAGAATCGAAATAGCTTCGAGTTTATTTTAGAATCGAAATAGCTTTTCAGAGCCATTGTCTTTTGACTAACCTCTTCGACTCAACGCGGGCGATCTCAACCCATCCGGGCATTCATCCGGATCAAAACCACCATTCTCATGACCATGATCCTCATGTCCATGTTTGATGTAATGAGTGATCGGTAGTTCATCTTTTTCGTCTTTATCTAAAGCCTTTTTTGTCTTTTTCGTCTTTATCTTCGATTTTTAATCTTATCTTTTAATCTTATCATTCTTTGAAATGTTATTTGTTATGTTTTATTTTCCGATACCTCATCATCTCATCAATCAATCACAAATGTAAAACTGCCATTCGCTTGGCGAAAACTACTTCAACTAGGCACTGCATCAAGCACCGCAACTTCAACTAGACACTGCATTAAGCACTACAACTTCAACTAGACACTGCATTAAGCACTGCAACTTCAACTAGGCACTGCATTAAGCACTGCAACTTCAACTAGACACTGCATTAAGCACTGCAACTTCAACTAGGCACTGCATTAAGCACTGCAACTTCAACTAGACACTGCATTAAGCACTGCAACTTCAACTAGGCACTGCATTAAGCACTGCAACTTCAACTAGACACTCCATTAAACACTGCAACTTCAACGAGACACTGCATTAAGCACTGCAACTTCAACTAGGCACTGCAAAGTCTAATGTAAAAGTCTAATGTAATTGTATATAATGTAAAACTCGTCAAGTTCAAATATTCAAGAAAATCTCAAACCATTGAGGCTTGTGATGTGAACTTCGGGTAGTTTATCCTTGTCATCATCTGGTTTTATCGGACCATGACCATTCATAGCACCATTTGGCTTGGTCATCACTGCAAGTTGATCACTGAAATTTGAATCTCAGGAAATTTGAATCAAAAACAAGGTGAAAATTCAAAAAAAAAATCAGTTTTGAAAGTTTTACGTGAGAACCTGAATCAAAGCTGCTCACAACAAAAACAAAATTCAAATCGCAATCACATAAAAACAAAAGCACGGGTATTGAGCTAAAAATCGAGTCTAGGGCGGCTTAAAAAGATGGTAAAACAAAAGCGGAATTATCGGTGGCGAGAGCTTTTTGGAAGGGGTGACTGGGGGTGAAAAAGAAAAAGGAAACAAGGATCCCGTCTACCCGTATTTGAACTGAAAGGAGAAAAGGGCACACAGCAGCTCTTTTTCAGAAGAAAAAGAAGACGATAACGGTATTAGGGAAGATGGGCACGCATTCATCTCAAAAAAATGAAAAAAAGAAGAAAAGCCGGTGTGGAATTCGATCCCGTTTTTTGAGGGAAAAGGTGATGGAGGAGGCACAGCGATCAACCAACTTTTGGACTTGAGGTCAAATTGAAATCGTGGACTTCAGATGTTTTGGAAGGGTTCTGGACATTAGATACGTGCCGTGTCCCTTTTCCCATTGGCAATGTAACTTTAAGCTCAAATATCTTGGTGTTGGGCTATCCAATTTAAATATTCTTGATATCATTCGATGCGCCAAGTCTTTCTCTGTCGATTGGTACAAAAACTATTTGAATCGAACAGCTCAACACCAAGATATTGGAGCTCAAAGTTGGATTGTCAATGGCAAGGGGGAGGGGCGCGTCTAAAAGGTCTTTCTGGATCCGCCTCTTTTACCAAGTTAACTTTAAGCTCAAATATTTTGGTGCTGGGCTATCCAATTTAAATATTCTTGATATCATTCGATGCGCCAAGTCTTTATCTGTCGATTGGCACAAAACGATTTGAATTGAACAGCTCAACACCAAGAAATTTGAGCTTAAAGTTAGATTGCCAATGGCAAGGGGGCGGGGCTCGTTTCAAATGTCTTCCAATCGTTTTGGGAATGCAATGAAACCTTTTTGTCTAGCATTTGCTGAAGGAATATGGCAAAGATTAATATTTTAAGTATGTGTAACTAAATAGCTTATCTGATGTGAGCTTTAATCGATACGGTTTACTAGCGAGATTGCACTGTGTGTAAGATTGTGACAGGAGAGACAAAGATCACCGATCTTTTAGACTCACTCGTCAGGGTCAAGATAAAATCCTGGACTCTTTGGACCTCACACGACTTTAAATTTTCTTTAAATTTAAATTCTTATCACTTTCTTAATCAAATTTCCCAAGGTTTAAGCTCTAGATTGGAATGGGAATTTAAAAGTTAGCATAAGGCTTTGAAGCAACTGGATGTTGATGATCAACAATTAAAATAACAAGACAAGCTGTTCAATAAAATCAATTTGATTTGATATATAATATCACTTGCTTGATCAAAAGTTTTGATCAACTTTAGGCCAAGAACAAGTTAAGTAGATTTCGCGAGTAGTTGAGTCAAAGATTTTCACCATTTTCACCAATCAAAGTACATTTTTAATGGAGGATTGACTCCAGAGCATCACATCATTGTGCTATTTCAAGCTCTATCATAAACGATTCAAGCTCTATCATAAACGATAATCCTGGTAGTAAAATGGACGTCGGATTTAGGCTGACTTTGCCTAGAATGACGAGGGTTTCACCGATAAACTGACTCAAATAAAAACGTCAACAAGTTTGTAAAAAGACAGAAACTTATTATAAGTGCTTTGAAAAATAAAGCAATTATGCTACTTGCACTTGTTCACAATGGAAACAAGGCAAAACTTTGAATGATTTGTTATTAAGCAGACAATTAAGATACTTGAAAGTTTAAACTCAAAATTGCTTTATATTAAAAGCCTTTTCAGTGCATGACATTCATTCATACAATCGAATTTCAGTGCATGAGATTCATTCATACAATTCATCATTTATGCTATGTGAAAAGAGGTGGTCAAAGAAAGGTCAAAGAAGGTGGTCATTTTTGTGGTGAAAGAAAGCTTTCAAATTTTGGGAAAAATGAAAAGAGCTAGGTGAAAAAATTCGTAATGAATTCTGTTTAAAATTGTGCTATAAAAATCCTTATAAACCCTTCTTTTTGTCTTTCAGAGTATTCAGAGCTTCAAAAGATCAATTTGCGGGAAGCGGGACAGATGCGACCTTTTTTTTGCGCACCCGGGACATTTGCACACTACTAGCGCTTTAAAAAAGCTCTAAAACGCTAATATTAACCAAATTCCCTTTCAAAAGTTGTTTTTCTGGGTAATTTTAGGGTGTAGAATTCAAATTTTGACATATCAGAGCTTGTGGAACCAATTTGTGAGATAAAACGGGTAGATCAAATTACAGAAAATTGCCGATTTTTCCCCATGTATAACTCCGTCCGTTTGCTTCCACAAGCTCTGGTATGTCAAAATTTCGATTCTACACCCTAAAATTAGCCAGAAAAACAACTTTTCGAAGGGAATTTGATTAATATTAGCTTTTTAGAGCTTTTTTAAAACGCGAAAAAAAAGTGTGCTGATGAGCGCAAAAATGGTGCGCAAATGTCCCACTCCCCAATTTGCGCATTAATTTGATGACGGTCCAGTCATGGACCGGGCGGTTCAGGCGAGACAAGGTCATACTCATAACTTTCCAGATCCAGGTCATATCCACGACCCTGGCTTGAATCTGACCATCTATTGACCTTAGAGAACAAGGCAAAGATACTGAGGTAAAGATACTGAGGCAAAGATATTGAGACAAAGATACTGAAGTAAAAATACTGAGGCAAAGATATTGAGACAAAGATACTGAGGCAAAGATAAAGATAAAGAGACAAAGATACCAAAAACAGAGATTCAGAAAAAATTTCAGATTCAGCTTCAAAACTTTTCAGATTCTGGTATATTGCGGAATCAGAAAAATGAGAAAAATGACAGAAAAAGCTGCGTGTATTGATAATGTATTTCGTTTAAAATCGTCCTACAACAATTTCTGGTAGACTTGTTTTGAAAACAAGCTCACTTTATGAAAACGCTTATGGAAATGCTTTACCTGAAAAATGTTTGTCTCTGGTGATTGGAAAATACCATCAAAACAATCAGGCTACAGATTTTTGTTCGACTTTGGTTTGGTTCTTTTCACGAGTTTTTCCCCGAGACTTCTCGTTCAAAGAATAGATATGGTAATGCTTTATCGGAACGTGATTTGCTATTGTTTACGCATCTAGAACCATGACAGAGGGATTTGGTGAGCATTGAAACAAACCCAAATTTGAGTTCAAACGTTTCATTTAGAAGCTAATTGTAAAAACCATGCTCTACCAAGCATTAATTAACCAATTAATCTAACAAAAAGTGTTTCTTGTTCAGTTTCCATCTTTTTAAGTCAATTTTAGTTCACTTTAAAGCAAATTCGACACGTGTTTTTCGTAAAAATCTTTAAAGATCTCTACGAAGAAATTGGCTGAACGAATTTTTCTAAAAATTTAGATATATACAAAACTTTTTGTGCTCTATCTTTTCTCTAGTCGCACTTAGATAGGTTTCCTTAGCCAAATTGTCATTTTTGAGCGAGCCTCATTTTTGGTCACTTCAAAATCTCGCTCTTAAAAAATCCAGACATAAGACATTTTAAACCGGTTTTAATGTTATTTTGCAACAAAATGTTTGGCTTTTTTTAATGAAACAAACCATAATTCAATTGGTGCAGTTGTTGGTCTTAAACAGAAGTAAAAAAAGGAACGAAAAGCTTTCTAGACAGTTTAGCTGCCTATGCATAAGCTGTTTTCCAATGTTTCAGAAACCAGTGTTTAGAGATGGTTAGATCTTGGTTTTTCTAAAAGTTCTTTTCCAGAGAAAGGCTAGAAGCCAGGTCTGGTCTGATCTCTCTTTACAGCAGGCCAGGCAGGCCTGACCATTATCTCTCGATCCTACCTGAAACTAGGCCTTGTCTCGCCTGGCTTACAGGGCCTGGAAACTGGTTGAATCATCCTGTTTAATATTTTAGAGATTTACCCAAAGTCCTTAAGAGATTCGGATACTAGATCTCTTAAAATCATCAATAATTTTCATCAAGCGTCAAGCCTCAAGCGTCAAGCCTCAAGCGTCAAGCCTCAAGCGTCAAGCCTCAAGCGTCAAGCCTCAAGCGTCAAGCCTCAAGCGTCAAGCCTCAAGCGTCAAGCCTCAAGCGTCAAGCCTCAAGCGTCAAGCCTCAAGCGTCAAGCCTCAAGCGTCAAGCCTCAAGCGTCAAGCCTCAAGCGTCAAGCCTCAAGCGTCAAGTGTATCTCAAGAAGTTTATAGGTTTCCTTGAAATTTGAAAACCAAGTCAAAAGAGACGATCCGCTGAACATTCAAAAAACGTTCAAGTCTCAAGCTTAAATATGGTACACTTGCATTTCAGCCTAGTTTTTCGCAAATTTGTGATCAACCTGTTGAAAGAGCATTCACCATTTTTTTGCTGAATCAGCTTTTTTTTTGGTTGATCGCTCCTGAAAAGATCGTGACGTTTTTCGTTAGAATTTCTTAAAATAGCCTTTTATCTCTAAAAGCCGCATTCTTTCGCGAGATTTTCAAAGATAATTTCTGCGATTTTCTTTGGCGATGTTTGTAGAGGTGACTTTGAAAGATCTGATTCACAAATCAAACTGAAAAACGTTTTAAAAAACATCATTTGTGAAGAAATTTAAAATCAAAGAATTTTTGAGGTTATTTTATAGCGTTTAAAATCTGTAATAATCATGCGAAAACAATTTCAATTCTAAGCCTCAAGATTGCTTTCAACAATTTGATTTATTTCTTCTCAAAAATATTTCCATGAGCGGCTGCGCAACCGGCGAGATGTTTTTCGGGGCCGTCAATGGTGGCCAAAAGATAAGCAGGATCGAGTTCAGCCCAAGCTTTCTGGAGTGATTTTTTTCAGTGAATCAATGCTAGAATGCGCTTTTGCGCAGGCATTTACTTTGAGAACACTCCAGACCTAGCAATCTATCGGATTTAAATCGGGGCTTGATGGTGGCCACTGCTTAAAGCTGATGAAATCCTTCTTGATATTCTTCTTTGTTGTCAAGTTAGGTTTTCGGCCGCGTCTCGATCGATCAGAAGTTGTTCCAAGATCATTATACCTCGAAAACGACCGATTTTGCCACCATCAACCTTAGAGAAATCTCAATTGGTTGGACTCCCCTCCGAAAAGCTCGAGAATCGAATTGATTCGACTTAATCGACGAGTAAATTTGCTCACCATACCTGAAAAGATTCATTTTAATGAGTAAATAACAAAAAAGGAGCCCTCATCAACTTTGTTAAGCTGTTGTGGATGTTGTGAGTATTTTGGATTGGGGTTTTGACCAGGGTGGCTTTTCGGCCCTGGCTCGATCGATCAGAAGTTATTCCAAGATCATTATACTCGTGCAAATCATGTTTTTCAATAAATTTCTCATTAAAAATCTTATCATCAAAACACAGTTGGCTCCAAAAGGGAATCAACCTTTCAGCTTTAAGAAATTCTTCTCAACATTCGACATCTAACAGGGAAAAGGCACGAACTTCTTGTAAGCTTTCGTTTCCGGACCACATACATCTTACCAAATCTAGTATGGTTGGACTCCCCTCCGAAAAGCTCGATAATCGAATTGATTCGACTTAATCGACGAGTAAATTTGCTCACCATACCTGAAAAAATTCATTTTAATGAGTAAATAAAATTTTTGAAAGTCAAAATTTGCATAATAAACAAAAAGTAGCAAAGATAGTCAACCCAAAAGCGCATAACAGCAAAGCGCGGTAAACGGAGGTTGGTTCGGGTAATTTTGGGGCATCCTGTACAACGAAACAAGAAGCTTTTCCTTATATGTAGTTAGGGTACAACTGATTTTTACCCTGTAATTAAACAGTTTTCCAATAGTACTTTTTGCTACAAAACGTAAAGCAGTTTGTTTTTGCTTTTAAACCCAATTTGTGACTCATTGCATTTCCTGTTTAAGCTTTATCACTTGATTTATTTACGTGCAAAGTGTTTACCACATTCTTTTTTGAGCCATTAGCTTTCAATCATATGTAAACACTGCAATTTTTCGTTTCTTTTACACAGAAATATAAACTATTCAATGAATGGGGGAATATAAAGTTGAAATTGGAGAGATTGAGATAAAAAAATGATGGCAGATTTGTGGATAATAAAGAAGAAAATTAGGAAAACTACCTTAGAAAGGAAAATTTTCTGTTTGAAGGACTCAATTTCTAGAAAAATAGATAAGAAATTTAGAAATAGAAATAGAAATAGAAATAGAAATAGAAATAGAAATAGAAGTAGAAATAGAAATAGAAGTAGAAATAGAAATAGAAATAGAAATAGAAATAGAAATAGAAATAGAAATAGAAATAGAAATAGAAATAGAAATAGAAATAGAAATAGAAATAGAAATAGAAATAGAAATAGAAATAGAAATAGAAATAGAAATAGAAATAGAAATAGAAATAGAAATAGAAATAGGAATAGAAATAGGAATAGAAATAGGAATAGAAATAGAAATAGAAATAGAAATAGAAGTAGAAATAGAAATAGAAATAGAAATAGAAATAGGAATTTGAATTTGAATTTAGAAATAAATATATGGGAATGCCCATTGTTTGGTTGAGCAGCACTTCGTATTCGAGGCTAAATCTCCTTCTTCATATATTAGGCTGAGGAAAAAGTAATGTCGGTTTTGAATTCCCGTTGTTGGCAATTTTCCAGTTCTTCGCTTATGCGATTTTTTTTCAAATAGATATCAGCTAGACACTCTATACTTTCATATTAAATTTGACTTTCACAAATTTCTACAAATTTAACAATATTTTCAGGTACAAAATGCAAGAAAAAAAGTTTCGACTTCGAGCCGCTTTGTGGTATGATTTTAAACAGGGAAAATCCGCGGCTGAATCCCATCGGACAATCATTGAAGTTTTTGGGGAAGACAGCATTAGCGAAAGACAATGCCAAATATGGTTTCAGCAGTTAAAAGATGGAAACGAAAGTCTCCAAGACGAGGAACGGTCTGGACGACCCCAAGAGATTTCAGATGAGGATTCGCTTGATGCCATTGAACTCAATCCAACCCTTACCACTCGAAACTGTCACCGCTGATCTTTATTCAAAAAAGTTGATGAGACTTAACGAGGCTTTAAAGAAATTGGGCGTTGAAACATCAGAATTGCTATTTTTGCATGATAATGCAAAACCTCACACTGCAAAAAAATCACTCACCAAAAAATCGACGAGCTTGGTTGGAAACTTCTGCCCCACGCGTCTTATAGTCCGGACCTGGCCCATCAGATTATTTTTTGTTTTGGTCGTTGAAGAGTTTTCTTATGGGAGAAAAGTTTGAGAATCATGAACAGATCAAAAAAAGCAGTCGACACTTATTTTGGCTCGAAAACTCCTCATTTTTTTTGAGGATGGAATCAGGGACTTGCGACGAAGATGGGAACAAGTCATCAATAATAATGGAGAATATCTCATTGATTGATGTGTTTTTGTTTATGTTTTTAGCAATAAACAGTTTTGTGACAAAAACCGACATTACTTTTTCCTCAACTTAATAACTCAAAAAATTTTCTTTTCCTTCGCAAATTCAAAATTTCCCCATCAACCCTTTTCCCGACTAATATAATTTCAGCTTTTTTTTGTCTAACCAACCAAAAACATCATCTTTTCACTTCGAAATTTGTCCAATCACATAAAAACGATCACTCGTGCCACGAAGCAACTCACGATAATCCACTAGGTAATTCTTGAGGCCGAAAAATGACTCAGCTTATTCCTTTGTGAGCTTCACTTTCTTTCTTGTTGTCCTGCATTTTCTTGGAATCTTCTCTCCATGCATCTGAGTGTCAACTTGGATTTCAATAAGTTGTATTGTTTCGATGTAGAGAATTCCCTTTGATCAGGCAAAGAACTAAACTGGTAGGTCAAACAGTGAGCATTTTGTTTAGTGCATCGTCAAACGGTTTATGATCGATCACAAAACTCAAAATGCATCTCAAATTCGCTTTTGCATCTCAAACTCAAACTCAAATGAGGTTTCGAAATCCGTAATGGATTTTCGATGAAAAGGCAGATGCAAATTCACGATGATTTGGGAAATGTTTTACTCTCAGCACTTGTGAAGTGCTGAGAGTAAAACATTTCCCAAATCATCGTGAATTTGCGGATTCCTCTTTCGTCGTAAAATTTTAGTTTCTGTGTGCGACAAGTGTGAGACTCAAAAATGGAGGACTGGAGATGTCCCAGTTTGAGCACTTTCTTCAAAAGAAACCCATTTTAGTGTCAATAGAAAAGTTGTAGAGAATCAAAAATTAGGCTTATAGCCAAATTTTCAAAAAGATACACTTAGTAGTTTCGCTTAAAATGCAAGTTTTGTGAAAATTCGTGAATTTAGCATTTCTTGAAAACCAGTTTTTGAATCGTTCTGAAAATTTGAATATAAGCTTAATTTTTGATTCTCTACAACTTTTCCATTGACACCAAAATGGGTTTCTTTTGAAGAAAGTGCTCAAACTGTCACATATGACAATAGCCGGCAGTTTTCAATTCACCAACCCAATAGTTCCATGACTAGGAGGATGCAAAAAGTAAAATGAACTTGTCGTGAACTTATTGTCACTTTTCTTGTACACTTTGGACAACAGAAACACTCAAATAGCCAATTGATGAGAAACTAGGGAAAAAACGAGAACAATGCACAGCTAAAACCGCAACGAAATGATAGTTTATTTAAACGAGAGACACCAGAGTAAAACAAGAAATACTCAAAAACTGCTTACAAGTCAAAAACAGGTTTTATCATTATCATCCACATTTTCAGTGATTCAATGTTTTTCTGTATCTATCCTGATGGATCGATGGCAGCAGCAGGGTCAGGTGCAGGGCATTCATCAGCGGGAATGCATTTCTTGCTCTCATCCCTCATGAATCCCTTGATGCAGAGGCATTGCTCTTGGGCTGGAGCTCCACAAGGCATACCCTATATTGAAAATAAAAATATCTTCCCATTTTTTATCTAAAACAATTTATTATTGTATTTTATTGCGTAGAAAGCGATTTAATAAAGCTTGGAGGCGAGGAGACACCCCAACACCTTCATTTGTGAGGAACCCCCTCCCCAACGCAGTCACTCTATCAAAATGAGCCTTGCAATCAATTTTTAGTTGAGGTAACTCGTTTTTAGCTTGTGAAATATCAATATTCAGACTCAGCGAAGGAAAAATCGTAGGATCTGGATCTAGAAAATGGATCCAAAAAAATTTTAGGGGAAAAATTCTCTTTTGGGGGGTAAACTAACTATACTTTAGTCTTCTCTTTCAACTAAAACGCACAAATCAAATCAAATTAATCATATCAAATTAATCAAATCAAAAAGGATAGTCAAAAGCGCATTTATCAAATCAAATCGATGCCATCTTCTTGGGGTTTTTTCGTTTTCTTTTGAGATTTGATTCGGTAAATTCTTTGGTCTTGTGTCTAATTATTTTAGAAAAAGAATTGGTAAGTGGAAAGGTATTGGATAAAGTTAAATGGCTACTAAGTTACAATTAGGCATTTTTGGGAGTCAAGTTTAAGTCCCAGGTCTTCCATTAGAGTCAATACGGTAAAAAGAGAAGTCTAGTAGATTATTTTTCATCTTTTTTTTTCAAATCCACCTGCTCGATTATCCAATCTTTGAAAGAGCAACCGTCACAGTCGCCCCCATTCCTCCACTCTTCGTTCTCACCGCATTCTGAAAAAACAACAACTTTTAGCTAGCTACAGTTTCAGCATTTTTTATTTTTTGAGTTTTGTATATACTTTTCAGTCGGGAATAAGTTGTTTTGCGCTAAAAATTGGTGAGATAAGAAAAGTAATTTTTTATTAAGCAACAAGCGCTCTCCCACTAGCCCACTAGCCATGAGTGCGCAGTAAAAACAAACGCGATCAATTTGCATCTAAGTTTGTTTTAAACAAAGTTGTTTAAAACAAAACAAAAAAGCAAAATTGTCGATATTCGCGAGGGTTGAACTCGGATCGGATCAAGAGACAAGCTGTCGATATTCGCGAGGTTCAACACCCACTAGCCATGAGTGCGCAGTAAAAATAAACGCGATCAATTTGCATTTAAGTTTGATGACTGATAGTTTTCGTTTTCGCGCAACTTTTAAAAATGCATTACTCGAGCGAAACACACTCTACTTTTGACACTAAAATAAGTTTTGTAAACAAAAGTTTTTGAGTCTTGAGTCAGTTTTTAGTTTGTTATTTTGTTTTGTTTTAGATTTGCCATAAAAACGGCTGATGGATAGATGGATTTGTGGGATTTGATGGATTTGTGGGCTGATGGATTTGTGTAGGCATAAGCTGTACATTTTTTTTTTGGCTTACCTTCATTAGCGATTGAAATAGTGAGCAATACAGAGAAAACAATAAGTATTTTCGCGTTCATTTTGGTGTAAATGCATTTACTGATTGGATTTTTGTAATTTATAGAAAGAAACGGCGATGAAAACACTGGAACCGATCCCTAAAAAAGGAGGAACTAAAATCTAAACGGCCGTGAAAAGAAAAAAAAGAGCAGGTAAACAAATCCAGCTAAAAATTGTTGTTTGAACACTTCTTTACAGGAACTAAAAGATAAAAGACAATTTATTCGTAAACTCATAGCTTCCTTAATCAACTTCGATAAATATTGTAATATTGGGTTGGGGAGAATGAGTCGGCGCCGAAATTTAAAGAAACTTTTTGCACCCATAAAACCTTCTTTAAATACACGTTTTGTTTCATCAAAATGGTCCACTATTTCTTTACAAAATAGCTTTTGAGAGATTCCACAAAGCTTTTCTTTTTTGGGATTTTATGGATTCCCAAACACAACTAATCAAAATGACAAAAAGTCCGACTCGTTGCTTGAACAGTTTCTTCCACATAAACCTCCTTTGGTGTTTATATAAAAAAGATAGAGCACACTCAGTTACATAAGTTACCAAATTTTCAGGAAGATCCCTCCAACCGTTTACTCTAGATGACAGTTTATCGATTTCGTGAAAGAATGATCCTTTGTTGAGTTGAGGCGCTGTTTGAGTTCTCTTTTAAATATTATTTTGTAGAGAATTAGTTACCCTTCTACGGATATCAAACGCATATCATTTGACAAAGTCTGCTATAAGTTTTAGAAATTTCTTTGATTTTCGGCGCCGACTCATTCTCCCCAACCCAATATTTATCACCAGAAAGTACCGTTTTTTCAAATTTTCAGCCTCTCTTAAAACATGCTTAAGAATCATATCAAGACATATAAATCTAGACATATAAATCGTGGAGTATACAGTTTTCATTATATAAACTAAACTTGGAAACTTTCAGTTTGGACGCCAATAGGCGTGCGACGGAAATATGGCATATCTCGGTCAATTTCACTCCAATCTTTTTGATTTTGATATCAATTGACGCAGAATTTAATTTTCTATCGATTGCAATTAGAGACAAAAAGATTGGAGTGAAATTGGCAAAGATATGCCATTTTTCCTTTCGACACCTATTGACGTTCACACCGAAAATTCCCCAAGTCTAATACAAACTACTTAGCCATTAAGATCTTGTCTACATTTAAAGATATAAAAGCACTAGTGTTATTTGTTTATGCAATTTGATAAACACGACGTTTTTAATCGAGATCCTTTTATATAGCAGTTCAAAGAAGGCAAAAAGTTGATGCTAGTAAAATGTCAAAAAAAGATTGCAAAAAACCATTGCAAAGTTGATGATTGTTTGGCATTTAGTTCACGATTAGCTACAGACAGCTATGCAAAAAAAAGTTTAAACCTTTTGCTCATTTTCAAATTTGACAAGGGAAGATCACGAAATCAAGGTGGCGAATCGAAACGAGAACTAGACCATCCGATGCATAATTTTACGCCGATTCCGAATCTGCTGTCAATTTTTGCTAAATAGGGTCGGAATCGCAAAGAATTTGGTAAACAACTCCGTTCGCCTCTCTTATAACGCTTGCGCGCGCACGATAAAGAAATGGTTGCGTAGTGTAGCGGATAATGCAAAGCAAAATGTCGAAATGCAAAGCCATAGGTCGACGATTTGACTTCCCTGATTGCTCCAATCAAGCTTACATATCTGAGTTCGTTCCGGCTTTTTCTCAACTTAAGAGAGTACAGTCGACTCTCTCTCTCTATAACGGAACTCTATATTGCGGAAAGCTCTACATAACGGTATGGAATTTTGGTTCCGGCCAATGTTAAGCTATTTTAAATATAAAAAAAACTCTATATAGCGGAATTCTATATAACGGAAACTCTCTATAACGGAGGAAAAATTTGGAACCACTTATATAACAAATAAATTGTGGTTGGCTAACAAATGTGATTGGTTAACAAATAGTTGATTAATTGTTTGCTTGCTGTTGCTTTGGTTAAGCTTGTACAACAAAGTGCAAATGCAAGAGTCTTAATCTAAATACAGAAAAACTCGTGTTAGAACAAGAACTTTTTGGTATAGTCGGACATGATCCGTAAGTAAAAGAAGAAGAGGAAGGAGAAGGAAAACAAATTCACTCCGGCGGTAGTAAAAGAGCTCAAAATTATACCGGATTTTTGCACGGATCACCGAGAGGATCTACGAAAAGAACTTGCAATGCTTCAGAAAGTCGGACATCTAAACATCGTCCGGCTTATCAAAATGCAAAAAAAGGAGTTCCACTACGATAAACTCTGTATAGTTCTGGAATATACACTAAAAAGAGAGAAATACACTAAAAACGATGAGTATGTTAAAATTCTTTTGACAGAAATGTAAACCATTCTGAACGTCATGGCAGTTTATTCAAAGTAAAACTTATTGTTATTGAATGAACGAGTTCTCTACACAATGCATCTACGGTGATCACTTGGGCACGTTGCCTTTTAAGTGCTTATTAAAGTCAAATCAAACAGTGGCTAAATTGCTTTACTGTATTTTCCTTTACTTTACTGTTTGTTGCTTCGTATCTGTATTTATGATACTTTATTTCAACAAAATATATTGATCAAAAAAAGTTTCAAAATGCAAATACAACATATAGATTAAAAAAAATGGAATAGCTCATGCATTTAATGCTTGGGATCAAAATAAGTTAATCTATTGTATTTCAAAAGCAGCTGCACTGGGTTTCCGCTAAGCGGTCGCACGGAGAAATTGTTCTAGTTATAAATTTTACACTTTAAGTACTTACACAACCCTTTTTTCTCATTTACTACGGTTAAATTTAAACGCTTGCAAAAATTGCAGAATTTCAAAACAAATATTTTCTTCAGAACTTATTAGTCAGCTGGGGTTCTTATTATTAGAAATAAACGTAGAAAAAACGATCTGTGTCAAAAAGATTCTTAGTTTTGTTACTTATCTGAAGACAAAAGTGAGACGGCAAGCTATCTACCGTATTTCCTCTGTGAGCCAGATCATCATTTTGGTTGAATATTCAGAGTTTTTTTGATCACTTTCAGAGAAAAGACGGTAGATTTGATTTAACAAAACGATCATCACTCGGGCACAATAGTATAATCAATTACAAGATGTCCTTGTCTCACTATTCTACCATAAATTGCACAAGAATCGTAAGTATCTCTGAAATATGAGTATCCTCCAAATGATTCCCTTTCTGCTGCATAGATCATTGAGCTTGTATTGCAATATTTCGGCATGAAATACTCAACAATGTTTTCCGTTGTTAGAGGAAGGGAAAAATTGGAAAACGGAGTCGGCGGATCTGTGAGTGGCTTTTGGCAAGTGCTTCTCGCAATTATATAGCCCTTTTCTTTATAAATTGCTCCGAAATTTAAATGTTTTTTCGAATCACAACCAATAGTGGCCGTTCTGCTGTCACGAACGGCCACATAAAAGAAACCGACAAACTTTTGTTTTAGTTGATTGAAGATTTCAAGTACAAGTTTATCATTGTTGTTCCGATTTGCGTCGATTGCCTTTTCAACTAAATCTTTCACCGATTCTGGCCATTTTCTGAACAACCTTGTTTTACTTTCAGTCATTTCGAAAAGAATCTTGCGTAATATTTCCGCAAATTCATCTTGAATTGCCGTCTCCGAGTCGGTCGAGTAAAGTTTTTCGCAAGATCCGCTTAGAATAGCCAGCGATTGCAGTAGGTTTTCCAACCATCCTTCGACTTTCGTAAAAATATTTTCATTGTAATTTGTGCCCACCATCAACGACTCGAGTATGGACGTCCCACCGGCGATTCGATCGAGCATTTTTCTAGTCAAATCGTTTGGTGGATGTGTCGCACACCAGTTCTTGAAAGCATTCAAATTGTTCGCTGAGTTGACTTTCCAAAGTTTTTTCAACAAATGCATTCCACTCTCAAAGTTGTCGTAAACATGAGCTTGAAAGTCGTGATAATCCATCCGATAAAGCACTTTATCGAAAAGCACATGTAATTTTTCAAATTCTTTCAACAGCACCGTTTTCAGAAAATTCATGATAGCTAAGTGAAACAAACTAGAATAGAGACGTTGTTCCGAGAACGTGGCAAATAGGGTCACTCCAACTAGCATTCATAAAAGGAAAATAAAGTAAAGATCATTCGAGTCGCTTCAATTGTTTCTGTACCTACGGTTATTTTCGGAACAGTAGTAACCTTGTTTTTGCCCGATTCAATCGAGGAATTTCTGAAGGAACTGAAAACGGTGCTGATGGAATTTGAAAAATTATATGACTAAAAAAATGCTCGATCGAATCGCCGGTGGGACGTCCATACTCGAGTCGTTGATGGTGGGCACAAATTACAATGAAAATATTTATACGAAAGTCGAAGGGTGGTTGGAAAACCTACTGCAATCGCTGGCTATTCTAAGCGGATCTTGCGAAAAACTTTACTCGACTGACTCAGAGACGGCAATTCAAGATGAATTTGCGGAAATATTACGCAAGATTCTTTTCGAAATGACTGAGAGTTAAATGAAATGAAATTTTGCATTATGAATTGCAAGTTTTATTCACTTTGCAACAATTTATTGCAAACATATAATAAGCAAACAAGCTTAACAACAACAAAAAAATTAATTAACAACTTCCCTAAAGTGCAACACAACAAATGTTAGAACAAAATCAAGTTGAACCAAAAAATAATTAAAAATTAAATGTTACTTGTTTGAGCAGGGATTGCTGTTGTGACATCGACTGTTGCACAAAACGTTGGACTTGAGGCATACACATCGACCATTTACGCATCTGTACACTTACAGTGCTTGTGCCCAAAAAAAAGCAATTAAACAAACGCTACAAAAAATACCTTGAGATCCGGTGAGAGATTCGGCGCCGACTGCTGAGCGATATGATGTCTCCTTTGGTCCGTGCCCATGATCCTTGTGTGCTTTCATCAACATCAACAGTTCAAAGAGATTTTCCTTGATCATCACTCGTTTCATTTCTTCGGTTCTTCCAATGTTGTAGATGATGTCCAGATCGTTCTCCTTTTGCAAAGTAAAGCGCGCCAACAAATTGATTTCTTCAGGAGTCCTTTTTCCTTTTGTATCTTCACTGGTTATTTGTTTGATCGTTTTCACTATTTCGGCGTGCTTTGTGACATCGGGAATCCAATTGTATTTCTTCGTAGATTGATGTTGCGTAAGGTGATCAACAAATTTACTTTCCATTTCTAAAAAAATAGCTAGAAAAGTTGCAACGATACACGAGATAAATCGAAAAAAAGAAACGATTGAAAAATTATTACTCAACTATTACTTAAAACAAAAAAATTATTACTCATTAAACACCGAAGAAAGCAATAGTTCTAAAAGATGGAATGTGTCTAAAAGATGGAATGAGTGGCGTTGTTTCAATTTTTTTTCGAAACTATCTTTTTAAAAAGATTTGGCAACAGAAGGCAACAATTTGGCGACAGAAGGCAACAATTTGGCAACAGAAGGCAACAATTTGGCAACAGAAGGCAACAACTGGGCAAAAGAAGTTACCTCCCGAGGTGTTAAAATGTTTGGTCCTATTAACCTAACTTTTTTATTTGCATGTGAGATAAATCTGCATTGTTTTCCAAATGTTTCGTCAAAAAAACTTTCAATCACCATCGGCTAGCCGATGGTGGTTCAATCACTAGCGGCTGAAAATCACAAGCGGCTGCGACATATAAACTAAACCTGGAAACCGGTCTGAACGCCAATAGGCGTGCAACGGAAAAATGGCATATCTCGACCAATTTCACTCTGATCTTTTTGTTTTTCATATCTATTGACGCAGAATTTAATTTTCTATCAATTGAAATTAAATTTGACACGGTTTTAAGAGAATTCTTTTCCGTAAGTAAGAGATTCTTTTCCGCTTTCATGCTCTCATCTTCCATTTAGAGATAAGGATTTTTCTGTTTTTCTTTCTCAATAATCAACCCTACTTGTCCACGGCTTTACTATGTCAAAGAAGGACAAAGTTGTCAGGAAATCCGAATTCTTAATGTTTTATCGGAAGAGGAGTTTTTTCAGCTAAATCCGAGTGTTGATTGTGAAAGTTTGCAATTCGGCGATAAAATTTGTGTGAAACGTCGTCATCCAAAAGACACGATTCTTGGCTCGAATTCGCAAAGTTACGAAAGCAAAAAAGTTCACGAAATCCCTGAGCTTTGATTTGGCGTCATCAAATTCGGTAATCAAACTCTCGATGTGGATTTGAATTTGAAAGAAAGTCGATTGGAAATGAAAGAACTAGTGCAATCGGGTTTCTCTTCAATCGAGTTTGCTGCGAAGACGAGGGAGGCCGCTTTGGAGCTATCGCCAACACTTAAACTAGCAATTATAAAAGGAAAAGCAGCAAAGATCATTCGAGTCGCTGCAACTTTTTCTGCACCTATTGCTATTTTCGGAACAGTAGTAGGCTTGTTTTTGCCCGATCCAATCGAAGAATTTCTGAAGGAACTGAAAACGGTGCTGTTGAAAGAATTTGAAAAATTACATGTGCTTTTCGATAAAGTGCTTTATCGGATGGATTATCACGACTTTCAAGCTCATGTTTACGACAACTTTGAGAGTGGAATGCATTTGTTGAAAAAACTTTGGAAAGTCAACACAGTGAACAATTTGAACGCTTCCAAGAACTGGTGTGCGACACATCCACCAAACGATTTGACTAGAAAAATGCTCGATCGAATCACCGGTGGAGCGTCGATTCTCGATTCGTTGATGCTGGCCACAAATTACGATGAAAATATCTATACGAAAGTCGAAGGATGGTTGGAGAATCTATTGCAATCGCTGGCCATCCTAAGCGGATCTTGTGAAAGACTTTACTCGACTGACTCCGAGACGGCAATTCAAGACGAATTTGCGGAAATATTACGCAAGATTCTTTTCGAAATGACTGAAAGTAACGCAAGGTTGTTAAGAAAATGGCTTCTTGCCTGTTTTCCGCTTTTCGCACATAAAACAAGCTTGCGTCTGAAATTCCACAAAATTATGGATAATGTGAAACGCACTGTATTGACTGTTTTAAGAAACTTTACGAATCTCGACACTTTGAAAAATGAACAAATAGTTCAAGCCTGTCTTTGTCCGTTTGGAAATGTTTTCTTACTCGAACTCTTTGCTTTCATGATAAGATCCTTGTTGTTTCTCTTTTCTGACCTTGAATTTTCCTTTTTCCTGACCGATGGTCGAAAAACGAGATGAATGACTGAAACTGGGAATTTAAGCGATCCTTCCCCGATAGTTTTTGTCATTTACTGAAAATGTTTTTGATTTTGTGCTTTTTATTCGTGGTTTCAATGGTTGGAGCCGATGAGGAGAAGGTTGGACCATGGAAAACTTAAAAACCATAACAATAGAACACCAGGTACAGGGTTGGGCAAAATAAGCCGGGCAAGAAACTTGTTTGAATTTTATTCGTTAACCTTTCCATAAAACTCCTATAATTCTTTCTATAAACTCTTAACTATCCTCGAAAAAAGTAGCCACACTTTTCCAGTCGAATGTTGTTTTTTTCGAGTTTTTCAGAAAGCAAAAAAGTGCTGCAAAGAGGGAAAATGAATCTCCGCACCATTATCAGTTTTACCCGATGCTTTGTGGTTTGAATAAAAAGCCGGTCGGATCTTTCTTTTCAATAATGTCTTAATAGGCTAAGAAGTGAATAAATTTATGGAGAAAATGGAGAAACTATGGAGTAAATTAACAGCAAAGTTGGATGGATGCAAAGTTACAAAGAAGAACTCTTGTCTGGATAATTTTGCCCCACCCTGTTTGTATCAAACCAGCAAGTCAAAAAACTATTATTCTTATAACTATTATTAATAGTTGTAAGTTATAAGTTCATTTCTTTATTTTATCTTGTAAGCAGACATCAATAAAAAAGCTAGTTATGGCAATGGTTGTCAGTGAAGCTTAAGTCTAAGGCCTCCAGAACTCTGATCTTTTAGGTAAAAAAAATTCCATCAGGTTGCAGTTTATCATTTAAATTTTAATGGTATCAATCAGTTATACACCCCCATTGCGTCAAATATGGTTATACTTAAGTCTAAGGCCTTCCCCTCATACACCCCCTAGAGAGGGAGTGTATGAGGGGATGGGGGTGTAACCGTACCTGATGCAATAGGGGTGTTTAACCGATTAGTACCAAATATCATTCATTCCAAGAGCACTCCTTATTGTGTCACCCCAGCTGATTGTGTGAAATTGATTGGCGCCGAATGTAATGAGCCGGGAGTGACGTGTTGGTGTGTGGAACAGACGTCGTGCTCTCTCAAGAGGGTTGGTTGAAGTTTGGGCTGTTGTCTCCATGGCAAGGTTGAGGTTGAGACAGCTTAGTTGGCAATCATAGTTCGATCTCAAAACATTTGCGACAACATTGGTCTAATTATACATTTGCTTTAGGCCTGTGATCCAGCGAAAAACGACGCCGATTGTAATGAGAGCGCTCCGAGTTGTATCCTCGATGAATCGGTGGGGATTATGATTATGATAGAAGAAAAACTTAGAAATGAAATGGTTTTTATCTTTATAAAGTAAAACAGGCTAAGTATTAAAGGTTATAGCACAATTTTTCCAGGACAACTCTCACTTTTGCGGTCACAAGCTTTATGGACTTCTGCCATGAGTCTAAATCGATACTCGAAAAGAATCGATGGAAAAATAATAAAGTTTTACATCGTAATCGCTTATCACAACAAAAAAAATACAAGCTTGTAGACAATAATAATGTAAAAATATAATATTATAAACTGTTTCTTCTTTCTCTCAAAGACTTCAATTTATTCGACATGTGACCAAGAGTTTAGAGAGCAAAAACGTCACAGAGTCACAAAAAAATGAAAATATAAACAATGAAAACGCTGAAATTCCCATTATCAATCATCAGACTGACATACTTTTGATTGAATCTTTTTATTTTTTGGGCTCCCAACCAGATTGATCAGAATTCAAACTTTTAGAAAATGTTCAAGCTCCTCCTCTTGGTTGTGGCGCTCTCGATGGTGGCCGGCTCGTTGACGGAGAAACAGGTGGGGAATGAAAACCAATAATACTGTAAAAAATGCATTTATTAAAAACCAATAAGGTGATACAAGGATACATATTAAGACATAAGGTCTAAACAAACAATTTTATGGCACTGCGGCCGTTACCCCTATTATCCTCATTACCCAAATGTTGTGAAAGAAAAAACCCACTTGGTGGGAAAAAGAAACATTTTTGTCTTGCCAGCGTGATTGAACCGTCGACCTTCCGCTTAAGAGATAAGACTCCTAACCGGTCGGCCATCTGGCCCATAGGCCCATGTACACTAGACATTTTTCGGTCGGCCGACCCCGATTTTGGACCGGATCGACTGGGATCCTAAAAAAGAAAGCCCGACTGACCGAGACCGATCAAAGAACGACGAGAGACGAGATCTCGAAACAGTAACCGAACCGAGACCAACCGACCGAACCTCGGGGACCGACACGCGCTTCGTGTATCGTGTGTCTAGTGTACACAAATAGACTTCTACAAAGTAGGATCAGCTTTGATTCAAAAAGAATAAAAACGTTCTGAGTATATGCACAAAGAACCGTATTTGAAACCCCATTTTCCGAATTTCGAGAGCGGCTCACCAGTAACTGACAAGGGAAGGCCAGTTGGGATAGCCAAATTACCTGGGCCATAGATCATTCGACGTAGAATTTCACGCTGAGCACGATGTTGCTTTCCGTTTTTGCTAAACGACACTCTGCCAAACGTTATACCCTTTTAAAGTTTTGTGACATCAAACTGACATCGGTTTGTGACATCGGTGTGACATTAAACTAGGCTTTTACCATTTCATTGACAAGTGTCACAATTATTGAATTATTGTTGCTATTGTTTCGTTTAAGTCTTATGTGGTTTCTATATTTGTCTGTTAAAAATGAATGTTTTTGCCACAAAAAACTGGCTAGAAATAGCGGATTTGACGCAGAAAATACACAAGCCATTTAAAACTAAAAAAGCAAAACAAAATGTCAGCTGATGGATTTGAACCAGGGACGTCTTGCCATGTATTTTATCCTACTACCGCTCTGTTCCTCTTCCGTGTCTGAAAAGTCCGATTTTAAGGTCTATTTTGATTTTTGGAACTCCTTACAAAATCTTAAACCCGTATAACTTTTAGCAGAGTGTCGTTTAGCAAAAACGGAAAGCTGCATTGTGCTGAGCATGAAATTCTGCGTCGAATCGTCTATATGGCTCATGTCATTTGCCTATCCAGTTGGCCTCTCCAGTTGGCCTCTCCAGTTGGCCTCTCCAGTTGGCCTCTCCAGTTGGCCTCTCCAGTTGGCCTATCCAGTTGGCCTATCCAGTTGACCTTCCCTTGTAAGTAGTGGAACTCGTGCCACCTCTCACACCGAAATCGCTCCATCCCTCCCACTTTAGGTGATAAGGGGTAAGGAGAGAGGGCCCCGCAGAACAAGGAGAACTCAATATATTGCTGATAACTAGTAGCTGTCAAAGTTTAGTCTAATATGTATAAACTTGTCTCTAATCATTTTAGCCCGAGAAGAAAAAGCATCACTGTGAGACGGACGCTGATTGTAGCAAGGATAATGATCGATGCCAGAAACCAAACGCCGTTTGCGCTTGTGAGGGTAAATCGTGGTGCTCGATCAAATATGTGAGTTTAGGGACGAGTTTAGGATCAACAATTAAATACTGACCACCAAACTGTTGCATTATCCACTGCCCGATGACTTGGAATGGTTTAGTTTACGCCGGGCAAATCACGGATCCCACTCAATTTGGGTGGGGTATGCGATTTGCCTTTGAACTCTCTACCCCCACTTTTCGGTGAGGGTTTTCGCAGCCACCCCACTTTGAGTTGGGCTCCGCAGCATGACCTAATTTTTTTCAATGTCACGAACCGGCTGTTTTGACACAATTTATAAGATAGGAAACAGGGAAAAAAATTGGGCTGTGGGGGTGAGAGGGGTTTGAGGTGAGAGGCTGATAGTAAGCCGTGGATCCCACCAACCCAAAGGGAATCCCTGGTGCAGTGAGTTGTTTAGCTTTATTAGCAATATTCAGAAGTGTGACCCGGCGAAGAACGGGGAGGAGTGCCCGAGTTTTTCCAAGAAATGCCTCAAATCGGGAACGGTGAGCTTTCCTTGGGTTTTTTTGGACAATGTACTTAAAGAAATTATTATTTATTATTGTATTATTGTTTTTAAATGAATTTATAAGTTTTGGAAATTCTTTTAGAAATTCTTTTTATTAGATTATTTTATTTAAAATCTTTAGGACACTGAGTTCTTCTGTGCGCGCGAAGAGCACTCGGGCGGCGCGCCGGGCACCTCGGGACTTCATGGAAGATTTTAAACGTTAAACTTTTGAAAGTTTGCTTAAATTTTCATTCCCTATATGTTTATTTCTTTTTCGAAAACGGCAATTCAAGGCATACCGTCAAGAGAACGGCAACTGAGAGAGAGACATCTGAAAAGACGGTGTAAAGAGAGAAAAAGCTGAGAATGTATAATTATTATCGTTTTCTTGTTTGGTTTTCTTCTTTCCTGTTCACAGAGGCGACATTAACAACCGGTGAAGGGCAAAAGTAGGAGTAGACTCAATACTTATCAATATACCTTACTTTATCAATACGAAAGGACTTTATTAATACGAAAGGAAATTCTACGTAAACTGTTCGCTTGACGATATCTTGTTTCTTTAATGTCGAACTTGGGAACTCCTCAAAATGGCCGAAACGAGCACTCCTATTTCGAATACTTGAGGTTACTTTAGCCAAAAACTAATCCCGGATTCGAATTCCCCGACGCCGAAAACCCGGGTATATAATAGGTACGTACAAGGCCATCTGAAACCAAACAAATTTTCGGCTTGATCTATCGATTGAGTTCACTAAATTTTGATCTGATCCACTGGTCAGGTTGTCCCAGGGGACAGAACGCACCTCACCTCACTACATCGTGCACATCCGCGCGAAATAAAAGTGAAAATGCGTTCACGCTTAGTTTTTGATAGCAGAGATACTATTCGACGCGGAATTTGATGCTGATTCCAGATCTAAAAAAACTTTTAAAATCTGTTTGACAGAAGTTTTTAAAATCGAAAAATAGTGAAAAAATCGACTTTTTTCCATTGAAAGGCCAAAAGTGCCCCTCTTCGGAAGGCCAGATCTCGGCGATAACGGCAAATAACCAAAATTTGAGCACAATCCTAATGCACCAGGGTTGTATCTACATTTTAAAACCAAAAACATGAGAATTGGACAATTCTGAAAAAGCTAGTAGCATTTGGAATGGAAAATTTTGCGACTTTTTGTGCACTAAAACGTGAAGAATCTACTAAATGTAGGTTACCAATTTATCAAATCTACCAAATCTATGAATAATCATCCCGTTGGTGACGTTGATGAAAATCATCCCGTTGGTTCGATCGAGCCCGATTTAGCCGAGGCTGGTCTACTGGCCACCGGATTTCCCTCATCATAAGTGTAAGCTAGTTAGCTATAGAAAAATAAATAACGATCTACAGTATATTTTACGGTATACTCAAGTAATAGTCAATTATTTTATTTTATTTTTGCCAAGGACGTATTGCCTCTTCAAGTTACACGTGGGTAGATGCTCGAGGCAGTCATCGCAAGCCATTGCAGTCAGTCATCGGATCGCAAGCCTGAACTCATTCTCGTATCTCTGTTTGTTCTAACTATGTATTGATGTTGTGCATACTTAAGTAACTTTGCGAAAACACTGCTTTGTTATAGGTTTGTGCTATTTTCCTTTTTTGTGAGACAAACCCTCTTCAAGGAGCACCACGATTGACTCTCGCATCCACACGTCACCGCCAGCTCGTCGCACTTATTAACTTACCTGGCTCTTGTCATCGGCGATCACCGTGGCCACAATGGCTATCAAAAAGATGAGCAACATTCTGAAAGTTGCTTGGAATTTACTGAAAAGTTGTTTGTTTACAAGGTTTAAGTCAGTGAAATCCAAATCCAGGAACTAAAACTTCCAAAGGCTAAAAGAGTGAGCTCTCCGCTCGAAAATAGGGAGATAAATTTCGATTTTCTAAAAAAATGTCAATGAGAAAGCGGAAAACATAGAAAATCAACCAGCAATGGCCCGGTTTCGCTTAAAAAAAATTGTTTTTCTTTTTTTTCTATAGATTATCTTTCTCATATTGGAGGGTAAAGGTGTGAATGGCTTGTGGGAGCTGGAAAAAAAGGAAAAGGTGAGAAAATAGAGAAATTACTCGTATTTAAATAGAATAGATATATCGTAGAATATCGTAAATAGAACCTGAAACAAGTGACGGTGACTCACCAATAATTGACCATGATTCTTTTGCGAATTAAAAGGAAAATATACTCTTTTCACGGTTATTTTCATTTCAAACAAGAGGGGGAAATTTGTGCTTAAACTTGTAGCTTTAGTGGATAAAAGTTGACAAAGCAAGGGAATTGTGCATTATGAACTAAAGAACATTTGACTTTTGCCTCTAGAGAAATGATCAGAGGTGGGCTGAATTTAAAAATGTTTGTAAGTATTTTGGGTTAAACATAGCAAAAGCAAATATGAAGAGGCAGCAAAATTAAACAAAGATCTCTAGTCAAATGGAGTTTTTTGAATTAATTCTTTAGTTGAACCAGAAATGAAGTCAAAGTCAAAGTTTCTTAAAATCTGCCTGTTCCAAATCAGGCCAACTGAAAGGTCGACTGATTTAAATGTTATTTTTATATTTACCCTATTCTAATTGAGCATAAGGGTTTACAAATGGATAGCCATCAAGCTAACATCAAGATTTCAGGTAAAAACGGTTATGATAGTGGTTCCTTTGCGATAGAAGGATCCAAAAAGCGAACTGAAATCAAGGGAAAAATACTACAAGGCCTGTCTAATTCTTGCTACATAAGATTATAAGTTTGTAACTGGTCTAGTAGACTAGATCAAGACCAGACCGGTTTAGTAAACGACTCCGAAATCTCAAAGGCTATATCGGTAGCTATATTCGCCAGTGGCCTAGCAGAGTCTAATGGACTCAAAATACGTATTTGTCGTAGTCGATTTTAACTGAATACTTTAACTTTTTAACTTTGCCAGCCGATTTTGATTCAGTTAAAAAATTCAGTTAAAATAGTTCAAACAAACAATGGTGCTTTCACTAGAAGCCAGCTAGAAAAAAAGCCATGAAAATACGACTACCTGAGAATGGCCATAAAATCAAGTAGGCACTGTTGTTCTCTGACATTGAGAAGTCTATGTTTAGATCAAACGTTTAGCTCAAAGGATCCAAATTTCCTGTTACCGGGAAGAGCTAGCTCATTATTTAGCTGTGCATTAACCTGTTTCTCATCGAACGCGTGCTATTGTAAAAAATGTTTTGTGTGGAAGAGTTCTAAAGATGAGAAAGAAATTGCTTAAAGATTTTAAATTCCTTGGTCTGCGAAATAACATTCTCAGCAAATATCACAGAATATTTATTGGAAACAAAAAATAGTTCTCTTCAAATTTCAAGTATCTGTGAGATTCAGTGCTCTTTGAATTGTTTCTCGAAATGGTTTCTTGATGGCGTTGAGCCCAGTTGGGGTCAGGTGGCAATCATTATCCACATAGGCCATTTGGGTCTTTGCATCGAAAGTCACGATTTTTCCCTTTTTTCGATCTAAAATCAAAAACTTGTTTAATTTGAGATCTAAACAAGTTAAGACACTTAAAAGTTCAGTTAATTCTTTTTCAGGGAAAAGTTATCGTCTCTTCTACAAAGGGACTAATGATTCTTGTCATTATGATTAATATAAAAGTCTAGCTATGTCTAAAGTTTTGCTCTAATAGAACTGCGTTTCTAATCGTACTGCGTTTCTAATAGTACTGCGTTTCTGGTTTCTGCGTGGATATGGACCTAAAGTATTCAACCATACCTTACCTAGACTGTAATTGAAGCCCCCTCTCCTTCAATTACAGTATAGGTAAGGCCCCCCGGGGCCCCTCTCTAATAGAAGCCCCCTCTGGAGGGTAAGGGAAAAATAGTTTTATCAAAGAGCAAACTATAGCTCTTTATGCATTTTTAATATGATAATCAGGCACGTATTGCCTAGCTTTGGGCAAAGTTTCATCTCGATCTAATAGCTGGACTTCAAGCAGAAGACTTTTGTTTGAAGTCAGTCGATTTGGACTCTTTGATCTTCTGTGTACTAGATTTTTCTGCTAGCCCTAAACATTTCCTAAACAAGTTGGCAATTTGAAGCCAATTTGAAGCCAATTGACCAGCCCATTTGCCAGCCAATTTGAAGTAGATACTTTGAAGAGGATAATTTGAATAAAAACATAAAGATACCAAGTACTTTCCCAAAAAACTTTGACAGCATTTCAAATTATCAAAAAGTTGCTTAAAACTAAAAAAAGTAAGTTTTGAAATGTCTAAAAGTTTATGTGGTAATGGGAATTTTGTACCAAATCTCTTATCTAGGCGCTGATAAAAAACACTGGTAAAAAAGTTTCTGGATTGGATTCTTTTCTGAAAAATTTTCCAGGAAAATATCTTGCAAGTGACTTTTTTCGCTCTTTTGTTCATAGCTCAACTTGCATTCATCAAAACGGGGGAAAAACTTGCTGCCTAATAGACAATCGAATACTAACAATGTTTCAAAAGTTTCATAAAAACACCTAGTTCAATCTTTAAGAAAGCTCACAAGCAAAAACTCTTGTTATGCGATGTGGACTAGATCAGAACTCCTTCAAGACAACAGCCAACCTTTTGTGAATGGCATGATTATCGAAGGCTTCTGGCTAATCAGTTTTCAAACAAAAGCCTTCTGCTTGAAGCCCAGTCATTAGATCGGAATGAAACTTTGCCTAAAGCTAGCTAATGCGTGTCTGATTATCATATCAAAAATGATTATCATGTTTGTCGTTTTGTGAGCAAGATGATTTACCTATAAACTGCTCGGCCACATTGATCAAATGACATTTTGGACACTCCTTCAAGACAACAGCCAACCTTTTGTGAATAGCATGATTATCGAAGGCTTCTGGCTAAATTTTATGCGTTAAAAAGTGGAAAGAAAACTTAACGTCAAAATCGCGGTGCACCATTTTGTTCGGATCACCACCTTTCTCGAGCACATCAACGTATTTTCGAAGGAACGAAGCCCATGGCGTTGTAATGTCCTTGGGACAGTATGGTTGATGAGATTCGATGAAGATGTGATCAGCAAATTTACTGAATAAGAATAATTGCAATATGTATATAGACATTGACACTAACATTGACAATAAAGTCAGTTCCAAAGCTCTGGTTGACTGGCTCATTATCAAAACTGACTCTTTAATTGCATGTACGGTCCTAGCCGGGCCTCCCACCTCAGTAAAGAGAAAATAGCTGATAAATTTATTCAGTTACACAAAAAAAGTTACACAAGATTGCGATTATAAACTCTTGTGATGTTTAAATAGATTCAAAGTTTCATTGCTCACCTCAGTCTTCTTGTCGCATTCAAGTACAGTTCTAGAATTTTGTCATTCTTTTGAAGGGGTTTCAGATGGCCTTGTACGTACCTATTATACAAAAAGTTCACTAAAAAACCAAGCCAACTCTTTCAAAACCTCAATAAAATGAAAACAATCTGAGGCCGACTCTCCTCAACGAATTTCCAATATCCCTCCGATTGACCTAAATATTCGAAAATGAAAGGACAAGGTGCGGCAGAAATATGGTAACTTTATCGATTTATTGAGCCTAACTCAGTCCTCGATGCCTCAAATCAAATAATTCTTTTTGCTGAATCGTTCTAAGATTCTATTTATGGTTCCATTTGCCCAAAAACATGAACATGTCCAAGAAGTAGTTATAAACATTAAAATTTAATAAAAGAAACGGTTCTTTTCCTGCAGAAAGTTCTATCTAACCATTTGGACATTCCCGCGCACTTTGAATAATTATTAGAACTTTTAGGAAACAGTTACCTTTGTTCAATAATGTTTTTCCTAGAGCAAGTAACGCAGAATGTACTAGCAAAATAGAATTATTTGTTTTGAGGCATCGAGAACCGAGCTAGGCTGAATAACTTGAGTTTCCATAATTCTGGCGCATCCAGTAATCTGACAAGTGACTTTTACCTTTTACATAATCGAATGGAACCGCCGAAGCCGCGATGGCGAACATGTCCATCGTTTGGATATCGTTTTGAAGAATTTCTCGTACTATCTAAAAAATTTGTTACTAGCCGGTTATACACTCCATTGAATCAAGTACAATTATATCCCCCTCCGAAAAATGAGGGGTAGCCAGGCACAGAAGGATCGCGCATGTATTAGGGGCACCTGAGCCTGGGCCCACCAACTGCTAAATTTAGCAAAAGTTTTGCGTCCACCAACGAGTTTTGCTAAATTCCACGGGTGCACCAACGCATTTAGCAAGTTTAGATTTAGCAAAATTAGCTTTTTTTTGCTAAACACCTCCGAGAGTGTTTAGCAGTGCCGCCAGCTCCGAAAAAACATTTATAGCTCTGCTCTGGACAAAGATATCAAAAAACTAATCACAGATTTCACTCCAACATCCTCTGGCTACAAAACAAGCCAAAATTTGACCAGTTTTGAGCACTTGAACTTCATGTGCTCATGAAAAATTCAGCATTTAGCATTTAGCAAAGGTGCTAAATGCTAAATCGATTTTGCAAAATTGGTAAATGCTAAACTGGTAAATCCGTTTAGCAAAATTGTTAGATTGGAAATTGGTAAATGCTAGATGGTAAATGGTAAGTGGTTTGGTAGACCCGGGCCCTGTAGAACAAGTTCTGGCTATAGTATGCACGCCTCGATACAGGTGCGGCGCCGCTGAGCTCAACTCTAGCAGAAAAGTCCCTGGGTTGAGAGTGTATAACCGTATTTGATGTGCTGGAGGTGTACAATCGACTAGTGCCGAAAATTGAAATCTTCTGTCAGCAAAGATGTGAAAATAAAACTTCAGTGTCGCCTTTTCTTACATGCGTCTGCTGTGACGCCCAAGAGTTTCCCGAAACGACCACACGATACTTTCCGGTTCCATTCTAAAGTTTATTCTAGCTTTCTTTTGCGATTGCTTTTCTCAATTGCTTATATTTCTAATGTTCTGTGCTCTGCTTTGAAAATACTAGCCTTATATTGGTAATGTCCCATATCGGATCGTTTCTGTTTCCACGCGTCATTCACCATTACTCCCTCCTCCAATTTATACATTGTCTTGTACGCTTTACGGTTCTCCTCGACAATCGATTTCATAGCTGGAAAGTCGTGGATTTTTATGGAAAAAGCGAAAACTTTTTTAGTCTCAAAAATCTAGGCTTGCAGCCTTAGGATACTTGGGAAGAGTACTAGGTGACCGTGGGATTTCGAAATGCCATCCGATAGAAATCTAGCCCATCCGATAGAAAATCGAACGGGGAATCCAAATCTGTGATCGAGATCTGCTGAATAGCTCGAAAACGCGAGATTTCTGGCATCAGATCTTTTGCTAAACACTCTTGAGCTGAGTTTACGCTTCTCTTTTAACGGCGGTCTTGGTGTAGCAGGTAGTGTGCTTGTTTACGGAACGGATCGAATTTTTGCAGTGAGTTCGAATTTTCTATTTTCTATCGGATGGGCTAGGTCTCGTTTCGAAATCCGACGGTAACCTAGTACTCTTCCCTAGTAAGAGGAATCCCACAACCTAGCAACCCTTCCCCTGTTAGCAAAAAGCATCAAGATTGGGCTGTAAAGGTACACCTCTGCTTCTGTAAAGGCAGCAGACAAGAGGTGAAAGACTATTTCTTTTTTTTGATAGGGAAAGAATTGCACGACAAATAAAATACTGCTTTTTGTGATCCAGATTATGTTGTTTTTAGGACCATTACTAGGCTCAGCCCCATATTCTTCATCTATTCTTACCCCCAGCCACTATTCTTTTTATCGTCTTACAAAATCGTGTCGAAAGAGTCGGCTCATGGCACTAAAAAAAATGGGTGGGGGTAAGTTTCGGACTCCCCCTTTCCCTCCCCACCTAAAAGTGGGGAGTGAAGGTTATCCCTTCACTTCAAACCTATTCTATTCAAAAATTAAAGAACTTTACCACATTCCGGGTGTACAATCGATGCCCATTTCCAGCTGATCAACAGTGAAAGAATGAGAAATTTGAGAATCTCCTTGAAAACCGTTTTCCTATCAGCTACAAGCATGGGTTTTTCGTAGAAATGATGAACGAGGGCGCTCAGTAGAAAAGACATCACAAAAGCTAGGCATTTTACTGCAAAATCTCGATTCTTTTCATAGAGCCAGCATCCGACAAACCGATATTTTCTTCAAGATCGTAATATGAAGCCAAATACTTTGAATAGCTGAGCACCGGATAGTGAATCAAATAGAGAGCATAGGAGATCTCGCCCAGATAGTTCAGACGAAACTTTGACCAATCAATCAAGCTACAGAAATTGAATTGATTTTGCTTTTCTGTTATTTATACACCCATGCACAAAAAAAATGTCACATCGTTTTTACAAAACTTTACGCCTAAATTTGACCTACTAAACGTGTTCCAAATTCTATGCTGTCAAAAGGTTTTAGATAGCAAAAAGCTTCTACTTTCTTGTGAAAAAGTGTTCAAGTTCCAGCAATTTGTTTAAATTTTTATTTTTCAATAAATACCGGAAGAACACCAAAAACGGGTGCACAAAAAAAATGTCACATTTAACTTGAACCTCCCTTAGCTGGGCCTCCCTTAGCTTGAATAACTGCCTGAATCCTCCGTGGCATCGAATCAGTCAAATCCTCCAAGATTTGAGGAGAAATTTTCCGCCATTCGCTTCGAATGAAGTACCAAAGCTCAACCTTGGTCGCAAATCGTTTGCCCTTCAGTTTACCCTTGATGTGCGACCACAAATGCTCGATTACGTTGAGATCCGGGCTGTAAGGTGGAGCAGCGACGAGCTTGACACGATTGTCAGCGAACCATCCCGGTAAACGAGCCCTTCCACCGTTTGAAAGTCGGCCGACCCTTCCTATCAACATCTGGTGCTTGTGACACGGAGCGTTATCCTTGTACAACAACCATCCTCGTCCCATATTCGTGGTCGCAAATGGAAGAATATCATTCTCCAGGATCGTCTTGTACCGCTGGGCCTTCAAGATTGAGTTGAGAAAGACGAGCGGACCTGGTGAACTTCTAGTTATCGCTCCTGAAAAAAAGCAAGATTAGTTGACATAAGGGAACAAGTCTTTTACCCCATAGCATAATCGATCCGCCACCAAATTTGACTGTCGGCCGCAAGTATTTGATGTTATGGCGTTGTCCAACTGGTCTCCGGATTATGCTATGGGGTAAAAGACTTGTTCCCTTATGTCAACTAATCTTGCTTTTTTTTCAGGAGCGATAACTAGAAGTTCACCAGGTCCGCTCGTCTTTCTCAACTCAATCTTGAAGGCCCAGCGGTACAAGACGATCCTGGAGAATGATATTCTTCCATTTGCGACCACGAATATGGGACGAGGATGGTTGTTGTACAAGGATAACGCTCCGTGTCACAAGCACCAGATGTTGATAGGAAGGGTCGGCCGACTTTCAAACGGTGGAAGGGCTCGTTTACCGGGATGGTTCGCTGACAATCGTGTCAAGCTCGTCGCTGCTCCACCTTACAGCCCGGATCTCAACGTAATCGAGCATTTGTGGTCGCACATCAAGGGTAAACTGAAGGGCAAACGATTTGCGACCAAGGTTGAGCTTTGGTACTTCATTCGAAGCGAATGGCGGAAAATTTCTCCTCAAATCTTGGAGGATTTGACTGATTCGATGCCACGGAGGATTCAGGCAGTTATTCAAGCTAAGGGAGGCCCAGCTAAGGGAGGTTCAAGTTAAATGTGACATTTTTTTTGTGCACCCGTTTTTGGTGTTCTTCCGGTATTTATTGAAAAATAAAAATTTAAACAAATTGCTGGAACTTGAACACTTTTTCACAAGAAAGTAGAAGCTTTTTGCTATCTAAAACCTTTTGACAGCATAGAATTTGGAACACGTTTAGTAGGTCAAATTTAGGCGTAAAGTTTTGTAAAAACGATGTGACATTTTTTTTTGTGCATGGGTGTAGTTTCTTATAGTATTGTAAAAACTGTTCTAAAAAATAAAATTACCACTTTGCCCATTTTATTTTGCCTGATAACAGAAAGTGGCAGACTTCGTTATGAGAACTTTTTTATAGAAATTCTGTACAATTTTCTGCTTACTAGAGAAAGTTAACGAGTAATGAGATTTCACAATTAACGCAATTAACGCAATTAACGAGTTAACGAGCTTATTCGATCGAGTTTTTCATGGAGATTTCGAACCCGCATTCAGTTTTGCCGAATGACTTTCAATCTTGAGATGTTTGATCTCAAGAACTTCACTGAAAAAGCTAGGTGTCACTGAGAAATACTATCGTAACTTGTTGCGCTTTTCTAGCTATATCTCTACCTATGTGGGGCAAATTTCATGAAGACGCCGGCCATTATTGTGACAAAGATTTGGATCAGCCGTGGGTCGAGCAATTGAACCGGTAGAAACACGACAAACGTCAATACAAGAGAAACCACGGCGATTGCCTTGAGTTTTCGGTTTGGCTGCTCTTGCTGTATCTCTTTTGACTAAAAGATTTGGGTTATTAATGGCGGTGAGTCGAGTTGCAATTATGTATGCAGTATAAAGTTAAAAAACTGAATTTTTTTGCTTATTTGGAATCCAATCAACTTTGTTTTCCTTATGAAATCTAGAGAATATCACAGGAAATTTGCTGTATATAATTGCGGGTTGTCTGTCCGTCCGCCCGTCCGTAAACACGAAAATTTTTCGAGGTGTGGAGGAGCAGGTGTGACCAAGGGGATAGCGCGCCGGTCTTCAGATCCCGGTTCGGAGCCAGACCGCGGGATATTGTTTTGCTTTCGTTATTCAATGAAAAACGTTGTCTTTGCTATGAATTATATAAAAATGCTCGTCTCTCAGAAAAAAATCAGGGAATGGGTTTTTCGGGCTGGATATTGACACCTGGGGGCTTACGACTATGCTGAGGCCGAATCTGACGTCAGATTCGAGGCCTGTGTGCAAGTTAGCAAACGAGTTTAGTCAAACGGTTGTTGATTGGACCAAAAATAAGAAAAATATTCCGTTTCTTTAACCTTTTTACGTTGCTATACTACATATATGCCTTAAATAAATTCAGCCCATATCTATTGGGTTGGTGAGTTGAGAACTGCCGGCTATTGTCATATGTGACAGTTTGAGCACTTTCTTCAAAAGAAACCCATTTTGGTGTCAATGGAAAAGTTGTAGAAAATCAAAAATCAAGCTTATATCCTAATTTTCAGAACGATTCAAAAGCTGGTTTTCAAGAAATGCGAAATTTACGAATTTTCACGAAACTTGCAACAAAACTTGCAACAAAAATTGCATTTTAAGCGAAACTACTAAGTGTATCTTTTTGGAAATTTGGCTATAAGCCTAATTTTTGATTCTCTACAACTTTTCAATTGACACCAAAATGGGTTTCTTTTGAAGAAAGTGCTCAAACTGGGACATCTCCAGTCTCCATTTCTAGTCCTCCATTTTTGAGTCTCACACTTGTCCCACACACAAACCAAAATCCTACTACGAAAGAGGAATCAAATTGCCTGTAAAATGGGTAGAAGTCGTCAATAATAATGGAAATTATTTGGAATGAATTGATGGTTTTATTTTGAATAAATTTTAGTTCAAAGTCCGGCAGTTTTCAATTCACCAACCCAATAAGTTGGATTTTTGAGATTCAGCCTTATAATCACCGTAATTTCCTCTGTCCAAAAGGAGGCCAGCATTCCGATCAGGAATTGCCAAAGTCTCGCAAACGGATGATAAAAAGCGGTGATTGGGGTGATTTCGAGGCGGAATTTCAGCGAAATCACCAGGATTATGAGCATTATTAACCATCCACATCGATAGCCTGAATTCATTTGGCTTAATTCAAATAAAAAGAAAGATTTATTATTAGAGTGTGTTCCCCTCAAGAAATAGTGTGAAATAGGAAACGGGTTAGGTCGAAATCAACAGAATATCTCAAATATCTTCTACAATTTTTAAGATATTCAGTTTATTTTAAATGTTTTCTATTTTGGGTTCGTTTCCTATTTTGCGCTATTTCTTGAGAGAAACACAATCGATTTATTATACCCTCGACTTGCATCTTTGAGCAGAGAAAAATGATTGGTGCGACAATATAGAATTGCATCTCTACAGCTAGAGACCAAAAATGAAGAAATGGAATCCCAACGGTTCCCTAGAATATGAAATTGTTAGACTTTTCTCCTACAAATTTCTTCGGAAATACAAATAAACGAAAATACAAACAAACTTCTTCGAAATAGTCACCATCTGTTGAGACCATTCTCAAATTTAGTGTCAATAAATTTGACGGAAGATAGTAGGAGAAATATTGCTGAGCCCAGCTGGCTGAATAGACAAACATTGCAAAAAAACCTGAAAATAGAAGATTATTTATAGTTTTGACTGTAAATAGTGATAGATCTAGACTTGATTCAATTTCGTGATTGATTAAAAGAACCGGGTCACTCGGTCCGGGTTCATTTAGGCTCATCTTCAATTTGAATACCCAGAAGGTAAGGTAAATGATAAAAGGAGTGGAATGCAATGCTTACTAGAGAAAGTTGTTGCATTGGCATCAGACCTAGGAAACAGATCTAGTGTATTCTATTGGAAAACAATCTAGTTTCCGAATCATCCGTCAATCCTATTCTAATCTAATTATCTAGTTGATGATTTTTCAGCGATTTTAGCCACCAAAGTTATAGTAGTCTCTGTTGGATGCATGATATATCATTATTGAAAAAATTCACTCTTCATCCTTTAAATAAGAACCCAAGCTTTTGACTCCTTTTATTCTCACCCGTAATAAAGACGATCAAGTAGTAGAGTGGGCAAATTCGCTTTACTCGTTTATAGTAAAACTCGACAATCATATGATGGGGAATGAGTTTCGATCGATCGAGCACCACTATCATCAAGTAACCAGAAATGACGAAAAAGCTAAACTTTCACGACAAGATAGAGACAAAAGATTTGAATGATTTACAGATCAACTCCGAGAAATCCTTCCGGGAAAATCGAAGGCCAAAAATGATAACCGAGAACGGCCAATATGGCGAGAGCTCTCAAAAGAGCGATGTCTTGTCGAAAATCGCTCACATCTAAAAAGAATTTAAGAGATTTTATGGGATGTGGAGAAGCAGGTTTTTGGTAAGGAGGTGTAGCTTTCGTAGGTAGGTTTAATGGATACCATTATTGAAAAATTCACTCCTCATTCTTTAAATAAGAACCCAAGATTTTGACTCCTTTTGTTCCTTTTGTTTTCACCCGTAATAAAGACGATCAAGTAGTAGAGTGGGCAAATTCGCATTTGTAGACTAGTTATACTTACAAGGGAACGTTCCAAAGAGGCTGTGAGACTTTTAAACGGCGAAAATTGCACTATTTCATTTCGAGATTACAAAGCATGCTGCGAGCAGCAGAAAACAAACAAAACTTGAGTTCTGTCCATCAAGTTTATGATCAAAAGTAGCTAGTTTCACTTCAATACCTTACTCTGATAGAGATTGATGCTACTTATAAGTGTAACTGCATTTCCTCAAATAGAACCACATGGTTGTTTTTTTTTTCACTCAGCTTTTTCGAATTCGGTCAAAGAGTAGGTAAAAAGGAACTTTTCAAAAACTTAGCTTGATCTATAAAAAGCAGGCCAACCGATAAACTAAAAATTAAAGTCCTTAAAAAAACAAACTTTATTAATTTATAAATTTCATTTAGAGTATTCTTGAACAATTTTTTTAATATATATAGAAAAAAGAAAACTTGCTTTGCCTTGTTTGAGCTATCGTAGTTTTTGTAAGATGTATCGACGGCTGATCAAAGGGCAAAAGTTTCTCTTCATCAAATTTCTTCATGAAAAAATAGCAAAATCAAATTTTTTCGCTAGTTCTCCCAGAATTGAAAAATCAAGCCTCCATAAAGATAGATAAAAATTGAAGAGTTTAGAGTAATAGTAAAATTTCGAGCTGAAAAGTTTCGTCTGCGCCTGACACACCCAATCTTCTTATAGGAGAAAAGCCTTTTTGTCATAGGAGAAAAATCTCAACTGATAAGAAAGAAATATTCACTGGAGGAATGTCGTAAATTCTTTGCTGAATAAGAAATGAATAAAAGACTAAAATCAGACGATGCACATATCGATCGCTACACAAATACAGGGTGATCAAAGAGTTCCCGCACAGTTTACAAAAGAAGCTTCATTTTTCAGCTAAAACTCAAATCAAAATTGGACTTACTATATAGTATTTTGAAGCTGAAATCCTGGGAGCATTTCTACAATTAAACCATCCTGATCAGAGCCATCTAGCTCGCCATAGAAGCAAAGTAGTACGCTGGAGGCAAACTGTCATGGCGCTCACCTATTTTAACCTGTTTTCAATTCAAAAATCCTTCAAAAGGCCTTTTTAAATTTATACTTTTGTTTTAAGTAACAGCTCAAATGTTATTTTAAAAGAATCAAATCTCTCGTCAAAATATTGGCTTGGTGGGTATGACTTGGTACGTTTTTTCAAATGAAATCCCAGAGATGTAAACAAACATGAGGGAGTTTGTGGAAAATAGGTAAATGAGCATTCACTCTTGCGAAAACAATGAACCTTCACTTTCAACATATTTGGTTTTTGGAAATTTACTTAACTTTGTTGAACTTAACTTTGAACTGGGCCTATTGAAAATTTCCAGCTGGAGAGACACGTTATGTTGTACGAATTTCTACAAGGACACAAGGGCCTCTAATGTTCAGCTAATATTGAGAATACTTATGTGGAAGGATCAGCCACACTACGGACCTGTGCAAACTGGTTTGTTCAATTCCATTCTGGGGATAAATCCTGAAATACAAAGGGAAGGGTCATCCAGCAGTCCAGCGGGATACTGACGAGTTGCTCGAAATTTTTCAAACCAAAGAAAAGGCTTTCTTGTTGCGAAATCGTAAAAGAGTTATCAGTTGCTCATACAATAATACTCGAATATTGGATACACTTGGGTCTAAATCAAAATTAGGGACTTGGATTCCACATGTTTTAACGGACACCCAGAAATGGCAACGTGTCAGAAACCAGTGCCGCTCATCTTTCTCGATACGAGCGCAAATCTTTTTTACCCCGTATTGTGACGGGGATGAAAATGGATTCTACAGGGTGTCCCAAAATTATGGTTACGCGCACTCTATTTGCCTTTTTTTTCATTTTACTGGTTTTTTTCTTACTTTTTGGTTTCATTGTACTAATTTATCTATTTTCAGGTATGAAATCGAAGAAGGACCTTCGACCAGCTATAATTTCCCTCCACCAACGGGGAAAAACCAACGCTGAAATTTCGCGAATCTTGCAGGAGGGGAAAATGAATGTGTCCCGCGCAGTGAAGCGATACAAGGAAACGGGATCAAATGAAGATCGCTCGGGACGCGGTCGAAAGAAGACTGCCAATGTTTCTGCAAAACGACGAAAAGTTTTTAAACGGCTCAAAAGAAGTCCGAATTCGTCCAAGAACTCCGTTCGAAAAATCGCGCAATCTGTCGGAATCGGCAAGAGTTCTGTTCATCGTATGCTCAAAACAGCCGGCATGAAAGCCAGAAAAGGTGTCAAAGGCCATTTATTGACGGACGTTATGAAAGCAAAACGATTTTCCCGGTGCAAGCAGCTTCTGAGACGCTTTGGCTCAAATCGCCATCAAGGAATTCTCTTCACAGACGAGAAGTGGTTTGCTATTGAGCAAGCCCATAACCATCAAAACGATCGTGTTTGGTCAAAGGATCCACTACCTCTTGATGATAGAATTGTGTCAAGACAACAAAAGCCGCAACAAGTTATGATATGGGCCGGAGTAACTCACAGCGGAAAAACTCCTTTGATCTTCATTCCACCAGGAGTCAAAATCGATAAAATAGCTTATATCAATATGCTTCAAAAATAATGTTTTGCCCTGGACTCAAGCTCATTTTGGCGCCAATAGCTGGACTTATCAACAGGATGGAGCTCCATCTCACAAAGCAGCTGTTACACAAGAATGGATCTCAAACAACTTTCCTGACTGGATCACAGTGGATATCAGCCAACAACGTCCGGGCGAATGGCCTTCAAACATCTCTGAACTAAACCCCTTAGACTATTCTATCTGGTCCATTCTTGAAAGCAAAGCTTGTGCAAAAGCTCACACAACAATTGACTCATTGAAAAAGGATTTGATCAAAGCTTGGAACGAGATTCCTTTGTCTACCATTGAAAAGGCCATTAATGACTTTCCAAAACGATTAAGGAAATGCATAGCTGCTAAAGGAGGCCATTTTGAGATTTAAATGTTGTTTTTATTGTTAATTAAATTGTTTAGAATAAATTTTTCCTTATCAGCTGATTTTTGCTATGTAAATAAAGTCGAAAACTTTTACGTTATTTCGTAACCATAATTTTGGGGCACCCTGTAATTGTCGGAGAAGGCGACAATGGGTTGCTGAAGGGGAAAAGCCAGAACCCGACGTCAAGCCAAATGTGGATGAGAAGAAGTTTATGCTCTCGGTGCTCTGGGATTTGGAAGAGCCTATCTGCTGAGGACTTTTGGCAAGACAACACTCACTTGAAAAAAGGACTGTGGGCTACAAATTTGACCAGCTGATCTGATAAGAAAGAGGAGCCAATTTTTTGTTTGCTGGGAGAAAAGAGAGTCAACAACCCTTTTATAATATAATTTTATACGCGGATTATTTACGGATTCCGCTAATTAATCTAAACCCATAGTTCGACTTTAGAAGACTTTAAATTTTGAAAAAATCTTTTATTTTTCAGCCGATGCGTTTGCTTTGGTTTTTCGTTCTCGTGCTCGCTCTGGCCGCCTCCGGGAATCCAGGGAATCCATCACTGAAAATCCGCCTGAATCATCGGGGATGGGATTTCCTCAGAGAGACCGGAATACGAATGGTTTGCAAACATTTTATTTCATTTATCTATGTATGAACTAATGTAGAGCTAAGGTATGAAGTCGATTTTCAGCTCAAACGATTTTGAGCATCATTAAGACTGGGTGAATATCCGAAAACTGGATATCGGCTTTTTTGTATGGAAAACCAGATATTCGATATTCAAAACAATGACGGGACAAAACAAAAATTTGGATACATATTTTGGGCTAATAAGGGCGATAGTGAGGTCATAAAAAACAGAAATAGCCAATATTTTACCTAAGAAGTTACAAATATGTGAATGTGAATATATCCAATATCCACAGCCCTGATCATTCTCTTTAGCTCGAGAAGAATATGCCGGGAATGCGTCTACCAGATCAAGAACACAAGAAATCTTACAAATTGGAATTGTATGATATGATAATCGACGGAATGAAAAGACCACAGTGAGAAAATTTTGCACCAAATGGTTAGGTAGAGAGCTTGGTATGATAAACTGACTATGCAAGTATTTCTTTAATGAGCATGCCACTAAAGAGTAGCGTTTTCTCTAAACTTTTCCTAGTTAGACCCTAAAAATGACCTAAATGACCTAATCAGTAAAATTCAGCTTTCACTATACGCTCACCGAAAACGGGATTTCGATACGAATGGAGGGAATGGAGCTTTGGGGTCACGGAACCTATCGAATCTCCAAGAAGATGATAGCTAAGGTTATACTCCTTTTTGAGTGTTTTCTTGTTAACAGGGGAGAAGTTCTTTTTGGCATGATTGAGATAGCCACCTAGGTAGGTGGAGTACATTTATTAGGGAGAGCACTTATACTAGAAAATCCCAACAATAGTATACAGAGTGGTCCGAAATTATAGCAAAATTTGCTGGAATCAGCCAACTATGATTTAAAAATAATTAAACCACTGGTAAAATAACATTTTTTATCTATTTTTCAACAAAAAAATCAACCAAGCTTAAAGTGGAAGCCTTGAGCGTTAGTACAGGCCCGGAGCGTTAGTACAAGCCCGGAGCGTTAGTATAGGCCTGGAGCGTTAGTACAGGCCTGGAGCGTTAGTACAGGCCCGGAGCGTTAGTATAGGCCTGGAGCGTTAGTACAGGCCTGGAGCGTTAGTACAGGCCTGGAGCGTTAGTACAGGCCTGGAGCGTTAGTACAGGCCCGGAGCGTTAGTACAGGCCTTGAGTCGTTTTGGGAACGCAGGTAGACTAGACCGTGGATAGCAGGTAGACTCTATTCAACTCATCCCAGGCTTTCAACAACGATTTCTTCAAGGAATTGATGTTTTTGTGCGGCTTCGGGCAAACTTTTGCTTCCAAAACGGTCCAGACAGAGTCATCAAGGGGATTAAGATCAGGAGAGCTTGGTACTTGACAAATTACTCGGTACACTCGGAAAACTTGATAAATTCGATTGTTCTCACATCAATCCTGAACTTTGCGAACTTTTTACGCAGGCACCCTCTTGCTGAAACGCCCAATGGCGTGCCCCGAAGTGTGGATTTGCCCATCGAAATAATTAGTCTTTAAGGAAATTGAAATACACGTCCTGATTGATCTTAACACCAGCATCCACGAAAACAAGCGACATTTTTCCATCTGATCGCACAGCTGCATAAACGATAACCGATTGTGGATGAGAAACTCGCTAAATTCCAGAATTAATCTTCGAATAGATGCGATTATACTCTTCAACAGTAAATATCGTTTCATCAAATCAGATGCAGATTGTTTCCGATCCGTCTCAGCAGGGCCTTTGAGAGTGCTAATCGTTTAACTTTAAACAATAATTGGACTTCGTTCTGCTTGTAGGTCGTCAACAACGATTCTTCGAAGAGAAGAGAAGAAGCAAATCCCTTTCGCATTTTGCGCACGGAACGACCACCGTTTTTGCGGATCGTGTACGCAGTATCGTGCGTTTTTGCGGATCGTGTCCTCGCATCTCAGTAGTTCTTAGTGCGCTTCCGACCTCTTCTAATCCGATCCTGATTTATTCCCAAGACTCTAAATATTTTACTCGTTCGATAAACAACGATCTTGTTGATCTTCAGTCGCTTGGCGATGTCGGTCGCTGATATCCCACTTTTATGCAAGACGACGATCGAATCAAGATGAACAGATTTTTTGACCATTCCTAAAATTAGCAAAGCTTTCGAGTAATAATATAAAATACAATCAAATAAGGAGAAAAAAAATCGAAGCTTTAGGGAAGCTTTAGGAATATAAATCGATTGCAGCTTCATTGAAGCCGACCCGAGTTGCTTTGGACCGTTGGACCCGAATTTTGGACCACCCTGTACACTCCTTGCTACAAGTACCCCACCCAGTCTGCCTGCGTTGGTCTCCCAACCATTGAGAAATCGAGATTTTGAAAATTCCCCTACTTTACAGTTCTCCACACACGGCCGGCTTGATGCCCGTTTACGCAATGTGCACGCGAATGGCCTCGTTCGAATTGGTCTTCATGAAGGGCGCCCACAAATATTCTTTGAGAACTGCAACGCCGGTGTCGGAGATGTGGAACTTGAGTTTGTCATATGCATAATATATTCAGACGATTCAAGGAGGATTTCAGTTTTCACGGCCGAGCCGCATGGATTATCAACCTTTTCACCGGATATCTAAACGACAAGGCAAGACGGGAAATCAACAAAAAAGTGAGTGATGAAAAGGAGCTGGCTTCTATTGTAGTTTCAAGAGTTTGAAAATTTATGACAAAATTGATGGTTGATAAGTTAGACTTTCGACGAGTGATAGATCTCTAGAAATCATGTAGTCTATATTTTCACCCTCACCACCCCCTATCCAACATCCCACCACTACCTCATCACCTCCTACCCAGCCCCCACCATCCCCTATTACCCTTGATGAGCGGAATTGAACACACAAGATTGACCCTTGACGGAATTGACACAAGATTGATGTTTCACTACCCCTTGACCATTCATTGTAACCGTGGGTTTGACTCGATCAAACTCGCTGACACGTCTACAGGCCTGTCAATACTTGCAAGACGCTATCGTTGATGCGAACACGAAAATTCTCTCGACTCCACTACACTTTGATTTGAAAGATGATCTCTCGTTGGATTATCGCTTTTTGCATATGGTGCACAATGCGTGAGTCGTTTTTGTCATTGTAGTACTGTAATACAAAGAGTAGTAACCTTCTCTATTGTAAATATTTCTTTATTGTAAACAATAAAGAGATTCTAGACAATACACCGAGACATGGCTGGCGGGAAGTGTGACAATGGGCAAATTCCATTGTTCCATCCATGCGACACCCATGGATGCAGGTCAGAGTTCTTGAATTCTGACTATCATCAAATGGAATGCTGGAAAGCTTTGGATCTAATCAGAGTTATCTAGGTCTACAAATTGTTATTAGACCGAAGCACACATTTTGTTTCAACAGCACTTTAGATAGATTTGATGCCTCAGGCTGTATCCCTCTCGATTTCAGGGCCAAATCCAGGAGATTTCATGACAACGGTGCTGATCTCCGAGCAGCTGGCCTCTTGTGTGCTCGATTCCGCCCACACAGCCGGCCTCATACAAGTCACCTTCACCAAGCATTCACGTGATATCGAAAAATCATTAAAGACAAGGTATGTGTTTCTAGTATGAGTTGATGTGAAACAAATCGATTTAATTATAACTAAACAAGAGTGAGTAGTTTTAGTTGTAGTGAAGAAGCTTTGACCGAGCTTTGTATGGGCACCTTATTCCCGGAACTCGCGATCAAATATCCAAACCAACACGTTGACGCCGTCTGTTATGCAAATCAGACTCCAAAGGTGTGCACAACTGTTCTTTTATTGCACAACTGCACAGTGCTCTTTCATTTCTTTTTTTTTCAGTTATCATTAAGCAAGACAGCTTCTTTGGATCTCTCGCTAAGTCTTGACCTCTTCCTCCATCCAAAAGCGGACAATCCAAATCGATTAGCGACATTGGGTGGGAAATTGTTACCATGGCTTAGGCTTAGGATAAGCCATACCGTAAATACTGTAGTTGAAGCCCTACGGTATATAAAACTTGTTTTTTTTTTGATTTGTGCCTAGGAACGAAAAAAAGGGAAACCTTTGTTATGTTAAAAGCTCTCTATAGAAATCAACTCCACATCGCATGTGTTTGTTCGAACCGAGGATACAATGCTGAAAGTTCGAGTGAAAAACACAAAAGTGCAGCTAAAGGAAACCTTCTCCGAAATTGGACGCTTGAGGTAAATAAAGAACTCAAATGTTTCCCCTATTCAATGCAAAATTCAGTTTCCTCGGCAGCTATTTGATCGCTAGTTTTGAGCAACTTCTGTTAAATGTATTTCTACAGAAGCCTATCCCCGTTCCGGTATTTCGAGAAGCTGCCATGGCAATAGCTGGTAAGCTGTGACTTTTAGCTGGTAAGCTGTGACTCTAGCTGGTAAGCTGTGACTTTTATTCACCTTTTATTTATTCACAAATCATTTATTCACAAATCATTTATTCACCAAATATAACATTAATATTGCCAACTTTCATTTTGTAAATAATGGACCAAATTATGTTTTGTGAAAATGCATATCGACTCATTTTAGGAAACCCACAGCATACGATCGAAAATGGTTTTGTTCGCGTTGATGCCAATTTTGTGCATCATTGAAAACTATAGAAAAGGAACAAGATCTGGGATTTCGAAAAGCAATTTTTTGAAACGAGCAATATATTTTTATTCTTACAAAATTCAATGAACAATGAACATTTTGGGCTATATAAAGTAAAGAGTATTTAAAACAAAGAAAAGCGCAAAGCAACGAAAGGGAAGAGAGCAATTGTTGAGAGTAATTGTCGCTGCTCATTGTTGCTGCTCATTGTTGTTGCTCATTGTTGCTGCTGATTGTTGCTTTTAGAGAGTGATTGTTGCAAGCAGTAAAGAGAAAATAGCTGTTAAATTTACTCAGTTACACAAAACAAGATCGGCATTCCACTCTAACTAGGGAAAGTGAGAAAGAAAGAGATGATGCCAAATATCTAATGACTGAAAGCCATTTTGCTAGAGCGGACTTCAGATTCAGATTCTTCGGGTTCGATTCTAGGGATAAGCTAAATCCAATCTCCACAATCACCCCTTCCATCTTTGCCTTTCTCTAGTAAGTATAAGTGTCAAATATCACGATAGTTGCCAATAATTTGTATTCGAAAGTGATTATGTTCTTGCTGAATGGTCAGCATGACCACCAGTTCCGTGTTACGAGACATCGTTTTGCGAACGAATTCCACATTATCAAACTCCTCCGACCCAAATTCGTTTGCATATTTGATACGGAGCCGGCTCAATTCGAGAACAAGCGCGATCTCTTCTTGATTTCCGACAATTCGCGAGACGCCCGTCGAGGCCTTCAGTCGATTGTGAATCGCTTGAAAGTTAGTGAACATTGCATTTTCGATGTTTTCGGTGTGCTCTCTGTGCACCCAGCGAATCATTGACAGCGAGCCTAACTTTCCAACAGATGGCCCGAGCTCTAAAAGTTTGTCGACAAGAACGAGACTTTCTTCGAGACTTCCAGACTTTCTAATTGTCATCAATGCATTAGAACCAAGCAAAACCTCATGACTAAAATCATTCTTCGAGTCCCATTCGATAATTTGACAATCACGAAACTGCTGTGTTTTGAGTAGGGTAAACATCGTTTCTTTGTACTGAGCGGCTTCCGATGGCAGCCATTCGAGCTGGAATGTCGCCTTGCTCTCGACTATTTTCGAGAAATTTTCTAACAATAACTTGAGGAAATCGAGTAGATTCGTTTGAATTTTTAACTGTTTTACTCTTGTCAAAAGCGGTAGAAAATCTTGACGTTGAAAGGTTGTTTGAAGAAATTTCAGCGTCGATGCAGATTGAGACATGTACTGGTGATAGATCATCTCAAGTGAAAGAGACTCGCACGTTTCAATGTTGTTTAACATTCTCCAAGCTGTCTCTTTATCGATTTTGTGTTTTAAAACTCGAGCACTTTTTTCCCCAATTTGCCACTCTGAAATGCTAGCATTCTTTTCTGTAATCGTGAAAATTCTATCAACGTCTTGAAGTCGGATTTCAAAAGATAGAGTCAATAGTTCAGTGGTCGACAAACGAATGATGATGTCACCAACATCTTTCGGGATCAGACTCAAGAGTTCTTTTGAAAGTTGTTCTCTTCTATTAACTTCTTCGCTATTTACTTCTTTAACGGGTTCTTTGACGTGTGGCAGCACTATTTCCCAATCCATTGACTTCTTTTCATGCTTTACAACAAAAGTTTCCTCAAGTGTCTCATTGCCAAGTGTTGTATTATAGACTTCTTGAGCGACCATTTGTCTTTCATGAAAAAAATCCGTGAAATGAAGATAACTCAAGACGGCTAATAGTAACAGAAGAAAGATAATAACAACAGAGCTGATTACGAGAATTGCAAACGTTTTCTGTCCTCTTCTCTTGGCTGTGCTCGGCATCTCTTGTTCATGCTCTGATTGGGCCGCTCTGACAGGCTCGATCAACACTTGTTCCTCGACATTGGCCCTAATCTGTGAGCTTTCTTGTCGTTTGGGTAATATTTTTTCTGGATCATCCGGCTCGACGAGTTCGACTGTCCAGTCCGGAGCCTCAAAACCAATTGGTGGCAAAACTTCGAAATCGTTCTCGTCCTCGTTTTCTTTCGGCATGAATTCCAAGTTTTCAGGAGTTCTCTGAAAAATTTCCTGGTGTTTTCCTGTTATTGGAGAGAAGACTAGAAGAATATTAACGGGGGAGGGGGAAGATTTTTGTACCAAGATTGGGGGGGAGGCACCGGTTTAGGCAGGTGCAGGGGGTATTAGGGGTGCACATACACTAGGAGATCTCAACTCTAGTATGCACCGCCTGTTAAATGCGCCGCATCCCCCCTGAGCCTGCCTAAATTGCCATACAAATTAGTGCTTTTGTGTTATTTGGGGAGGGGGTGTCAATGGTAAAATAGATGCTTTATGGTTACAGAAAAGGCGCCTCTGAAATTCCTGTTACAGCCCGCATATTTCAGAGTCGCATTTGCGCCGCCTGCTAGAAGCCTAAAGGTAGAGGGATTTGTGGGCGTGTGGAGCTTTCTATGTTGCCCTAACGGGCAACATCGAATGGTGCCACCTACAAAGATAACCCTCTACCTAGAGGCTTTAGCGACCGTTGCTCCCGGGGTGCTGCAGTCAGGTCACATGGGCGGAGCGCATCAGAGGTGCAGAGCCAAAGCCTAGTAACATTTATGCGCCTAAGTATTATAAAACCCAGTGGAAAATGCAGATTCCACCGCAGTGAATCTTTTTCTGAGATTTCCCCCCAGATAACACAAAAGTACCTATCAATTTGCTATCATAGGATTCCCCATATCGAACCCTACCTTTTTAATGTCTTTTAACACACGCAGGACCTCATCTGCTTTTGGCCTTTGTTTTCGATTGAAGTTTGTGCATCTGTAAAACCGAACTACACACAGATACAAACGAATTTTTCGAATTAATAACAAGTAAAGTTAATAGTAAACAGTATGCCGACCTTTCGACAATTGTTTGAATGGATGATTGACAGGTTGGCGGCTCCAACTTTTGCAACTTTTTCCGATAAATATCATAAAGGAAGGTCTCTCGGTCGAAATCTCTGTGTCCATATTCGGAAAAGACGATCCTGAAACTCGACTTTTAGAAATCGCATATTAGCAACTAACTTTCTTTCGATGATTTCCCACAACACGAGACCAAGGCTATACACATCGTTTCTGTGTGAAGCCTAAATTTTTGCCGTTTTACAATTGATTTCATCCAATAGGGCGATAGGTATTTTTCTTTGAGCTACGCGTTATATTTTGCTTCCTAACAATACGCTTAGGCAACCCAGAAAGAAAACAATGTTTAGATGAGAATTACTGTCATGGTAAACTGACTTGCTGTAGATCTGAAGGCCTTTCCGTTTCCTCGGCTACCCCCTCCTCAACGTGTCGTGGACTCATGTAGCGAGGAGTTCCGGCAAAAGTCGCCGAATTCACCGTATTGATGGCTAGCTTGATCAAGCCGAAATCGCCAATCTTGAGCATATAGTATTCGGTGACAAAGATGCTAAAATTGAGAGTTCTGCTTTTTGGAGACTTGAAAAAGTGACTTGTCTGGTTTGATGTCTCGATGAACGACGTTGTACTCGAAAAACATAACTCTAAGCGCGTCAAATAGTTGAACAGCCCATACAATGACTGTTTTCATCGAGTAGACAATACTTGAATCGTGTATAACTAAAGAATAGCTTTTTGATATAAAAGAGTTCTTACTTATGAACGGGCGGGGGATGGTGGTGTAATTAGGGGGAAGGAGAGCGCCCCGCTTATAACAGGAAGTGCACGCATACTATAGTTGGACCTACAGGTTTGAGCCTGCAGGTGTCTCAAAGTTATCCGGATAACTTGAACTGGAACTGAACGGACAACTGGAAAAGTACCTCCTAACTACGTAGCTTCTTAATTCCCTTTAATCTTGATCAAAAGTTTGCTTTTTTTTCTGATTCTGCAGGTCAAGCAACCTATAAAAGCGACGATTTGTTTTTAATTGCCGACTTAACAGTTTTAAAACTCAAAAAGATAGGTAAATGACCGTATCACATACCACCGTCCAAAAAAGAAATTTTATGACGAAACAACGGATCCCCGGTTGAGCCATCAAAAATTAACAAAAAAAAACAACAGCTAGCATATAAAATAATTAATAAGCAGCTACTTTTTCTGATCGGTTGATGACTTGAAAAATTCTCTTGCTAGAGAACAACTTCTGAATGACAGCTGGATCAGGAGAATTCCAGACAACTCGACTCGCGGCCCTCAACTCACCAACAGAAGCAAATTGCGGATTTTTGTAAACTTCGCGTCTCAAGTTCGCAAATCCTCGACCGGATCGAGACCAGGCGAGCGGCTTGGCCATTCCATTACATTGATGCCATTCGCTGCCATCCATCGTTTTGTAAAGTTGCTGGAATGAATAGGCATTGTTCTGTTGAAATTGGTAGGTTGTTTGAGGGTTTTGTGCCATAAATGGAAGCAAACTTGTATCCAAAACATCGACGTAGTCTTGGCTGTTCATTCGGTTGGAGACTTTTTTTTGTTTCTTCGCTCTTTTTGTTCTTTTCTTTTTTCATTTTTTTAAATTTTTCCGGCTTTTCAAAGTAGCTGGCAATCGTTTGATGCGAAGTTTTTCACTTTTGTAGCAATTTTTCGATTGGACAATCCTTGACTATGCAGAAGATCAATTTGGCCTTTTTGATAATCGTTTAGCGACCTAATAGGTGCCATTTACCTAAAAAATTTAAATATTACAGTGGTAAAGAAGAAAACTAAGTAAAAAAGCGAAAAAGACAGAAAAATCTAATGGTCCAGATGATGTGATACGGTCATTTCTCTATCTTTTTGAGTTTCTTGTTGCGTCGGCAATCAAGAACAAATCGTTAATTTTTTTACATTGTTCGACATGCAAAAATCATAAAAAGAACAAAGCTTTTCATCAAGATTAAAGGAGATTAGGAAATTATGGGGTTGGTGAATTGAAAACTGCGGACTATTGTCATATGTCACAGTTTGAGCACTTTCTTTAAAAGAAACCCATTTTGGTGTCAATGGAAAAGTTGTAGAGAATCAAAAATCAAGCTTATATCCAAATTTTCAGAACGATTCAAAAACTGGTTTTCAAGAAATGCCAAATTTACGCCAAATTTACGAATTTTTACAAAACTTGCATTTTAAGCGAAACTACTAAGTGTATCTTTTTGGAAATTTGGCTATAAGCCTAATTTTTGATTCTCTACAACTTTTCTATTGACACCAAAATGGGTTTGTTTTGAAGAAAGTGCTCAAACTGGAACATATGAACATCTCCAGTACTCCATTTTTGAGTCTCACACTAGTCTCACACACAAACCAAAATCCTACTACGAAAGAGGAATCCGCAAATTGCCTGTAAAATGGTCAGAAGTCGTCAATAATAATGGAAATTATTTGGAATGAATTGATGGTTTTATTTTGAATAAATTTTAGTTCAAGTCCCGCAGTTTTCAATTCACCAACCCAATATGTAGTTAGGGGGTAGTCCAGATGATGTGATACGGACTATATGTGCACCCCCTACTCGAACATTCACTCTCCTCCCACTCCTTTCTTTTCATCTTTAGTTGTTTCTTTGCCTTATACATACCCACTTTTCTCGAGGGGTCCCCGTCGACAGTATTCCATTACTATTCCAAACTCGTTCCTGCTTTCGTTCTCTTCGATCCGAATCAAAAAAATAATATTTGGATGTAGGAGTTTCTTTAAAATATTGCACTCGCGATAATAAATCGAAAGTCCGTTTTTGTTTGGACGGCGCAGACATTTGATCACAGCTGGTCTGAAAATATCATCAGAAATATCATCAGAAAAGCAGACAGGGAAAAAAAAATGTTGATATGTTGTATCCGATTTGGATTTTTATCCGATTTGGATTGAACTCACCGCGGATATCCGATTTGGATTTCAATCCAAATCGGATATCTGATTTGGATTGAAACATTATTTCACAGTAGGGTGTCATGTTTTTAAAAGGTTTTTAATCATTTTCTAGAAATTTTATAGAGGTTTAACTCTGGCAACCTAGAACAGTCCGTTAGCACCACCTTTCCCCAAAAAGGTTTTCCTGTATTTTAAGGTGAATTCAATTCAAAGCCCTTTATTTAATTAGCGGCAACTTTATCGTAAATGAAAATAATCATAAACAATAAAATAACTGGTTAAGTAAGCAAATTGGTGAAACTACACTTTAAACGATAAAAACGATGTAACTAAACAAAATGTAATTGTGAAAATGTAAAGAAAAACATGGAAAAAAACAACTATTTGTTCTTGCAACTAAGACTGTGATGGCATCTGGAATTGCAGAGGAGATCACGCATATCCTGCATGTCCAAGTTTAACATGCGTTTTGTGAAGAATGTTGAAGAGTTCTTCTTGTTGAATTACTCGTTGCCTTTCTGGTTAGCTACCGGCTTTCCGTCGTTCGTCTTCGTGATAAAGCGTGACTTTCGTGTTTTCGATTGAAAGAGTGTATCGCTTCAGCAAGTTGGTTTCATGATCCTCATTTTTGAAGTCTTCAGTGTTGAATCGTTAAAATTTTTAATTTTATTAACCATCAGCTTGTATAATAGATTTCGGCTGTCGGAATTTGGCTCGTCTTTTTTCGCTCCAATAAACTGTGAGTTTCTCATAGAAGCGTGACTCCATCTGTAAAACAACAACATAAAATAGGGTAAACAGCATAAAGACATAAAAAAAATACAGAAGCATGTCAAAACGCGTAAATAAACTACTTTTTTGGGCAAAGGTGGTGCTAACGGGCTGTTCTAGGTTGCCAGAGTTAAACCTCTATAAAATTTCTAGAAAATGATTAAAAACCTTTTAAAAACATGACACCTTACTGTGAAATAATGTTTCAATCCAAATCAGATATCCGATTTGGATTGAAATCCAAATCGGATATCCGCGGTGAGTTCAATCCAAATCGGATATCCGATTTGGATTCAATCCAAATCCGATACAACAGATACTTGTTTATTCGGTGAAACAAAATTTATCTCATCGAACAAATAAAAGCCACTAGATGTTCTAAATAAATTACACATGAAAAAAGCTTGCATTGCAGCTTGCAAAAAGCTAAAATCTATCTACTTTCCTTAGAAACAAATTAAAGGTTAAATGTCAATTGTCAAAAGCGATGTTTCAAGTATCTCAAGTTAAATTGTAATGAAAATTATGGCGTAATCAAAAAACTTTCCATCTAATAAACATATAGCAATAAGTTACTAAAAAGAGTTTAAGTTTGAGTTTAAGTTAGTAAAAACCTTTAACTCAAAAGTGACGCGTTTAGAACTCTCGTTAAACCCACGGATTATGACCGATAAGTTCATAAACATCTCCATAACCACCACTGCCGAGCAATCGTTTTGTGCAGTCATTCATGTAAATTTGTCACAAAGTTGAAAGACTTTAAGAACAATAAAAGCTAATACTAGTAGTAGCTAATACTTTAACATTGTAAAAGTAATTTCGTAGAGGTTTTGCAAAACAGAAAATCGATTTCAACTTGTTTACTCACTCGTGAAACGACTCTTCTTATCAGATTAAAATGCCCGCTCAGTCCTGTTTTGGGTTTTGACCGTTTTTCTCTAAGACTCCGGAGTTTTCAAGTTAATTTTCTTGAAACATTTGTGCACTAACAGCTATATAACATTTTATTTGTCTATTAAAAACCAAAGCCGAAGTGTTAAATCTCGGCTAAAAAGGGCCATCCGTTTTTAGTTAGTCGAATTCAACTGCATTCCATACATGATGGCGCAAAATTACCCGTGCAATTAAAAATGTAGATTTCTTTAACAAGTTTGAAGCAAAAGATTTCAAAATCATATAGAACTTTATTTAACCAACAATCACCAAAAATTAACATTTAGACTTCAAGGAAGCCACCCTGAGCATTTATACATAACTTTAATCGCTTCATGAAGGCATCACAGGTGGCCCGCAGGTAGTCGTCATCCAAATTGTCCCAAGCCTTGCAAAGAGCTGATTTCAATGATCCAAGACTTTTGTGTGGGGTAACACAAGCACCGGCCTTAAAAACTGATCAGACAGAAAAATCCATTGGGTTTGGAGGCCACTCTCCGTGGGCGATGAACTGTATCGAGTCGAAAAGCTCGCCTATTATTTGAATTCGATTCATCCGGGTTTTTAGAGATTGACTGTATAAAGTTTTTTTAAAATACTGTTATAAAACGTCTCATCGATTGACGACAATAGTAATCCCATGTAGTTGAGATTTAATAAGCTAAAACTAAACTATTCAAGCACTTTTTCCCGAAGAATTAAAATTCCAAAGTTGCTCATGGCTGAATTTTTGCAATTAAAGTTCAAAAAAAGTTATCGAATTCACTCAGAATTTTTCCCTAGGGAGTATAGTTCTAGCTTTTCTTCTTACTTTTGCTCAAATGTTTTCTTTTTTTCGTTAAATTTTGTAATTATGACTTTCCTATAGTTTTTCTTTACTCTAGCATATATACATACATTGAAATTTGAAAATAAGAAAAAGAAATCGACTATTGTCAATAAAAAGTTGGAATGTTCTTTGTAGTAATAATTGTTTTATAATGTGACTGAACTGATTTTGCAAACGTGCATATATTGACAGTACTAATTAGAAAAAGCTTTTCGAAACGTTTACGACAATTTTCGGAATTCCTCGGAGCTTTCTTTTGATTTCATCGTGTCGCAAAGAAACGAGTAGCACGTTGACAACACCTGAAAACAGCGAGTATTCATATAGTAAACCTTTGAACTATGAAATGAAGGATAAAATCAGCATAAAAGCAAATTTTTTTATAGTAATACTTGTATGATAATATGTTACTGAAGCATAAAAGAGAATTGCAACAACAGGAAAATCAGAAATTATCAATGAAACATCTTTCGAGCTCACCTTTACTCCCGGCACAAATGAACCAAATGAGTTGGTATCTCCCCAAGCCGAACGGGTTGAAATTGATCATAATATCGGGAATCACCACAAGGATCAGCTCAGCGGTTACAGTCAGACCTAAACTATCGTTTTACTACCTAAAATTTGGCTCTGCAACGCTGATTAATAACGGCGCGCATCACTAATTCACCGGAGATCTCCTCCTCTTTCCACTTCCCAGTCCATGCCCCACAAGGGAAGTGTACCAAGTTAAGGTGAACTTTTGAATCGAGACCTAAACCATTCAATGAAGATTTTCACGCTGATTCCGATTCTGCTTTCCGTTTTTTCAAAATAGCTCTCTATCAAAAGTTACAAGCATTTGTAACCAAAAAATATAAATTTTCCTGGCCGAAATGGGTTTCTCATAAGGCTTCTTCAGTGCCAGCCAAATGTGGACTGGCGGCGCAGTCGGTAGATGGCTTCTATACAAAACGATTTGGTACTTAGGGGTTATAAGTAGACTGTGTTCCTCGCGGTTAATGCATTTTCTAAAAGACGCTCGCAGAAAAACTTACTGTACCCGCGACAACAAAGTGTTTACATGCAAATTTCAAAAAAATTCAAATAGCGCTTAATTTTGCGTTCATTTGTTTCTTTTATCATTTCCTCTAGTTTGTTTCTAATGCCCTCTATAATAGTTATATTTTTGTTTTAGAATGAGTTATTATGAGCGCGTCACCTCGGCAGCCAAAAACGCCTTCTCTGGTGTGACAATTTATAAAAAGGGTTGAGGAAAAGGGGAATTACGAATCAAATACTGAATGAATTAATCAAAAGAAAAAATAATAGACAGATTAGAAAATAGTAGAAAATTGTTAAAGATTTACAAGTAGAACTAAAACTTCTTCAAAAAGCCCCTTTTCTGACGAAATGCCAATTTTGGTCCTTTTATAGGCGACAAAAAAAGCGCACGTTTTAGAAAGCGCATTAACCGACACTTTAACCGGTTAAAAATTGGGACCTAGGCGAAATTGCACCGCCAAAACAGCGCCCATACAAAAATAGCGCCAAATTGAAAGAGACTGCGATTAGATTTTTCAAGCCCAATGTTTTTATACTTCTCATAAGAACTTGTAACTTTTGTTACTTTTAAAACATTTTTTAACACCTTGCGCGTGTTTTGACAAACCGACCGATTATTCCATCATTAGAATCATGTTTTATGGCCCATTTTATCTTATCGGTAATTTCTTTTTACTATTTTGGTTGTATATTCGTTGAATATTTTAAAGTTTTCTTTCCGTTGTACGAAAACAAACTGCCGGGGAAGGATGCATAAAGATGAAGCAACTGGAGTCCTTTCTGTCACCAACGAGCACGCTATGACCTGCCTGCCATTGAAGGAAGAACAAGAGGTACGTATTGCTTTGTTTAACTTATTGTTGCTTGTTTATATTTTTAGATACGTGAGATACACTGTGGCGCCAAAAACGATCGAATTGCTGGAGTTCCGTCGAAGGAAATTATTAAACGACGTGTTCTCGGAGCTCGCCCACACCTATTACCTTTTCTCAATGCCAAATTCAACAAATGGCTCGCCGGCAAGTCAAAATCGATGGTGACAGGGATTGACCTGCTCCGGTCACTGGAACGTTTCGTGAGCTGTTGTTATGTCAGCCTCATAAACATTTACATTTAGGAGTTCTATTCTTACAATATGATAACTGATTACAATCAAACTACCCGGCTCCACACGCAAACGCAATTAAATTCTTTGCTACTGATTGGATAATCAATATGTTACTTCAGGTATATTAAACTCTTTAGACTTTCAACTTTAATAACAAAAGTCAAATACTTTTAGCGCTCAATTTGGAGTATTGATGGTACGTTTCATGCGGCTCCCTTTGGGTTTTCTCAAATTCTAGTGATCGGGGTTGAGGTTTTTTTGTTATGTTAAAGTTTTATAGTTTTGTTTTTAGATAGAACATCTTTTCGTTCCGTGTGCATATGCATTTCTGTCAAGCAAGTTGGCACAAACGTATAGTGACGTCTTTGGTCTGGTCAAACAATTGGGCGCGCCACTACCAACAAAAATTAAAACAGGTAATTTTTTTTTATCGGATAATTTATAAAACATCTTTAGATATAGAGCTGACTATTTTCAACGGTTTTATGGCAGTCTATGGCAATACAGCAACCATCCACTTCTGTTTTTTTTTGCATTTCTTTAAGGCCATCTTTTTCAAAATTAAGGGTATTAAACTTTGGTTTTTTTAATATTTATTTATTCTTTTAGAGAAGAAACTACAAGAAATCTGTTGTGATCCAAATACGTTTGTCTACGTGAAAGGATTCCTTGCACTAACATTCATAAAACCTGTTGATGTCTTGCAATATTTTCGTCCACTACGAGATGAAGCCTCCAAACAAATTCCCTCCATTATTAACGTATTACAAGGTTTGTTGTTTATCTTTGATAAATTAATTTTTTAAATTAGGCTTATATTTGTACTTCGAAAAACCTTTTGTTGGATTTGTTCAAAATAGTCGCTTTATTCGACCTTCAAACATACTCCATTCAAACGTGGAACTCTTTGATACAATTTGTCGTGGCGAACAACTTGACAACTCGTCTCGGAAATCTTACAATTCTTTACTAAAAGTTTGTGCTTTTAAAGTTTAGTTAATGTTTAAACATTTAGGCTCTTACTTCACGATATTCTGCTCACTAGGTTGCTCAAAAGCTACTAGATGTTCAAGAAGACTTCGGAAAACGTCTTGATGCGGTTACATCTCGGCACATGACTCTACCTCAATCTTCACCTCAATCGTCGAAAGTTCTTAATGGCCAGCGTGTAAGAAAAGTTGCGGTCCAAAATGGATTTTTGGGTAAGAGTCCAGTCGATCATTTAAAAATCTTTATGTTGTTGCATTCATATGTGTTAACTCCGTTGTTTCTATTTTTCATTTTGTTAATTGAATAAACAAGTTTTCATCTATTATTTTACTTGAGAATGCACAAAAAGCTTTTATCTTATAAAGCTTTTATCGAAAACTCCAAAAGAGCATTGGTTAATCTACATTAAAATCTTTAAATTTGGCGCTATTTTGACTAGCTCCCTAAAAATTAACCAAGCAAATTTAACTGGTTAATTAGTTTAACCGTTAGGAACACAGTCTAGTTATAAGCTCCGCGGTCTTAATAGGTGGTTATGTGCCTAAGCCTAAACCTAATCCTGAGCCTCAGCCATTTTTCAGAGTCCCCTTCTTCAGCTTGCAGTTCAAACATATTTTTATAAAAATTTCAATGATTTCTTTAGAAATGCCGTCATATTTCCAAACTCCGTTTCACATAACATCGCGTCTAAGGGTTATAAGCCCCGCGGTCTTAATCTGTGGTTGTGTGCCTAAACCTAAGCCTAAAACTAAGCCTATAGCCATTTATGGAAATGGGTTTAGGCAAACTTTGAAATGTATTTTTTTTTGCGAAACCTATATATGAGGACCGCGGGGCACATAACCCCTTAAGTACCAACGATTTCTTGATTCGTTTGCTTGGGTTCAATTCCATTCTTTCTTTCTTTTTATTTTGATGTGTCAACACTTGAATTTGTTTTATTTTTATATTTAAGTTATGGGATTTATCAATCCTGCGGCAATTATTGAGAAATTGTCTTTGCGCTTCGGGTGAGCCCTATCAATTCAATAGAGGGTATTTTTGAGAGAATTTTAACAAATGCTGAAAATGATTCTTTAATGGTTAATGACTATGGGGCAATTTATCCTTTTGATTACAATCCTGACTGCACATTTGTTGCTTGACTTTTTAATTTGTTTCCAGGCTCCACCCGAACTCTCATCAGCCCCACCTATCGTCATTGTAGTTCGAATGAGTCTCTTCGAATAGTTGCCCTTGTTAATATTGGAAATGCCACCTTTCAACGTTTTCGACATCTAAAAACAATAGTGGTTTAGGAAAAGGATTCGTCTCACTTTATAAATCCGTGCGGAAATCGGCGTGTACAATAGAGAACTTATTACGAGAGTGCTCAAGCGAAAATAGAGCATATATTTCCAGATTCCAGGTGTGAACGCCTCAGAGAAACAATAAGCTGAGGTAAGAAATGGAGGATTAGAGTAGATAATGACGAGAAAAAAGGATATAGTCGTTGTAATGTAGATAAAAAGACCTAAAGTTTGGAAGTCCTTTAATTGATTTTCTAGCAATATGCATATACAAAGATGGATGCTCACTCACCTCCCATAACACCGAATGAGAACCGCGGGCTCAATGAACGATAGTAGACCGGCTTCATAACGGCAATCAATCTGTAAAATGCTATAACTAAACAGGTATTGGACAATCCTTAGCAATAGCAAAAGCTAAGAACTCAATTGTTTCATAGCTTTAAGGATACATCCCATCCTTCCCAAAGTTTCATTCAAGGAGAAGCAAAAAAAAGTTGCCATTAATGCAACTAGTTGTAAGAGAACATAACTACTTAGAACTTAGAAACATAATTTCTTCCTTGTCTTTCCTATTTCTTCTTAGGCACTGAAGGCGCCGATAGCTCCGTGGTAGAGCATCCGCCCGGTAAGCAGAAGCCTGGTAAGCAGAAGGTCGAGGGTTCAATTCCCCCTTGGTTCCAAATTCTTTGCCGTTCATTTCTTTCTTTATTACCGCTCAACAGCAACGAACAGCGTGGCGGTGCCCATCAACTGATAGCTGAACATGAAAAGCACGATAAACCCGTAACGCATACAATCATAATTCGTGATGGTTACACTGCCTAAATGCTTGAACAATACTAGGCAAATCGACTTCTCAGGCAGACCAAGGTCATTGACAGCAATCCATAAGCGATAAATTGCTGACAAAAGACAAGCGATACTGTGGACGGTGTCCGCTACACACATAAAAGCAATGATGATCAACTCTTTTTGACACCTGAAAAAGGATTTTCTTTGCTGAGTGGCGTAGTAGAAATACTCAGATCAATCGGATATTTAGTTCCTTTATAGTTCCTATTTGGTTCCTTTATAGTTCGTATTTGGTTACTTTATAGTTCCTATTTAGTTCCTATTTAGTTCCTTTAAAGTTCCTATTTAGTTCTTTAAAGTTCCTATTTGGTTCCTTTATAGTTCCTATTTAGTTCCTATTTAGTTCCTATTTGGTTACTTTATAGTTCCGATATAGATCCGATATAGATCCGAATGGATCAAGTGACTGAATTCCATGGTGTTTATCGGAACCAATAGATCATTGGGTTTAAAGCTTGTTTTGTACAAAACTAATGTGAAAAAAAAGGAATAAACATAGTAAACACATATATTTTAACAAGTTTAAGTCACTTTTTTTTAAAGTTATTGCCTTTCGCGTTGATGTTTATCTAGAAACTCCCTTGGAAAGCGCTCACTGTGGCACGGAGGTAAAGTACATCGAGTTTGTCACAAACTTTTGTTAACTTTTCTTGAAAGAATCAAAACTGAAATATGGTCTCAACATTTTTAATGTCCCATACATTTGAAAACCGGTGAATAGTGAAGGATTTCTTTAAACATTAAACATTATCATTCTTATCATAAAACAAGAATAACTAGGTCTGATCCTTTCAGGTGTAATTCAATGATCGAGTTCCAATGAATCGATTTTTCGCATAAGAAATTGAGTAAACAGTAAAAGTAAGTGAGCATGTCAACTCTGCAATTCAGTGCTTTCTCAATGATTTTTTCATAAAACAATTTTAGAAGCGCTAAACAACCTTCAAACTTAAAAGTCCCCATAAATATTGAACACTCTGTATTATTACCTCGTCTGATTGGATGGCCAGCTCAATTCAATCCAATTTAATGGGGCGGTTTTGCTCATTATTAGGAAATCACTATTTACTTGTACCGATTAATTTCTCTGGCTAAACGCTTTAGGCATGACACAAGTGTACACTAAAATTTAGCCACGAGTCATAAGCGACACTAACACCTTGAGCTTTTGCATGCGTTTCTGTTTCTGTTGAGAAAGAGTTTAAGCTCCCAGGTTGTTATTATTAACAAATAAATAGTGATTCCCAACAACAATAAGGCAACATGCCAGAAAGGGGATTCTTCTTTAGCTTTTCTCTAAGCCTGTGAACTGACAAGCTGTCCTACTACATGTAAACGGACTATTTCTTACTCCAGCTGTCTCAATCCGGATTTTGATTTTGCATTTTTCGCTATTCTTCTCAGCTAAATAAAAACTTCCGACTTGACGATGATCTTGGCCATGTTCTATAGGCCAAAACTAGCTAAGGAAAATAAATTTAAACAAAACCTCAAATGTTGATTGACGAAGATCAATAGAATCAATGGAGTATCACAGATGATGGTGATGGTTGCTGGAAAATGTCATATACTATAATATAAAAGACGATGAAAGCTTACCAATGGTAATATCAGCAATAAATCCGACTTCCGGTGGCACATTCATCTTCTGGCAATGGCCAAAAGATAAACTTTAATTCAAATATGTTCAACAACTTTTAACAGAAATTATGAAGATATCGAGATCACTAACAAATCATAATGAGTTTATAATGTTGCCCAGCAAAGGAAAAACGCCCGTGAAATCCCAATGGAATCGTAAAAATTAGAAATAGAAACGAAAATTCACTAAATTCGGTTAATTAGTAAGAAATCAGCTCTAATTAGCGAACATTAGCGAGAACGGAGTCCAGTAACGCTTTGACACACCATTCAACTACCAAAACCCACAACATAACCCTCCCGAAAAGTGCTCCGTCCTAGGTCACTATATACACTACTGGACAATGAAATATCATATTTGAAAAAACACTTTCGCACTTTCGCGCGTCTGTAACTCCCTTGTCTTTACCGTATTTCTAAATATTAATATTACCATTGTGTAGCCCTTGAAAAGAGCTTTCAGAAAATGTAGAACACTAATAGTTTAAACTCAAAGACAAGGGAGTTACAGACGCGCGAAAGTGCGAAAGTGTTTTTTCAAATATGATATTTCATTGTCCAGTACTGTAGATAAAATCAGCTGTAACTTAAATTTCAATGTTTCCATTCAAAAAATCCATCAAAAGACGACAATGTTTGCATGACAAGCCTCCACGCACCGCTTATTTCCAAGCAAGCTTCACCAATCAGGCAATGTGCGGCTATCTTACTAGGAAACTATTTCAACCTACCACCGACTTTCGAAATCGGAACTAGCTACAAAAAGCCCCAATAGAATTCCAAGAAACACGTATTTTTTTCTTCTTCTTTTTTCCCATGGGCTCTGGTTCTCGAGAAAAACGTGTCCAAAGTGTTTGAAAATTTTGTGATTTGAACAATAACTTTTTTATATTGGGTTGGAAGGTAACTTTTGTCCGTTTTTTTGGGAGAGGTTTTTAAACTCAACCAATCTACGCGTGTTATGGCTCATTCGAAAGCTGAATTCAAAGCGGAAAAAAAGGGGAAAACCGTTTTTGAATTCATACAGTTTTTAACTTTTTTACAGGCGTTCTCAGCTCAGTCAGACCGTAAAAAGTGCCGAAATCGTTCGATCGTTTTTTGTTTGGCAACATAGGCTAAAAACATGTTACTCGTACTCAGCAAATCAAATTATCCTTAGAAACTAATTTTTGAGATTTTTGCAAAAAAGTCAAAATTTTTGTATCGAGCCGGAATCGTACCCTTGACCTTTTGGGTAGTAGCCGTTTTTTTGCCCGTTTTCTTTGCTTTCTTCCTTTAACTGCACCTTTTACTTAAAAAACAATAAACAAAAATCAATTAACAAAACGAGACACATCAAACAAAAAAAAAAGTGATATTTCTTTTAGGATTATTAAGAGCATAGACCTTTAGTAGAAAATTGTGCTTTGACTTTAAATTCGAGAAGCGTAATTTGGAGCCGAGATCTGTCAAGATCAATCACAGACTGTGCAAGGTTAGTGCAAGGTTGCAAGACCTTTTTTCATGGTCATTCCTCGTATCATTTTGGTTGTTTTAAGAAGTCGCACTCACAGAGAATCTGTCGAAAATCAATGCTTGTCCACTTGTTTTTTCAGCTCGAGCGGCAGAGATTTAAGTGGAAGAATTCTTCAGGTTTCAAATTGTTCTGTAAGAGAAGTTAAAAGGAAAATCGTTAAGAATGGAACCAGCGATCATATACCGTAAAAAGCTGTAATAGTAGCCCCCTCCAATAGTAGCCGCCTCCAATAGTAGCCCCCCGCCCCTTGAGGGGCAACGAATGACCCCCCCTCCAATAGTAAAATGGTTGTGCTTACGTCTACACAGTGAGCCAATATTGGTTCTCGGTGGATTGTGCGACGGTGTTGCCATCGATTTGCGAGATGCAAGTGAATGGAACGATTGATGCCACTTCGACAAGTGCTCCATTGGTTGTGTCGACAAGAGCTGCGGATACAACAACGGTCACAACTAGGACAACCACCACTACAACGACAACGACAACAACTACCACAACAACTCGTGCCGTTAGTAAGTGCCTAATAGTAGCCCGCCTCTAATAATGCCCCTGCCCTTCAAATTTGCATATCTTACTTCAGCAAATCTTCTCGATTTTTCTTAAGAAACAGAAATATGTGAGGAAGAATTTGGATCTGATATATCAGTTGATCTAGATTTTAAAATTTCTGGCTTTTTTTTGTTAATTTTTGTTGAATTTAACTTGCTTTTGTAAATAAATTAAGGGAAAAATATTTCTTTAATGAGTGGTAATTGTCTTCTATTTTCCAGTTTTGGTCATGTGAATGACAAAAATTACTATCGAAAAGATAATTGTAATTGCCTCCCTCTAATAGTGACCTCTCTAGAGAGTCAGCGAAAAAATAATACCTCCAGGACTACTATTACAGCTTTTACGATATTTGATACTTTAATCCCAAGCTGATCGTAAGTGCAACGTGGAAACAACTTTTGCTTTTGCTGAGAAATTGTAGAAGCATTTGCTCGTGGCGGCGATTCCCTGGCAAACGGTCGATAGCTTTTTGTAAATAGGATGGGCGTTATTGATGATAGAGTGGTGTGCAGTTCGGCAATTGAACAAAGAACGGTGACTACGGCTGAAAACATGCAAAAATTCTTCGCTCTGTCCTGACATCGTGGTTCTTTCAAAAATGGTCAACTTTTGGCTCAAAAGCTCAGCGTCAAATGATCAAATTGGGTTACTTTTACTATCATTCCATAAATTTTATCGAAAAAATTGATTCATAATAAAAGTAACCCAATTTGATCTTTTGACGCTGAGCTTTTGAGCCAGAAATTGATCACTTTTGGATTGACCACGATATCAGGAGAATCTCAGTTTTTTTTTCTACTTGTATTTTATTGTTTAACATTTACAAACCAAACGACGTCATTGTGTCAAAGCCAACAGTCGCTGTGAAACAAATCATTGGAATGGCCACCGATTCAAACGGGACTATTGACGAGAATTCAATTTTCATTCAAGTTTTTTCTCTAATTACTTGAAACTTTTAGCTTTTGACCGGCTTTTTACTAGCTGACCAACTAGAAAACAGGTGGTATTTGTTTGAACAGGTCGGCCGACTAGAGTCTATTTGATGTTTGCTGTTTTAACTTGCCGCTTTAACTTGTTGTTTTAACTTACCGTTGCTCGCACCCTCATTAGTATATTTTTTTCAGGGTTATCGTTTGGCAATTATTGTGTTGAATATCTCATTTTTTTAATGAAGTATGTAGATAAATTCAGGAAAACTTTGATGATAATGAGCCTAGTTGCCCGATGCGAAATTCCTAAATTGGATTTCGTAATTCGTAATTCGTAAACTAGATGGCAAGCATGATCTGAACTGATCCCGGATCGCCTCAGGCCGCTCCATCCTATGTGAACTCGGAAGCGGACTGGTCCAGGTTCAAGCTGTGCAACGCTGACTTATTAGGTACTTGCAAAAAAGCCATCATACAGTAAAGATGGTCCGGGTTTGATTCGTATTTTTAGAAACCCCAATATCTTCTCTTTTTAACAATATAAAAAGGATTTTACGAAGCTTCCTTTTGGAAGGCCAGTGGAATTTTCAAAAAAGGCACCAAAAATGGCCTGGCGAAGCAGAATTTCAACTCAAGATTTCTTCACTGTTTTTCAATAAATGTTTTGTCACTATTAAGTTGTCTCATAAAAACCCAGAGATTTTTGTTTTGATCATTCGCTCGCTCACAGCACAACTTTTTGTGTTTATCTTTTTTTCTTTTTCATGCTAAAAGTTTCGTCTTTCTTGCACTAATATTTATTTTTTACGATTAACACGAGAAGAGAGTTGTATTCGATCGAATGATGCCAACTCAAGAAGAAATTCACGCCTGCACCAACAATTTTCAAGTGGGATTTCCGCGGCCACGAGAAATCAATCATTTTTATGGCAATAAAATTGTCGGAACGAATACTGCACAGGAATTAAATCTTTAGTGGGGTTTTGTTATGATAAACTTTTAGTGATCACATCGATTACCTTGACTCTGATGTCAACACACGGGCTCTGAACTCTCTTGTGATGGTTTTTGTGATCAAACCCTATCGAGAGTTTCTCATCACAAGTAGCAAGAGGATCGTGTTAAGACGTATGATGAGGATCTATGAGAATTCGAATGCAAGCAATCAACCATGGACCGAGTAAGGATGAATTGCTGATGAATGCGAATGAAATCAGGCAAGTTTATGTTGGATGGGATGGAGAAGGGACGAGATTAAGAATAATAACAACTTAGCGCTTTTCTAACATTATCGTAAGATACGAAAGTGAAGAGAAATCGATGAGCCAGAAAGGGAATTCTACAAACTGTTGATTGAATGATTTGAAAATGCAAATGGCTTTCTTTTCTTGAGCAATTTTAATAAATCTTTTCCTTATCGATCTCAATCCTTGTTTATTCGGTTTTTAACTCAATCATAGGTTAAGATTCACTTTCTGATATCTCTAAGTGTCTATCTTTTAGACATTGATTCATAATTCGTGTAAATTACGTGTAAATTATACTGGTTTTGTTATGTATTATAAAAAATGTAGGAATTTATCTACTCATAATAAATCCAATGCTCATTGGCTAAATTCATTTAAATATTGCTGCAAAAGAAATGCTTTAAACAAAAATTTTTGTCTGAATCTGAGTCTGTTGATCTTCTAAACTGTAGCAGAAAGTTATTCAACTTATCACAATGTACAATTCTCAATTTATTTTCCTTTCTCTTTTTTTGGGAACTTAGATCTAAATTCTCGTCATTGCAGACGATGAAAACAACGGTGAAAACAACAAACAACAAAATCGCATGCTCCCAATCGAGAAAATGATAAATAACGGGTTTTCTCTCATAGAAATCTATAAAAAGAAATCAAGTGATCACAAAAATGTCGTCTTTCTGTATATTTCCTCTAAAATAATGAAATATTTTCTCGTCCTTATTTTAGCTTTACTTGCTTTACTCGAAGTGATATCTTGTGCTCCGATTGATGGACTTGTTGAAGCAGAAAAGTTGGGATTTTGTCGATTAATGTAATTGGAAAATATACATTTTCCCATAGAAAGCTTTTATGCGTTTTTATGTAGCAGTTGTATTTTAAAAAAGTCAATTTTTAGCAACACAGTTAATTAGCTCATTGTAAATTTATTTATTTTTACTAGAGCTAAACCTGGCTTACTAGAGTTAAACCTAATAAGATAAAAGTGCTTTGATAAGCCACGATCGAATCTTGTATATAAATACTTTATTTAGAAAGAAATAAAGTGCGAAAACGACATGAAAAATGTACCAGATAAAAGATCACAAAGTCACTTAAAATGCAACGAAGTAGCCCTTTTAAAATCAGACACGGTAGAGATCAAACGCAACTTGTCGGGAAGGGCATTCCAAACTTTAATCACACGATTTACAAAAATAGCTCTAGAGGATTTAGAGAAAGCAGATTCGGGATGCAAGATAAAAGAGCCACGCCTAGTCACCAGAAGCCTCGAGTTTAGCCAAAAATTTTTTTTAAAGAGAGGTTTTTGATGTTTTCCTTTTACAATTTTAAAGCACTCAACCAAATCTATGATAAGACGGTGCTGTTCTAAGGTTTCAAGTGAGAAAAGTTTCAATCTATTTTTATACCTGACGGATGAGTAGTTAGCAAAATCAATTTTGAATAGTGCTATTCGAGTAAAGTTTTTCTGAACCTTTTCATTTTTGTGGCTTAGGGAGTTAGAAATTGACTGATTTGTCTTAATCTTTTGTTTAAAAAAAGCTTTTATTTGATGGATAAAAATAAATTTATTCCAGTGAATCTGTGCGACAAGAGCGACAAGTACTGAACATTGGTGAGTTTCTTCTTCGAGTGGTAGTCAAGTTTTTTTGTGTTTTAGGCGGTCCGTGGGGCTTCACAATTGGATAAAAGATGATCGACCGTAATTCGATGTTTTAATCGATTGAATCTTTGCTTATCCAAACTATTAACTCTTTCTTAATAAATCTTCCCTCAACTGCATGGTGCAATGTTCTGGCATCTGAAAAAAAGCAATTCCCTTCATCTTGAGTAATACAGGGTGGGCCAAAATTACCGTTACAATGCTCACTCACGCGCAAATGCGAAAGCGAAATGGAAGAAAGCGAACGGCAACAACTTCAGCAAATGTTAAAAAAAGTGAGGAATCGCCTGTTGAAAACGCCAAAATAATCGGTGCGGAAAATGTCACAAAAAAAAATGGGGATACAGAGCGAACATCCCTTAGAAGAATCATCAAAAACAAGCTCAAGTTAAAGGCCTACAAGAAAAATAAATCACAAATGCTATCAGTTGACGCTATCAACCACACAAAACTGTTGATGGTTTGAAAAAAGCGCTCGAAAAGGCTTGGGAAGAGCTGGATCTCCTATACCTCCTTGCCACGATCGAAGCTTTTCTACGACGTTTGGACACCTGTGTAAAAGCTATTGGAGATCTGTTTGCAAAGGAATAGTTTCTATGAGTTGTTATGAGACAATAAAAGTTATTTTTAAGAAAAATCTTTGACCTTTTGAGTTGCTTTTTATACAGAGACTTTTTTATATTTAACGGTAATTTTGGCCTACCCTGTAGAATCAGCCAAGATTCTGGCATCGGAAAAGAAGCAATTCCCTTCATCTTGAGTAATACATTACTTTCTATTGGGGAGGATGAGATGAAAATCAGAGAAATTTCTAAAACTTCTAGCAGACTTTGTCAAATGATATGCGTTTGATATCCGTAGAAGGGTAACTAATTCTCTACAAAATAATATTTAAAAGAGAACTCAAACAGCGCCTCAACTCAACAAAAGACCATTTTTTCACAAAATCGATAAACTGTCATCTAGAGTAAACGGTTGGAGGGATCTTCCTGAAAATTTGGTAACTTATGTAATTGAGTGTGCTCTATCTTTTTTATATAAACACCAAAGGAGGTTTATGTGGAAGAAACTGTTCAAGCAATGAGTCGGACTTTTTGTCATTTTGATTAGCTGTGTTTGGGAATCCATAAAATCCCAAAAAAGAAAAGGTTTGTGGAATCTCTCAAAAGCCATTTTGTAAAGAAATAGTGGACCATTTTGATGAAACAAAACGTGTATTTAAAGAAGGTTTTATGGGTGCAAAAAGTCCCTTTAAAGTTTGGCGCCGACTCATTCTCCCCAACCCAATCCCCAACCCAATAGCTGTTAGTGCACAAATGTTTCAAGAAAATTCACTTGAAAACTCCGGAGTTTTAGAGAAAAACGGTCAAAACCCAAAGCAGAACCGAGCGGGCATTTTAATCTGATAAGAAGAGTCGTTTCACGAGTGAGAAAACAAGTTGAGTTTGTGTGGAAGAAACTGTTCAAACGATGAGTCGGAAAATGATCTTTGCCATTTTGACTAGCTGTTTTTGGGGGTTCATAAACTCCGCGAAAGAGACGACTTCTGCCCATTTTACAGGCAATTTGCGGATTCCTCTTTCGAAGTAGGATTTTGGTTTGTGTGTGAGACAAGTGTGAGACTCAAAAATGGAGGACTGGAGATGTCCCAGTTTGAGCACTTTCTTCAAAAGAAACCCATTTTGGTGTCAATAGAAAAGTTGTAGAGAATCAAAAATTAGGCTTATAGCCAAATTTCCAAAAAGATACACTTAGTAGTTTCGCTTAAAATGCAAGTTTTGTTGCGAGTTTTGTGAAAATTCGTAAATTTGGCATTTCTTGAAAACCAGTTTTTGCAATCGTTCTGAAAATTTGGATATAAGCTTGATTTTTGATTCTCTACAACTTTTCCATTGACACCAAAATGGGTTTCTTTTGAAGAAAGTGCTCAAACTGTCACATATGACAATAGCCCGCAGTTTTCAATTCACCAACCCAATAGAACTTGAAAATAACATTAGACATTAGACCTTTTTTTTTGGGGAAATAATCCCTCTTGCACAAAATATTTGACGCTGGGGAAACAGAGTAACCACCGCAAACCCTTTTAGGGAACTCTTCTTTTCCTCCATTTGGCCCAACCGACATGTTCGGCGACACTCTTCTCAAAAACGTGTTTCTACATGCAGTACTCGTACACGTTTTCGATATTCACTCTCCCGATGCTCAACATGAGCTTGATTTTCTTTCGAGTCCTCTCCTTTTTTGCTGGCACTCGTATAAGAAAGAGAGAAAAAGTCGTGCGTCGAATGTTCACCATAATTTCCGTGGGATTCAGACTTGATACATATACAAATAGTAGTGCAGATCTTGGTCTCCTGTATTGAATTCTACTGGAAACAGGATGGTATTGTACTTTTCGATGGTCAAGTCTCCTACTGTTCGGCTCGAACGTCCAAATCAAGCATGGAAAACATATTGACTGCAGTAATGGAAGTGATCACTGTCATGCTCTCACTATTGCTTTTCTTTTGCTACTCGAGAGAAAATCGGTCAGTTCTATTATGGATTGACAGTATATAGAAGAAAAAAATAGCTGTATAATGTGATGTAGCTATAGCTGTATAACAGGTTGAAAAGATCATTCAATGTGACTGAGAATCTCACTCGACGACAGCTAATCTCAACAATGCGACTCTTCCTACCATACAGGTGAGTCACAGGGCTGTGTGGGAAGGGAAAAGGCACTATCCGACTTGAATATTAGATGTTCCGGACTTTTCGCCATCCGAAAATCAGAAACCGAATTGGTTTCCGGTCATTTAACCATGGCTGGAAAAGAAAAAGTGACGGAGATGATGCTTTCCTGTCTAAATTATTCCTCGACAATCGTAGAAAACCTCCGCTCTCCTCTAGTTAAAAGGGGATATTAACCTCTTGTTAATATCCCCCCGTTAACTAGAATGCCCGTCCAGGCCTTGTGCAGAATCTCTGGGTCAACTTGTCCGCTACAATGACTGATTTTTCAGCTTCTTTCATGCGTCCTCATTTCTCGCTTTCACGTTTATCGCTTTGGCCTATCGAACATTTTGGTTAATGGGAGAGCCATTGAGTGCGGCTGCTGGAGGATTGATTTTCGTACGCTCTGAACCTATGAATACCTTTTGGCCTATTTATTTAGATGCCAATGTATTTCACGATGATTTCCCCGTGGATAGTTTATGTTATTGTTGTGAAAGGCGAAAAGCAACGTGTTGATCAAACAAAGGAATTGATTGATTTGGAAGGACAGGCAAGGAGGGTTTATTTTGATACGCTTCGAACACAATGGGAAGTCGACGCAACTCCTATTCAGAGGTCGGCGAATACTTGTACAAAAATCTACGTCTAGGTCAGAGCTAAGCCAGTTCTAGCCTAATTTTTATCTAATCTAAAACCCAAGTGATGGATTAGGGTGATCTAGTATAGTAAAAATACATACTAAATGTTTGCTTTTAGGCGAAAGGTCAATCTCTCTGTTTGTTGCTTCCGAAAAGTTGATCGTGTCTCCGAAATAACACTGTTTAGCAAGAGATAAAAGAACTTGAAAAACTTGTACTTGAACTTAAACAAAACAAAAACAAAGAGCAGAAAAAAGGACAAAGAAACTTGAAAGACTTAAATCAAAGGCCAGATCAAAAAGCGATCATCACTCTAGTCGAGTAAGATTGTCTTAGATTCTACAAAATCTTCAGCCAATGATGTTTACGGTATTTTACACGTCAGCTTATCGAAAACACATACAATGAACATCGAGTTTTAGTAAGATATCCTTTTTTCTATTCAAGCCGCAATTTTAAAATTCAACAAATGGGCAGAAGAGAGTAAAATTTGGCAAAATCGGCTAAGAACAACGAGAGTGTAATTTTGGTAACAAGCAACACATTAATTCTGATCTACATTTCCTCTCTCCATCTCTCAAGTATCAATCGCTCAATCAAGTGATTCACGGCTATAAACTGACCAAGGTAAGAGCCAAAACAAAAAAAAAGCTTTTGCGAAGCGAAAAATGCGCTAAATGCGCTTATCTTCTTCCTTGTCCTGCTCGTGGCGATGTTCACCATGATTTACGACTATGAACCGACCAAGGTAAGAGCTATCTCTAGCCTTGGCCAAAATATTATTAAATTATCGAGTTTGTTTTTCTCTCGATAATGTTCCCCAACTTTCCAGCGCCAAACGCCTCGCCCAACCCCAAAACCGAAGGGAGTTTATGAGAGATTGATGGGAGCCGGGTGGAAAATTTGCTGCAAGCAGAATCCGGAAGCTTGTATTAGGTTAGTGCATAAGTCTTTACAATATTGTTTTCAAATTTTCCTCTCCATGAAAAGGAATCCTTTACTCAAAGAATCACCATGATCCTTTGCGTCCTAAAATTTGTTTAATCCTAACTTATTGGGTTGGTGAATTGAAAACTGCGGGCTATTGTCATATTTGACAGTTTGAGCACTTTCTTCAAAAGAAACCCATTTTGGTGTCAATGGAAAAGTTGTAGAGAATCAAAAATCAAGCTTATATCCAAATTTTCAGAACGATTGCAAAAACTGGTTTTCAAGAAATGCCAAATTTACGAATTTTCACAAAACTCGCAACAAAACTTGCATTTTAAGCGAAACTACTAAGTGTATTTTTGGAAATTTGGCTACAAGCCTAATTTTTGATTCTCTACAACTTTTCTATTGACACCAAAATGGGTTTCTTTTGAAGAAAGTGCTCAAACTGGGATCTCCAGTCTCCATCTCCAGTCCTCCATTTTTGAGTCTCACACTTGTCTCACACACAAACCAAAATCCTACTACGAAAGAGGACTCCACAAATTGCGTGTAAAATGGGCAGAAGTCGTCAATAATAATGGAAATTATTTGGAATGAATTTATGGTTTTATGTTGAATAAACTTCAGTTCAAAGTCCGGCAGTTTTCAATTCACCAACCTAATAATAATATTTTGGCCAAGGCTAGAGATAGCCTCTTACCTTGGTCGATTTATAGCCGTAAATCATGGTGAACATCGTCACGAGCAACGTCACTATCTTGTAGAGAAAGCTCAAAGCTCGCCTCACACTCGTTAAAATAGAAATTTTGTTGGTGGTGGCATTATTTTCAAAAGCCGTTTGGAAAAAAAGTTGTAAAGACATACAACCTAATAGCTAGTAAAAAGAAGTAAAGCACTGTGAAATAGATATTTTATGCAAATTTATTTCTTCGGAAAACATTGTTCGCATTCATAACGGTGTTAAAGACAAAACCAAAGACTAGGCGCATTTTAGTGCAAAAGTTTTTTTTTGCAAACAAGTACATACTAAAGTTCAAGTTCAGGGAATTAGATTTAGGGAGAAGTTACTGTAAAGATTCTGTATCAGGAGGTTACTATAAATGTTGATTCAGCGTTAAGATTCAATAGGTTTTGGCTTTTTGTAGAAATCTTTTAGAAAAAATGTACCTGAACCTTAGCACTTACCATTCAATTGTGTTTTGCAGCAAAGAGCAAAAACTTTAGAGCCTATGGGCACTTCAACTTTAAGCCTATGAGCGTATGAGCCGATGAGTAAGCTTTCACCAGCAAAAATCTCTACTTTGCTCGATATAACGACAATTTGTGTGTACTTTATCGTTCAAATCAGCACCAAAAAAAATGAGTCACTTCAATTATCACTGAAAAACGAGGGAGGAGTCTTGTCTGAATGGACTCTTAAAAAGCATCTTCTTGTGATAAGAGCAATTTTCTGGGTGATCGAGAGCGGAAATGAGAAGCTATTTGGCCTGTCTATTCCTTTGCTTCTTTATTATTGAAGTTGAATCTTTGCAATGCACGAATGGAAGTAGCCAATTCCCGCGAGAGGACATCTGTCTTTACGTTGTTGATACTCGTGAGTTTTTTTTTGATTGATATATTTGATGAATATGATGATTTAATTATATTTGATAAATAAAACTGATAGCTCGTGATCCTCTCGTGATCCTCGTGATCCTCTCGTGATCCTCGTGATCCTCTCGTGATCCTCGTGATCCTCTCGTGATCCTCGTGATCCTCTCGTGATCCTCGTGATCCTCTCGTGATCCTCGTGATCCTCTCGTGATCCTCGTGATCCTCTCGTGATCCTCGTGATCCTCTCGTGATCCTCGTGATCCTCTCGTGATCCTCGTGATCCTCTCGTGATCCTCGTGATCCTCTCGTGATCCTCGTGATCCTCTCGTGATCCTCGTGATCCTCTCGTGATCCTCGTGATCCTCTCGTGATCCTCGTGATCCTCTCGTGATCCTCGTGATCCTCTCGTGATCCTCGTGATCCTCTCAATTCCTGTGGCTCTTCCAGGAAGATCATGACCATCTTGAACATGACCATATTGCACCAAAAATTTTAGAGCTACATTTTCGCTTAACTATTCATGGTGTCCCAAATTTCCAAGTCTAGCCATGCTCAAGTCTCAGTACTTTTCAAAAGTCATATTTTTCTGTAACCAATTTCGGCTAGCATCAAGCCAATAATGTTGTTGCTTCTTAATTTGTGACCGCAAATTCTAGCGACTCACTTCTGAGGATCTAGCTTAGCGAGAACTCAATGAATCCGTGTGAAATTTTTGGAGGTGATTTTTGGGTATGTCTCCTGTAGCCAAGCTCATTTTCTAACTGATTGGTGCTTCTAGAATCTTTATATAACGTTGCAAAGTTGAAAGTCGCAGTACACCTTGCGAAAAACCCAATTTAAGGTTTTTGAGAGTCGTTTTTGAAGTTATTAAATGAATCGGATCACGTTTAAGACAAAAAAAGGATCAAAAACCTCAAAGAAATTCAATTTTCTGTCGTCAAATTTGATTAAACCGCGGCTTCCTAACAAAATGTAATTAGGAAGCCCACTCAAAAATTAGAGAAAAAATTATATCTTTTTGATGATGACATCTTTTTTGAAAAGATATTATCGTTTTTTTCGTCTTGATTTAAGGTTAGTTATCGAATAAACATAATGAATCTGTAACATTTTAAGAATATCTCAAAAACCGTAAATTGGGTTTTTCACCAATACCGCGAGTAGCCGTACCGCGAGCCTCAACTTTGTAAAGATTCTAGAAGTACCAATATGTTTAAAAATGAGCTTGGCTACAGGAGACATACCCAAAAATCACCTCCAAAAATTTCACACGGATTCATTGAGTTCTCGCTAAGCTAGATCCTCAGAAGTGAATAGAATGAAAAAATGAAATAGAATTCATGGTATTATTCAAAACGTTGTTGCCAGAATTTGCTTGAAGATAACACAGATACTTTTAGTTTATTAGAGAAGCTCATCTTTCTAAAGAAGTAAATGACGAAAGTGAGTTTGTTCATACTGAAACTCATGCACAAACTTGAGACTCTAGATATGAGACTAGTCTAATTTTCTTTTTTAATCAGGGCAAATATCTCGCTAAGTGACTAGCCTCATGTTTGCGTGTATGAGCTTACTTACACTAGTTTCTTTAGCATGAGCTTACTTACTTACTAGTTTCTTTAGTCTGAGCTTCCTTACTTACTAGTTTCTTTAGTCTGAGCTTACTTACTTACTAGTTTCTTTAGTCTGAGCTTCCTTACTTACTAGTTTCTTTAGTCTGAGCTTACTTACTTACTAGTTTCTTTACAGCCCAAGTATTTTCCGATGCCACTCGTCACTGCCAGTCGCTTGGTGGACAAATCGTTAAACTTTTGAACGTTTACGAGAACGCCTACGTCTATTCATACGCTCAAGGTTAGTTGGATGGTCGATGATAGGAAACTATTTATTCTGGTAAAATATAGGACACATATGGACACATATGGACACATAAGACTTAATGACTTTGATGTTTATTGCAGGAATGAGCGTCTCATCCTATATTGGGATTGTGAAAAATGTGGCCAATAACACGTGGACCTACACCGACGGATCGGCGTTGACATATCAAAATTGGGCCTCAAGTGAGATCATTTTCTCGCTGTTTTAGAGCCTATAAGATTTTAGATGAACCAAAAAACACGACAGGGAACACGTGCACGATAATCGATACCGTAACGGGCAAGTGGGTCACTACCGGATGCACCACAGCACGTCCATACTTTTGCTCGGTTGCCGAAACAGGTGAGGGAAACGGGGTTTTTTCTATAAGGTGCGGAAAAACCTATTTTTCTAAAAAACTTTTCACAAGAAATGTTATGTTTTATATACTATTTGAAAGCTCTAATTCTCAGCTATATTAGCTGAAAAAGTGTTTTTTGATTGGAAAAGCTTTCGAATCCTTAAGGCGACTCGAGAGGGGCGCACAGCAAACAGCCCTTGGCGTGCTACCATTCTTGGTGTTCTAGTTAGGGATCCTCTCTGAAAAATCCTTCCTCAATGGCAAATTTGTGAATAGTTTATCAAGATGAATTTATTTCAATAGTTTCCCCACAAAAATGATGGGTTAAAATCTTTTGATCACCAATTTTTGAAGCCCCAACATATCCGGTTTTTCTTCCTTTCCCACAAAATGCCTTGGCGTAGAGTGGGAAACTTTTTTGCGCTAGAAGTCGCTTCGATTCCGTAAGATATACGAGTACCGTCCTATATACGAGTGTCACCTTATATACGAGCATCGCCTTATATGTGAGCGTCGCCTTATATACGCTGTGTGGTATCGCTTTATTCTGCACTAATAGACTCGTTAAAACTTTATTTACTTGATTAAACTTCACGTTAAATTTGATTCAACCAAAAACAATCCCTTTTGAAACTCTCTTTGCCTAGTAAACCAAAGAAAAAATGGTAGTACGCCGAGGGCTGTTTGCTGTGCGCCCCTCTCGAGTCGCCTTAAGGATTCGAAAGCTTTTCCAATCAAAAAACTCTTTGTCAGCTAATATAGCTGAGAATTAAAGCTTTAAAATAGTATATAATATATAATATTTCTTGTGAAAAGTTTTTAGAAAAATTGGTTTTTCTAAAACCTTGAGTCAGTATTTATGTCGCACCCTGTAGTATAAACAATCTTTTCAGCCTCAAAATGCTCAAGCGGGTGGACGTACAGTCAACAAACCGACTACTGTTATTATGTACAGGTTAGCCAGGGTTTTTGTTTCCTTGAAATTTACTTTAATTCATATTCTAACTGTTAACCTTGCCCAAACAGCATATTCACTACTAGATTCTGTTCCTCGCGATTAATGCGTTTTTTAAAACGCAAACTTGGAAAAAATTACCGTACTTTAAGCGAAAATTATTGAAAAAATTGGCGCAAAAAAATCACGAGCGCCGACTTATATATGAACCCTTTTAAAGATATTCAGCCGTTGTCAAATCCATCTTTTTGTAATGTTACAATTAGAGATAATAAGCTCTTTAAATCTTTTAACCGTTTGCAAATTGGTCGAATTTGGATCAAGATATACAAAGAACAAACTTCTAAAAACCAACGTTAAAAAACTTTTGTCCATGAATGTATTGCAAAAAATTGGTGCAAAAAATCACGAGCGACGACTTATAAACGACTCTTTTTAAAGATATTAAGTCGTTTGACTAATTTTGGTGGCAAATTCCCTTGAAATGTAAAGATATTCTATTTACTCGACGCGTAAAGAGGATTACTCATCCTTCACTCAAGCAAAACGTCGATTAATTGAGTGAAAAATACTCATGTAAAGTTTACTCGAGTTACTCGAAGACTTACTCGAAGACGCAGCGAACACACTCTATTCATCACACTTACATTTGATAGCAAATTCCCTTGAAATGTAGATATTCGATTTACTCGACGTGTACGTGACGTGTACTCGACGTGACCATCTCTATCGATTGGTAACACCTCAAAATGATAGCAAGCTGAGAGATTCTCTCTTGAAAAACTTGCCAGCAGAAAGTCTGACACTTTTTCAGAATTTCACCACTCCCACCGATTGGAAAGCGGCCGAGAAAAGCTGCAAGAAGATGGGCGCTCATTTGGTCTCGATTCACTCAAAAACCGAAGAAGATTTCGTTTATGGTTTGTTGAAATTATCTGAAATCAAATAAACCAAAAAGTGTCGAATCAAAGTGAAATCAAACACGTACTAATTTCTAATGAATTCTAATGAAACTTTTCTCTTCTACCAAATGGTTTTACCGGTTATAGAACATTTGCGCACTTTTTTTGCACACCCAATTTGCACAATTTCTGCGTGGCCAATCAAAACAAAAATGCACTTGCCTTTTAGTTTCTATTCCACGCACAATGTGCGCAAATGCCCGTACTCATCTTATAACTATACTATAAATGTAATCCTATACCCATTTTTCAGATTTGATTGCCTCAAGGGTGGGCAAGAAATCGTGTGACGAGTTGTGGGCGTGGACGGGTCTCTATGGGACGGGCGCTACGAGAAGTGGCTCTTGGACTGACGGATCACCCGTCGATTACCCAACTGACCATGAGACATCCTCCTACTATTACTGGATGGTTTGGCTTTTTAATTTGGTTCTGAATTCGGTTATACATTCTTGCAATCAAATATGAGCTCCCATTGCAATTTTCTGAATGATTCAAGTCTATGGTTGAAGTATTTCATTAGGGTAATGTGGTGATTTAAAAAGCTCAGTCGAAAACATGATTAGTGCTGAAAATAAGTGTTAACCGTGAATAGAAACCCCAGATTCATCTTTTTTTGCATTCAGATGGGCAATGACGCGTCGTGCAATGAGCGTCGATGGGATTGGATCCCATCCGCCGATCGAACCTACTCCCGTGCCGTGTGCAAAATGGAACCCACCAACGTCAAGCAAACAAATAGACAGTCCATTGTCAGAAGGATTTTAAAAGCTTAAATGTAAAGTTAAAAACAATTCAAGTTTTCGGATTTTAAAAAAGCAAATACAATTTATTCAACAATTATTCAACACGATTCATTTCAACCAATTTCAATTTCAATTCGAAGATATACAATGTTCTCTCTAATAGTAGTGCACCCCAGCGAGCCGAGTTGGTGACTATTTTACGGTTTCCAAGTTTTCGCAGAAGCTCAATGCTCTAATCCCCCAATAGATCTCATCGTCAGCTACATTTTCCGACCCCACATCACTAGGTTCTGATAAGCGCTTTTCGAGATTTCGAGCAATTTAGGCAACGCTCATGGTGCACTACTATTAGAGAGAATACAGTATTTTTTTACCAGAAGAGGCACCCTTGTTGGCATTCTCTTTGTTGGCTATTCTATTGTTATGAAATTTTATAAAATAAGACAAAAAGCTTACGGAAAGCCGTTAAATCAATTGAAGCTGATCAATTTCTTTATCCCTGAAATTTTTGTTTGTCTTCTGGGCATTTGTTTTAGTCCGTCGAGATTTACAAAGGACAAAATGTGCGTTGGAGCCGTTAAAATTTGTCTCCTGACTTGCTTCGTTGAAATCTTAGTTTTTTGGTTGTTTTTCACTTGAGCTTTAAGCAGACGTAACTAGCCAACAAAGTATCGAAATATTGTGCCTTTATTCAAACAATGTTCTGTGGCAGTAACTAAGCACTTTTCCGCAAAGCGGGGGCAATCCGCAATGCAAAGAGCTGTGCGGAGATGCTTTCTTTATGATTGATGACATCAAAATGAACCTTTACAACCTGCTTTAGCACACCTAAAGTAATTTTATTAAAGATTTACCTTGATAGTTACAATGAGGCCGCTTTTTAATTCTCAATCTTTGCGGTATTCAAAGTCTTCATCATCATAAATTAATGCGTTGGATCTTTGTGAAACTTCTGACATCTAAAGATAAAATAAAATCTTTTAAATAAAAAAACCCATATGCCTAGGAAATAACGAACAAAACGAAAAGTTACTCCATTGAGCCGTTGAAATCGGCGACAAAGTAGAGCAATCGACTACAAATTTGCGGAGTCGGTGGCTTCTAAAGATAAAAATTCATTCTTTAATTAAAAACCCGATATAAAAACCTAGAAAACCAAGAATAAAACGTTACCCTCTTGTTTGGCTCCAGGTGTGCTCCTTGTCAATAATTCTCGAGCATAATCCAAAACTAAACAAAGAAATGTTTTACCGCCTAAGCTTACAATTAGCCTAAGCTAATTGTAAAAGAAAAATCCAAAATAAGCATTAAAAACACGAGATTTGGGGGCATTTGGGGCCATAAAAGTAGCAAATTTCTAATTTTCCTCTAGAAATGGATAAACCGAGCGAATTTTTGGTCGTTTTTGCGCACATTTGATGCGTATGGCCGTACTCTAGGTGCAATAACTGAAAAAAGTGCAAAAACATTAACGAAAACATAAAAACATGCAAAAAGAACATGAGAATCAAGAATATTAAAAGCTAGTCGCTGAATGACCATTTTCGAGCCTTTTTTGCGCGGCGCTAAAATGACTCACACTGAAATGAACGCGCGCTGATCCGTTGGCGTTGAAATGAACGGCGCTGTTCTAACTAGGTCTCGTTTAGCAGTTATCTCAAATAATTGTTGAATTTCGAAATTGACATGCTTTTAGTACTTGAGACTAGGTATTTAATAGTACATACTTTAAAAAGAACAAAGGCTTATAAAGTTAGTTCTTCAAACAAACGACCCTTTTTCAGAGCGATCACCCATTTCAATGTGTCAGCTAATGCTCATGATGAGATTGTCAAGGCAGAAGTGAGTGTAATTGAAAACTCTTTGATTCTTAATAACAGTGAAAAGCTGACTGTTTTAGAAAGAGCTACGAAGCTCTGGTTGAAGACATCAAAGATCTTTCGACGTTCGTGGATGTTAATTTGAGTTTACTGAATTTTTATCCATTACTTGTTTTGCGTGTTTCTCAAAAATGATGTCTGATTTTTTGCCGTCGGAGTCAAATCGTTCAAGCCGTCCAAGTTAGTTCAAAAGAAAGCTTCAAGTTATTTTTGAGACGGAAATCCTGGTGGATGACCCAAAAGTTCACTCCAAAGGTTCATTGAAGCCGGTTCACACTAATTAGAGACCGGCTTTTGATTTTTTGAATTTTAGTGTTTTATTGGAAGCATTGGAAGCATGGAAGCATGAAAGCAGGTCAGCCCGGCCATGGCTCAAATCCGCGTGAAAATATAATCGCCAACAGATTTGCATATGCCTATATGCATTTGCCTATATGCATAAAGTTCATGCCTTTAATCTTTTGTCAATCGAATTTTCTGGCTTTTCTTTTAAAAGTAACAGAACTTTTCGTCCACCCTGTAGAAGAGAAGAGTACACAAAAACTGATAAAATAAATAAATACACTTTTCAAGCAACACAAGTTGTTGATCTGTTAATGTGACTGTTAATGAACTTGTTAATGATCGAAATCTTCTAAAAACAAATAGAAAATTGATCATTGACATTCTATCATTTTAAAGAAAACAATGTTTATTTGCGGAAATTGGCTAATGATGATAAAATGGCATTAGTATGCTGACATTTTGCAGACTAAACGGGCATTTCGATTCGACTCATAAGCCGGCATCCAACCAGCAAAGCATCCCGGATCATTCGCTACCTGTTCGTAAAGAAAAATTATTACATTACAAATTACGAATTTTGCCACAAATGACCGTAACTTTTTGAAAATAATTCCTAAAATGCAAACCGCCCAATCGACGACATCTATGAAAGGAACGGTGACTTCAGTATAATCGAACGGCGTCCCATCGATCCATGTCCCATTTCCGAGGATTCCCGTTCCGGTGAGTCCAATCCACGCAAATTGTAAATCACATGGACTTGTTACATTCATATTTTGAACATTTGAGTAGAGAAGCACTAATTTAAATGTTCATTTGATTACAGTGAACGGGAGGCGTCCTCAACTTTGGAGAAAGGCGTCCTCGGCTGGTGAGTGGATCGATGCCAAATGTGCGCCCATCATCTGACAAATCGATTCCGCTTCAGCGAAATTGTACAGAACCCAATTGTATTGATCTTGATAGAGGAATTTCTGAAGTTTACAAATTTAGCTTTTGTTCGAATTTTTGGATTTCTTTTTTGGTTAGGTTTTGGCTTGGTTTTGGTTTTGGTTAAACAGGGCTTTTGAATTGAACTTTGTTTTTTGAAGTCTCATTACTTCTTTCAATATAACTGCTTACTTTTTAATATCGTTTTGTAGTGTCAGCTCCGAGCCAAACTGATATTTTAGTTACTATTGTTGTTATTGAATGATTTTTCTATTCTTGTGCAAATGTGTTCACCCCTGTGCTTATCCCTTTCATCGCCGAGATTGAGATTGCCTAGGAGGACAAGTGAGGCTCTCACTTGGAGTCCCCCTTCCCCTTTCATTCATTTGTAATCTATTCGTCTTATCGTTCTACTACGACTTTGAGAGCTGCAAAATCATCGTTTTCTTCAAGCGGGCGCGTACAAAAACTATTTAGTTGGAAACTTCGCGCGCTACATGATTTTCCAGTTGTGCAAGTTGTCCGGAAACGATAGAACCAGCGAATTCTTCAAAATGGCTGCATCACTTGGAGTCCCCCTTCCCCTTTCATTGATTTGTAATCTATTCGTCTTATCGTACTACTGTAAATAAAGATACATATCTTCCGGGTCTATGCAACTGCAGTTCAGGTCGGTCATTTCACAGGGACTTCCCTCTAATACGTTGGAGGAGTTGAGTTGGGTTGTCGGGGTGTTGCAGATGGATATCAAAAGGATTCACTCTCTTTAACTTAACCCAAACTCTAGTCCATATCCGTTTACTCCTAGGAACGAATAGTAGAAAACATCTCGAGTTTTCGAAGAACACCTTCTATAAATTCTATAAAGAAGACTTAAGCTAAGCAAAATAAAAGACAAGAATTGGCATCAGGACCATTTACTCGGCTTAGCCTCTGTTCTTTCGGAGTCAAAGCGACAAAGCGTCCAATTTAATAATCCATTTACATTTACAAAGCATCTTTAGAAAGCCAGAAATCTTTTAAGCGGACACTACCTAAAAATATGTGATATTATCTATGAAAAAGATTTGAGACTTCAAGGCACGGAGACCAATGCGAAAACCTGTTACTAACCGAGAGCCGAACTTTTTACTCAAGTCTTGAACCCACTATAGTCACTCACCTGAACATAATAACAAAAACCTTGGTTCGTCGCGGTGCGGTTGTACACCCAGCCATCGGGACATTGATAATCTTAAATTTTTTCCGAATATTCATTTTAAATAACTGAATGTTGGTGGCAATTACATAATGAAAGTGGAAAAAAGTAAGGTGGAAATGAGACGAGATTTTGGGGTTGCTCCCGTTCGGACAGTCATCTCGGCGCACTGAAAGGTGCTAGCAATCTGAAACTTTTTTTACCAGAAAGTCAATATTTTTAGCTTCATTTTGATACCAAAAATTCAGCAAAATTCTTTAAAATAGTACTCAAAAAATCACATTAAACCTTAAAATTACGAGCCTTAACGAGACCTCGTTAAGGCCTCGTTAAGGCCTCGTTAAGGCCTCGTTAAGGCCTCGTTAAGGCCTCGTTAAGGACGGCCTCGTTAAGTATCGATGACCTTCTTAGTACTTTTTTTGAAGATTTTTGTTGAATGTTTGGTATCAAAATGAAGTTGATAATCTAGGCCTTTTGATAGAAAAAGTTTCAGTTTGCTAGCAATTTCCCATGCGCTGATATGACTGATCAAAATTGAAGCCTCGTTAAGCCTCGTTAATAAGTCTAATGTGGATTTCAAGTACCACAGATGGAATGTTGTACTGTATGTGTAATTTTTAAAAGATTTTGACATTATATGTAAGGTTGTTTACTCTTTGAATGAAATGGTTTCTACGGTTGGCTCTTCCCATTTTGAGTTATCAATTTTCTCCATTGCACGCACTATCAGATCCCAAATGCAGTCCAGCTGTCAGAAAAGTTAAAATCGAGTTGAAATCGAGTCCGCTTCAGTCCAGTGAACTGAAGACTCAAACCAAAAAAGATTTTCAGTTCATGTACTGTATTGGACTGAATGGGAAGTTTGTTTTTCGTCGAAGAGTTGAATGAAATGAACTGAGAAGTTCGTGAACTGGTTCGAGTGTAACTCAGTGGGAAATCAGGCCATGGGTTGATTGAACTGGGTTTTTGCAGCCAAGCCAAGGCTGGATTAAAACGAGAATTTAGTGGGCCGAGCCCATGTCTAGTGCCTACTATCTCCATTCAGCGTGCAAGCGTATGGAGCCGGTCCAGTGCAGTTGTTGGCCCTCCATTTCCCGTCAACAGTCATCACAGCACAGGCAGCGTAGGGATTCGAATTGTCCGGCTCCCCTGGAACTCACGACTCTGAAAATAGCCATAAATTTCCTCCACCTTGTCCCCAATTTTGATAGGTAAGCGGTGATCCATCTGCATACGTCCATGTGGTCGCATTTTTCCTCTCCACTCCAATGTACATGTACGGGCTATCAATCAAAGCTAGAGTTTCAAAGCTAGAGCTTGAAATTCAATTTATGCTTTTTCTACCTGAAAACTGGGTGAAGATGAACGAATTCTCAAAGGCATTCTGGATTTTCGCTGGTCCACCGCTAGAGTTATCACATCGACGGATCACATCCATATAGGAAGTGGCTGGAAATTGAAAAATTGATGGTGGAAGATACTTTAAAATGTTTTTTATATTACTATCAGCGGAAAACGCAATCTAAGCCCAGCCCCTTTTTGTCAATGGCTGCGCTCAGATGGCCAAACAAACAGACGTCCAAACAAACAGACGTCCAAACAAACAGACGTCCAAACAAACAGACGTCCAAACAAACAGACGTCCAAACAAACAGGCGTCCAAACAAACAGACGTCCAAACAAACAGGCGTCCAAACAAACAGGCGTCCAAACAAACAGACGTCCTCTTCTGCTTTATATATAGTAGATTTCCGTTCTTAAATTGAAACTTACGGTCATTGCGGACGTAGACACAAGTATCTTCAGTCGGGATGAGTTGGCCATTGTTTGGACAAATAAAAGCATGGGTTAGGGTAAGATTTAGCACCACTAGAAGCCAAAAGTAAACTGCTTTGAATTTCATTTCTGAATCTCAAAAGATTTCGACAAATTTCGATAAATGTCGACCTCGGGGGTTCTTCTTCGATCCCGATAACGGCGTTCGTTATTTTATAGAGTTTTGTACTGATAATGAAAAGGGAGTGTTCGGTTTTCAATAAATTTCCACTTTTTATTTTTATTGCAGCTCAAAAAAATTTTAGACACTATAGTATGGTTTTCTCATTTTCAAGAAAAAAAAACATTTCCAAATTCTCAAATTCGTGAAATTCGTGAAAAACAAAACAACATTGCGTGTTTCAAGGTTAAATATTTTCCTTTATCCTTTTGAAAATAATATTAAATCTTTTTAAATATTATGAAATTAATCCCAGTCAATCGAAAAAGTGCAACAAAACTTTAAAAAACTGATATTTCAATCATCATTAAAAGTCTTAAAGGGGGGTCCAAACTTGTCCAAGTTTGGACAAACTTGGACAAGCTTGGATAAACTTTCGAATTGTTGTGCGAATCCTCCTCGTTTATCTCTGTATCTCCTACGCACCTAAAAATTGGAAATCTATTGAAAACCGAACACTTTCTGTTCGTTATCAGTGCAAAATTCTTTAAAAAAAAAACGAACGAACGCCGTTATCGGGATTGAAGAAGAACCCCAAGGTCGAAATATTTTCGGATTCGAAAATGAAATTCAAAGAAGTTGACTTTTGTTTTTAGTGGTTTTAGTGAAACAAAGAAAGCAGACTTTTTTGAAATCTCAAAATTTTCACGAGGCCGATTAGAAACCATGTTTTTTTAGAAACCAATCTGTTTTTAAAAACCAATCTTTCACGCTATAAAATTTCAAAGCGTTGATCTAGTGTTATTTTCAGAAAGCTCGAAGAAATCTCTGCAATATGCCATCACATAGGGTGTACCTCTTTTTGAATATTGGGAATGAGGCATAGCTAGACTCTTCGATACATCGAAGAAGCCTTGTGACATCACAACCACTTTTGTGTTATCTGGTGGGCGTAGAGGGAGGGAAATATTATCTGGTGGGGGATGGGGAATCTCAGAAAAAACTTAGCTGGGCGGAAAATGTCAATGGCAAAATAGTTTTATGGTTACAGAGGTTACAGAGGTTACAGCTTTTTGACATTAGAATTCACATTAGTTCAATAAAGGGCAAAGGTTGGCAAAGGTGAAAAGCCAAAGCCTAGGAAAATATAGGAAACTGAATAATATAGGAACCTAGTCTATAATAGTCTCTAACCTTAATAGTCTATAATTTTCCTAGGTTTTGGCTTTGCACCTTAACGTAGGCGTCCGTGTGACCTGATGCAGCATCCCAGAGCACGACAGTCGCTAAAGCCTCAAGGTAGAGGGCTTTGTTTGGCTTTGTTTGCGCCATTCGATGTTGGCCGTTAAGGTGCGAAGGCAAAGCCTGGGAAAATATAGGAAACGAATAATATAGGAACCTTAATAGTCTATAATTTTCCTAGGCTTTGGCTCTGCACCTTAACTGCTCCGAAGGCGCCAACGGTCGCTAAAGCCTCAAGGTAGAGGGCTTTGTTTGAGGGTGGCGCCATTCGATGTTGGCCGTTAAGGTGGGAAAAGCCTGGGAAAATATAGGAGCCTAAATAATATAGGAGTCTGTGCGATCTGTCTGCAACATAAAGTGCAATAAAAAAGTGGAGGCTAAAAGTAAAATAAACTAAATCAAGTAAAATCAAATAGAAGATAAGGAAAAGATCCCCCAGATAACACAAAAGTACCGACTTTTCGATAGACTTGTTTTTGTGTTTTCGAGACGGAATACTTGAAAACATGAAACTCGATCCTGACGACAGAAGTTCACTTTTTGCCTCTACTCAAAGCAAGCCCTTAAAGTTCTTTCAAAGGGTCTCAAAAAATTAAGAATGGTGTTTTATATTGAGCATTGAGCATTGAGCAATATCTATCAATTTGTATATCCAATTTTAAATGACTGCTCAGAGCAAGATGATAAAGTTGGTTCGAGTTTTGCCAAAAAAGCTATCGTTTCACATTTCACATTTCACATTTGATGTTATATTTGCTTTCAAGTGGGAAAATGATGATCAAGGCTTTTTGATAGACTCTACCGTGCTGTTGGGTTCAAGGATTTGAAAGCGAATACCCTTTTTGAAATGTCGATAACCACCCCAAACAAATCCCCCAGCCATGTAGACAGCTGTTGTTTATCAGAGATCAATCTAGGAGCCCTATTAATGTGATCCTCTTTCCCCTTGTTCACCCACTAGAGGAAAGAACAAGATTTTTGAGGCTTTAACACATTCGTTTCGAGTCTAGATCCACTGACTATTGGATAAGATTGATTCTCTGGAATTAGGTTGTGCTCTCGAACTTTCTTATTCGAATCATAGATCTGAAAGTTTCCTATTGGTTAATTCAACTCCTCCTATTTCTATCAATACTCCAATATTTCTCCACACTAATTTCTTTCCTTGACTAATTCCTCCAAAATTTCCTTCACTAAATCAAGATTTGAGCTCTATTCAGCAGAAATAAAGTGCTCTAATTTTCCAATGTTTCCCTATTCAAAACTTCCAATCAAATTAAAAGCTCTGAGCCTGAAATCGGCCACAATCGATGATGTACCTCAACTGTTACGGGTCAACAAGAAGATTCGAGCCTCACTACTACAAAATGGAACATTTCCTCCAAGAAAAACCGACTCTCTCGTGGTTGAGCTTCCAATTTATCGAAAGAAGATCAGTTCGGAAAGTCCATATGAGTGTGTATTCGCTATCTCATTCAACGGGACAACAATTCCCAGCTTTCACATCTCAGAAAGCGAAATCGAGGTTGTTTCTGGGAAAATTCGATGGAAAATCAGTGCCCCTGGGAGAGTTTTTTGGTCGTTGATGGGTAAAATAATTAGTGTGAGAAGGTTTTCCCTCAGCTGTTCCCCTCATTTCGGTCATGGAGATCTCGCCGAGAGAGAATTCGAGAATTTGCTTAATCGTTTCTATTTTCTACCAAATCTTCATCATGTTAATGAGTGGGAGGTAACTAGTGATTCGGTTGAGTTTTTGGAGCTCTCATTTACTAGATTATTCATTCAGTCATTCAATCAGCTAAAGCTAAAAGTAGATTGGGAGGGAAAGAAGGAAAAAGACGGAAAAGAAGTGAAAAGATTTTTGTCAACTCTTTCGAAATGTCCCAAGTTAGCCTCATGTTGCCACTTTATCTGGGCCGGGAATCAGATCCCATGGCGACAAGTCGGTTCATTCAATCAAAAGCTTTTACTATATGAAATTGAAGCAGAATTGTGGCCAAAATTTGTCGGATCATTGGGGAAATTATTAGCCGAAAATCGATTGCAAAAAGAAGATCGACCCGGATTTCTGATTCAATCGAAATTCGGGACAAATGAGTCGGTGGATGAGCTATTTGAAGAGTTTCTTGATGAGATTTTCTATGGAATTGTCGGCGTCGAAATGTTGGAAGAAGAAGAAGGGAAAGAAGCTGAAGAAAAGGAGAAACTTCTGAAATATTTGTCGGATTTGAGGCAAAAATTGGCCAAATTACGGTTAAAAGATCAAGCTCTCGGCGTGGAGATTTGCGATAAAAAGCGGAAAAATTGTTTCTTTCGAAAAGATTTCCCTGATCAAGTTCAAGCACTTGGATGTGCGTCAATCTTACTATTAAATGAAAAACCGAAAAACGGCGCCCAGCAATTTGTCTATCAGATTTTCTTGAAATATTTCCGACCATCACGCAAAGTGTCGACAAATCTTGATTTACCGGTTGCCCGCGAGAGGAAAAACTCGTATTCGATCATTGCGAAAAGAAAGGTTTCCACGGATTTTGTGCGAAAAATGTCACAGCTTTATGAGGCGAAAATTCAGGAGAATGGGACGAGACATTGAATTTTCAAAATTCAAAAACTTTCACAACATTTTCTTCGATTAGATACATGTATAAGAAATGCGGTTTTCAACATTTCAACATTTCAACATTTTCATAAATTTCCAACGATAGAAACCTGATATCGAGGAATGTTAAAAACTATTTGAAAGTTGTAAATCTCGTCTACAAAATAGGCTAAAACGTGTTTCAATTGATCGAAGCATTGAAAAAATTTCGAGGTCGAAATGCGAGTGACCAAAAAAGGAATCGAGTCACTCTAGGGACCAAAAAAGCGCACTCTTTAAAAACCCCACTTTCACAAGTTTCACAAGAGTTCGCTTTTGACTATATAGTGGAGAATGACCGCCCTAAAATGTCATTCAAAATAATAATTAAGAGTTGGGATCATTTCATGGGAAAACTTTGTTTTTACAATAATTTTTCTTTTTTGTGAAAAAAACGGGTTTTTGGACAATTTTGAGGGTTTTGAACTTACGCTCTACTTAAATTTCTGTAAATGCATTTCCGTTAGACTTTTTTAATGAATTCATATATAGTTATCCTTTTTGTTTTTAAATCTTCAATTTTGGAAAGCTAACTCTATTTTGACCACACTAAACTTGTCCCTAAAGTGACTCGATTCCTTTTTTGGTCACTCGCATTTCGCCCTCGAAATTTCTTCAATGCTTCGATCAATTGAAACACGTTTTAGCCTATTTTGTAGAGGAGATTTACAACTTTCAAATAGTTTATAACATTCATCGATATCGGGTTTCTATCGTTGGAAATTTATGAAAATGTTGAAATCCGCATTTCTTATGCATGTACCTAATACTTCTACAATTACAATTGCAAGATTTTTGCTCACTTTTCAACCTTCTCCCAACTTGGTTTCTTTTCTCTTACCTCCTTTTACCATTCGCAAAAACAGTCACAACTTTCTAACGGCTAAATATCATTTTATCTATCTTGGTGCTATCCTGATATGTATTAGAGAATATTTAAGAGGTTTTTAACAGATTATAGTTTAAAACCTAATAATCTTTCATGTTTTCTTTCGGAATCCAATTCCCGATCTTCTCTTGTCATTTTTAGAGTGTATTCCTTTCAGATAATGCCCATTCTATAATGTGATTTGCGTAAAAAGGACCTAATAATCAATGTTATTAAATGCCATTTTACATGCATTGACACAATATTTTCCCTGCATTTCTCATAGATCAAATACCTCCTGAATAAACTATTCTTCCATTTTCATTTTGTCTGCACAAGCTAAATGCATATATTTAGTAGACAAGAGCACAACAACAACAACAACAACAACAAGAGCACTACAGGGTCATCAAAAAGTTATGCTCATTTTGTCTCGCACATTTGTAAATGATTCATTTTCTAGACGAAAGCTAAAACAAAATTTCCCATTCTTTATAGTATTTTGAAGCTGAAGTTCTGATAAACATTTCCATAAGTAAATCAATCAAATCAGAAATTTCCAGCCTTTTCAAAAAGCCTTGCAATGCACTCGAAGCAAACCGCCCCTCTGACAAACACAGTCGCGCATGTTTTTGAAGACTATTTCACGTTTTGATTTTATTCTTTTCAAATAACAATTGAACTGTTACTTAAAACAAAAGTATACATTTAAAAAGGCTTTTCGAAGGATTTTTCATCTGAAAACAGGCGAGCACCGTGATAGTTTGCCTCCAGCGCACTACAATGCTTCTTTGAAGAGCTAGGTGGCTCTGATCAGGATGGTTTACGTGTAGAAATGCTCCCCAGAATTCTTAGCTTATTACTATAGTCTAATTTCGAGGTTTTAGCTGAAAAATAAAGCCTCTTTTGTAAAGTGTACGGAAATTTTTTCAGCACCCTGTATAACGGAAAAATTCGGCTTGATTCAATATATTAGGTTGGCAACTTAATAATGACGCGTCACTACTTAACATGTTTTTTGTAATTTCAAGCGCCGTTTCTTCCCTCTTTTTTTGCATATATACAAAGTAAAAGATATCTGCATAAATAACATTTAGTGCTGCAAATTTCATCATTCGCTTTTTGGCAAAAAATGGAGGACAAAAAATTCCGTATTCGAGCTGCATTGTTCTACGATTTTAAACAAGGAAAATCACCAGCTGAATCTCATCGCACGATCATCACTGTTTTTGGGGAGGAAAGTATACACATTCGGTAATGTCAACGATGGTTTCAAAGATTCCAAGGCGGCGATGAAAGCCTCGTAGACGAGCCACACCAAGGACATCCTCCAGAAGTGGTCGACGATGACTTGCTCGCCTTAATTGAAGATTGCCCAACACTCACGGTTCGTGAGTTGGCAGAAATATTTTAAGTATCCCATACGACAATCGAAAACTATTTATACAAACTTGGGAAAAAGAATCGTATTGGAAAATGAGTTCCTCATGAATTGACCCAAAGCAACAAAATGGCCCGTGTCAATGTCGCCTCAATTTTGCTACAAAAATGTAAATCAAACGACTTTTTTCACAGGGTTTTGACTTCTGACGAAACTACGAGAACATTAAACGCAAAAATCAATGGCTATCTGCTGGGCAGACCCCTCAAACCACTCCCAAACCTGATATCCATGGGAAGAAGATAATGCTCTGTTGCTGGTGGTACTTCAAGGGATTGGTGCATTATGAAGTGCTGAAACCTGGCCAAACCGTCGATGCTGATCTTTATTCGAAGCAATTAATGAGAGTTAACGAGTCTTTGAAGAAATTGGGGCTCAAACCGGAGAGAGTCAGATTTTTACACGACAAAGCAAAACCTCACACTGCAAAGATCACTTATAAGAAAATCGAGGAACTTGGCTGGAAAGTTTTGCCCCACGCGTCTTATTCACCTGATCTGGCTCCTTCAGATTACTTTTTGTTTCGGTCGCTGAAGCACTTTTTGGAGGGAGAAAAGTTCGATGATCATGCTCAGGTCATAAAAGCAGTGAATGACTACTTCGCCTCAAAAACTCCCAAGTTCTTCGAGGATGGGATCCGGGATTTGCGCAGAAGATGGGAAGAAGTCATAGATACTAATGGAGAATACCTTTCGAATTGAAAGCTCTTCTTTTGTGTTTTTTTGAAATAAATGATTTGTTACATAAACGCGTCATTATTAAGTTGCCAACCTAATATTAAACCTCAAATTTTAAATATAGTACTCAAAAGAAGATTAGAGATTCATTTGCATACAATATACCAACACTTAACACAAAACGAACATTAATAAAGAAGGTGATAGATACAGTGAAAGGTTCTCAGAAAGTCTTCTTCGTTTACCCGTGGAGTTTGGAATGGTTTCGCATGAATTCTCAACTAAGACATCAAGATTTGTACTAGAAGAAATTTTGATTAAAGGCTTGGCCGAATTACTCAAGAATTATTCTAATCAAAAAGTTGCAAATCGGGATTTTTCTTCGAAGAAAATTGGTATCGAGAACCCGAAATTGATCTCTGATAAAAAGCAGCTGACGGGCTGAATGAATGTTTAAAGTAATTTGGATTTGTTTAGAGTATTGGATTGACATTGGATTTCGTTTTTAGTTCCTCAAACTGACAAGCCAAATACATAGTCCGTTCGGGGACTTTTGATATCCGATTTAAAAATAACAAAATAAACTATAGAGTCAATGCACATGCTATGGCAATCATTTTTAAATAGTCAGCTGTTTCTTATCCTTGTTGCAAGCTCGAAGTGCTATGCTATAGCATAAAAGCGCTATAAATCTTCTATAGATTTGTCTGGAACCCATAACGAAAAGTGGGATCGCGAGAAAACCCCTTATTTTGTTAAAAACCGACAAAACGCTATTCAGAGAAAACGACTGGACAGATTGATTGGAAAATTTGAGTGTAGACGTAATTAAACATTCTCTACGTTTTTGATTTGAACACCAAAGTAGGTTTGTTGAATGGAAATCTTTAAATGATCAACTCTCCATCAGATCGTTCGGTCTACTTTGTTTACTTTGTTATTGACTGAAATTGACTCCTGCTCTTGTAAATTCCATTGTTGCCTTGTCCAAAACAATCCTTCGAGTGGTTCGCTTCTGATCGTCGCATTGAGATCGAATCCAATCGATGATCAACTGATCAACTTCTGCCGCCAAAAGATGTCAGCCGCCTACATCAAGTCGCTTTCGATTGTTGAGATCACCAAGCTTTCCTTATTGTTTTTTTAATAAATGATTGAGGAACGTGACTCCAGGTTATTCTCATTTTCACCTATTTTCTCTCGGAGACAGATTGATTTGAAATTTGAGTGTAGACATAATTAAACATTCTCTACGTTTTGCTTTGGACACCAAAGTAGGTTTGTTGAATGGAAATCTTTAAATGATCAACTAGACCATTTTTGACTTCTTAAGTTTGATCATTTGAAAAAGTATGAAAACAAAAGCTTTCCCGTCTGGCTCAAAACGTGCTTTGTAGAGAAAAGATAGGGTTTTCTTATTTTTGAAATTCCTAGGGTTTACTCTTAAATGGGTTTACTATTGGGTTGGGGAGAATGAGTCGGCGCCGAAAATCAAAAAAATGTCTAAAACTTCTATTCGACTTCGTCAAATAATATGCGTTTGATATGAGTAGAATGGTTAACTAATTCTCTACAAAATGACATTTAAAAGAAAATTCAAACAGCGCCTCCGCTCAAGAAAAAGCCATTTTTTCACAAAAACTACAGACTGTGATCTAGAAAAAACCATTGGTGGGATCTTCCTGCAAATTTGGCAACTTAAGTAATTGAATGTGCTCTATCTTTTTTATATAAACACCAAAGAAGGTTTATGTGAAAGAAACTGTTCAAATGATGAGTCGGAAGTGTTCAAATGATGAGTTTTTTTAGAAAATGACTGTCTCTTCGTTATTAAACTCATTAGTATCTTGTACAGTGGTTCGAAATCAATTTTTTTAAACTCATGAGTACATCAGCAATGCAACACAGTTTAAAAATGGCAATGTGACATCAATTTTTTTTATTTTTGAAGCTGAGGTGAAATTGGACCGCCTTTTGAAAGAATTGGACTAATTTGGACCAATACTAGACAAGAAATTGCTCGTTTAAAAACGGGGAGTGATGATGATGCTGATTGGTAGCGAAATTCTAATGCTAATTAGTAAGGAATTCCACACGATTGTGAAAGCAATTAAAAGTAACATTAGGAAGGGTTCTGGGATACTTAAAAGATATGCCTCTTCTGGAACTTGAGGTGGGCAAAGGAATGGAAGAAATTCAGAAATTCGCATAAAGACCAGAATGTTTGCATTTCAGGCTTTTAAAACATTCTATTAAGACAGTGACTAGCTGTGTTGCAGAGTATCTAATTGGAAAACTTTAAGTTATTGTTTGTAGCTCTAGCTTGTCTCCGGATATCTTGGACTACAACTACAAAAGAGTAACTGAATTATTATAGTTATTAGGTATTTTTTTAGAGAACTTGCTTCCTGAGAACTTTTAGAGAATTTGTTTCCTAAAATCTTGGTGAATCCTTTAATATAAACAGAGTCAGAGGTAAAACAGCCATTTGTTGGCATAAACCTGTCTTTTCCCACAACTTATTGGCATAAAATTGTCTTTTCCTACAACTTATTGGAATCAGGACTGTTTTTCCTACAACTTATTGGCATAAAACTGTCTTTTCCTACAACTTGTTGGCATAAAACTGTCTTTTCCTACAACTTATTGGAATCAGGACTGTTTTTCCTACAACTTGTTGGCATAAAGACTGTTTTTCCTACAACTTATTGGCATAAAACTGTCTTTTCCTACAACTTGTTGGAATAAAGACTGTTTTTCCTACAACTCATTGGCATAAAATTGTCTTTTCCTACAACTTGTTGGCATAAAACTGTCTTTTCCTACAACTTATTGGCATAAAACTGTTTTTTCCTACAACTTGTTGGCATAAAGACTGTTTTTCCTACAACTCATTGGCATAAAATTGTCTTTTCCTACAACTTGTTGGCATAAAACTCTTTTTTCCAAGGATATTAGGTTAGTTTTGATGTCATTATATCAAAAAATTAATTATCTACGAGAAAACACAGTAATCCAACTATCCTAGAGTCGTAGACTAATATTTGACTGGGTGAATGAGCCTGAGCAAAAAGTCGACACAAATCTCGCGAAAATAATTGTTGTATTTAAAATAATGGTGGTGCTTTGGCTCATCTCCAATTCCTTCTTGCAAAAATCGATGGAAGTCCATTGTTGCGACCATTTATAGACAAATCGTCACGACGTCAAAAAAGGGAGGCGCAATCCTTCAAACCGGGTGCCAACACCAACTGCTGACGTTGCCTTTCCACAGCGCCATCGAGGATTTTGGTTGGGCGAAAGCGACATCTTATGATTGTTGGCACACGATCGGGGCGAAGACAGAATTCCACGCCGTTGGAAATATCTAATTGCATCAAATCCGGTAGCTGGCAGTGAGAACATGCCGTAATACAATAGAAAAGAATAAGAATGAATTGTTTTGAAGAAAATACCGTACCGTGCCAATGCTTATGCAAATTTGGGGATGCATAACCGAGAAGACCCACATGGGGATGCTTAATTGAGATGATGAATGTGTGGATGCTTAACCGACAAGTACCGAATATTTTCGTTATGGTTTGACCGAGAAAAACCCCCAACAAAAAGAAGAAAGCTAATGTTTTCATTGTTGGTTTGAACGTTAGAATTTTTGGAAAAGGTTTTTCGACAAAAGCAAGGACAATTTTAGATTTTAAAAAAACTTATAGAATCACTGGTACTATCCTGTTATAAATCCCATAACAAATCCCATAATTTTGTGAGCCCAATTTAGACTTTAAAATCTACTTTAAAATCATGTGTTTAGATTCAGAATATGTTTAGGCAAAGTTTTGCACCAAGCGTAAATTAGATAAACATAATAAACATATCAAGTAGATAAAACAATAGATTAAAAATCCAAAATGGTTAGCTCAATTGAAATGGGAATTTATAACAGGATAGTACTGAATAATTATATCTATTGAGTTGGTGAATTGAAAACTGCGAAAAATGAATTGTTTGGTTGATGGAGATGAATTTTTGAGTGAAACGGGAGACGTTGAGGGTATTTTTGGAAAGGTTATAAGGTGAAAACTGATTCAAAAGATGCTCTTATTGAACGAAAATGGATAGAAAAAGACCTGAACTCAACGAAATAGGATTTTTCTGGAATCTACTATTGGGTTGGTGAATTGAAAACTGCGGGCTATTGTCATATGTGACAGTTTGAGCACTTTCTTCAAAAGAAACCCATTTTGGTGTCAATGGAAAAGTTGTAGAGAATCAAAAATCAAGCTTATATCCAAATTTTCAGAAAGATTCAAAAACTGGTTTTCAAGAAATGCGAAATTTACAAATTTTCACAAAACTTGCATTTTAAGCGAAACTACTAAGTGTATCTTTTTGGAAATTTGGCTATAAGCCTAATTTTTGATTCTCTACAAATTTTCTATTGACACCAAAATGGATTTCTTTTGAAGAAAGTGCTCAAACTGTGACATATGAACATCTCCAGTCCTCGATTTTTGAGTCTCACACTTGTCTCACACACAAACCAAAATCCTACTACGAAAGAGGAATCCTCAAATTGCCTGTAAAATGGGCAGAAGTCGTCAATAATGATGGAAATTATTTGGAATGAATTGATGGTTTTAGGGTGAATAAATTTTAGTTCAAAGTCCCGCAGTTTTCAATTCACCAACCTAATAAAGAAGGTTTGTGGTTGTCTTGTGGCTATCCCTCTACAAATAGAAATTCGATTTTTCTATGATTGAATTCCGCAAAGGATGAGCCAAATTTTTGACATATTACCTGAAATTGAGGCTTTCATTGAGGCTTTCAATTGAGAGAAGAGATTTGTTTACCTGAAAGGAACTATGAAGCCTAATGGGGATCATAAAACCATTAGTAGCAAATCAAAAAAACCAAACAAATATTTTCTCTCAATTGAAAGCCTCAATGCCAACAAAAACATGTTGACAAAACTTCCAAACATAAAAAGTTGATGGAAAAAGTTCATTGTCGTGAATGAGAAATCTCCTCTGGGTATCCCTGAAACCCCTGAAATCCCCTGCAGGATCTCAGGACATTTCTACCTCTGACCTACACATTTATTGTACTATTGATCAGTTAGAGTTTTAGTTTTAGTTATCAATTTGAAAATAGGCCGACTCATTATTAGCTCTCAGTCTCTTTCTGAAAAAATGACGTTCCGAATTCTTCGAAAAGTCTTGAAACTCGGCTAGTTTTTATCAGTTGTATAGGTCTGACCTGACTATGTGATTAGTGGCTGGAATTGTTTGTTTTTATGACTTTCAAAGTTGGGAGACAAGCTTCTTATTCTTATCTACTTTTTCTCCACTGTACTGTTTTCAGCGTTTATCCTAATTTGCAAAACTTTCGTAAAAAGTTTGACCCTGTTTACGTAAGCTTTGATCACTATTTATACAGCTGGAAAAGATTGTCTTTAAATCATTTTGATTAGCATTTATCTATTATGAAACACTTAATTGAGGTGTTTATTTGCTTGCCACTCTTGGCTCATTCCTTCGTGCTTGTGGATGTGAATGGATGTAAAGATACGAGTAGAAGTATGTTGCTTGATACTAACAAGGGAATGTAAACAGGGTGTGGTGGTCAAATGACATGAGTCATAGACCATTCGTAGAATTTTGCGCTGATTCCGAATTTGCTTTCCGTTTTTGCAACGCAGCACTCTGTCAAAAGTTATAAGCTCTCAAAGTTTTGTATGGAATCACAAAAAACAGACTCTGAGTTTATAAGTTGAATTACCAGAGAGGGAAAGATGCTTGGATATGAAGGCTTAGATATGAAGGCTTGGATATGAAGGCTTGGATATGAAGGCTTGGATATTAAGGCTTGGATATGAAGGCTTGGATATGAAGGCTTGGCTTGGACATGAAGCAAGATGTCTAGGGTTCGAGTCTGGTCCTTGACTTTTTTTTACTTCTTTCAGCTTTGAATGGTTTGTGTATTCTCTATATCCGCGCACAATCGTACAGCATCTGGCCCTCAATCTCTCTCCGCGTTATATAGAATTAGAACTTCAATTTATAAGAAATTTATAAGAAATTCTGTGCTCACATCACTATCATTTTCATCCTCTTTGATAAACTGTACTTATCTACTGTAGCTCTTTAGTTTGTGCGTGTAAACCACGTTAGAACTCTCTGTAATTCTGTTTTCGAATCTTAAGCGTACCAAATGACAATACTATTTTAAACTAATCCAACTTAAACTTAAATGGAATTTTCTATTTTGCTTATTCTTTAGAGTGTCCATCAACTACCACAACTCCAACAACAACCACAACAGCCACGACTAGGCCAATCACCACAACCACTACACCAACCGTAAGAAGAAGCTTTCAGATATAAAAAAGTATCAGCTACTTAGACAACGACAACAACAACAACAACAACAACAACAACAACAACAACTACTACTACTACTACTACTACTACCACTACCACCACTACAACGACGACAACGACCGTCAAATGCCACGAGGGTAAGTATGATACAAACACCTATACATTCTACGAAAGATTAGTTCTCTGGAGAAAACCGGGGACTTTTATTTTGTAGACTTGTCCTAGCAACATCAGAATAAACCAGTTTGATTCCTAGATCAGTTTTGTTCTTTTTGTAGAAAGACGTAATAAAGCTCAAGCCTTATCTACTTTCCCACAAATTACGACAAACTTTTGACTTTTACTCTTGATAAGGTATTGCGATTAGTAAGTATTAGGCTAGTTTAGTCCAAAAAATGAACATTTCAGTCCCTTTGACACCTCTTCTTCGCTCGTGGAACGGGAAAAGCGCCGATCACTTCTACACAGATAGTCCCGATGAGCAACAAAATGCCGTCAGCTTGGGCTATTCGATTGAAAGTTTGAAAAGCAGGTTAAACAAATGAAAGCTCTCTTCAGGCAGCATGGGTTTCCTCGGAACGTCAGGCGCATGTGATTGTCCGGGAATCGTGCCGCTCTATCGAATGTGGTCGAGTTCAGTGAGTAAGTGACACTTTCACAGTTTTTAGCGCTCTATTGAAACTTGCAAGCTTATACAGATTCATCACTTTCATTAGACAACAAAATTGGTTTGGGTTGAATTTCTACCAGGCTGGTTTCGCTTTTTTGATTCCAAGAAAGCTATACTGGATTTATCATTCATAAAGTAGCAATACCAGTATCCATAATTAGTTCAAGCTGGACCTGTTCAAGCTGGAAAAAATTAGAAACACCCAGGCCAAGTTCATTTTCTAATTTAGGCGATCATTTCTACACGACAAGCCAATCAGAGATGGTGAAAGCTCAGAACGATTATCATTATAATCTCGAGGGGATCACCGGGTATTGTATGCCGACATCCGGTTGTGGCTTATTACCACTCTACCGCTTCTGGAATGGCAAATCAGGAGGTAAACAAAAAAGAAATTCAAAATCTAGATGAAATTTCTAATCTAGAGAAGTCTAGAGGCATTTTCCCTCAAAAACAGAACCCTCTTATCAAGGAAACAAGCCTACTTCTTAAGTGAAACAACACTGACAACTTAAAAGACTAGATCTTTGCTTGTAAAGCCTTACATTTAACATAAACTACAATTACAAACTTGCTATAATTACAAACTTGAAATCCGATTACGACTCGGCAACTTTTTAGAGCTATAAGTTTTGCGTTACAGCTTCCATCAACCTGAAACTTTGCCAATTGTCTAGAAAGATTTAAAAAAATAGAATTCCGTTTGATTGACCACATTTAATTAGAAATTTCCGAGAATTTCGATGGTTTTTGAAAGAATTTCAAGCGATCAAGCATTTGGGTTGATTCTAGCAATATATTTTCAATTAAAAGACTTAATCTTTGCTTGTAAAGCCTTAAATTTAACATAAACTGCCTATAATTACAAACTTTTATAAGAATATTCAGCATTGGATGGTTTTTTGTTTGCTTAAAAGCTGAATTTCGCTGAAAAACAAGGTGGCTCCAAACTTTTGGGTTATCCTGTATATCGAAGACCAATTTAAAGAGTTATTCACGTTTAAAAGTAATTAAGATTTGTTGACTTAAATAGAAAAACTATAGTTTACAGTTATAAATGGTCTAAAGCTTCAATTTTCATATAGATATCAAGCACATAGTTTAACCTACAGTATTGGACAATGAAAAATCATATTTGAAAAACGATCGTCACTTTCGCACGCGCTGAAATGCGTCAAAAAATACGGTATTTCTAAATATTAATATTGCCATTGTGTAGCCCTTGAAAAGAGCTTTCAGAAAATGTATAACACTAATAGTTTAAACTCAAAGACAAGGAAATTACAGAAGCGCGAACGTGACGATCGTTTATTTCATTGTCCAGTACTGTAGCTATGAACAAAAAAAAAGGCTAGAATCAGTTGACTCTACTTTTCAGATCATTTCTACACAAATAGCGAGGCTGAGAAGGAGTCGGTTCTTCTCAATTTGCACGATTATCAATACGAGGGAATTCAATGCTATGTCTGGTCGACGAACAGTCATTGCTAGTTCTATCATGCATAAATTATTTGTATAATAAAGTCTAAAAGTTTGATTTATAAGAATAACTAAGTCAAATCGGTAACAAAGAAATTCTGCGAAAAGAAAGGGAATCACTTTGCTAAGATTTTGATGGGGAATCACTTTGCAAAGGGAATCACTTTGCTTGTTTGTTGGAAATCACTTTGCTTGAGTTTGCTAAGAAGGGAGCCACTTTGCAAAGGGAATCACTTAGAGTTTGCTAAGATTTTGATCGTTTTGGCCTATTCAGAGTTCATTCTTTTAAGCCAGCCTTTATACTCGAATCGAGAACTATTTGGTTAACTATTAAACTTACGATTTACACACTTTACTGGTGTGTTCTTTTTGTTTGCCTTTTCGAACCTTCTTGTTTGCCTTTGTGCTCCGCTTCTGCTTATTGATTTGGAGAAAATCGGCTCTCTTTTCCAAATGCTTATCACAAAGTTGAGTCACCAGCAAAAGAAGAAGTTTCCCCGTTTTCTAGAAGTACTTTTGCCAAGAATCTTTTGCTTTCTCAAATGGAGAGACTGCCAAATGAGTTAAAACGGCAAATTTTTCAGAGACTTTACCCCGATTCACTGCTTAAATTTCTGAAAGTCAACAAAAAACTGCGATGTTATGTTTTAAAGAATGGTCCTTTTGGGAAACGCCTTCATCAAATCGTCCTCGATTTCGAACACGGACAAATTCAAATTCCATCTTTTTCATCGAAATCTGATTATCTGGAGAATATTTGCTTGACAATTGATGATCAAATCGATCGCCATACTGTGAGACTTTTTCAAGAGTCCGTCACTTGCACGAATTTCCTCACTCATACTCCTATTTACAAAAAAGACGAATTCAACGAGCGGGACGAGAAATTTCTCCCTTTTTTGAAGAATATCAAAATCATTGGCCACCTAGAATGGGACGATCTATTAATTGGGTCAAATCTGATGCAAAATCTTCAATTCACAGTGCTAAAATCGGCTCGAATCGACGTTGGCGCCAATGGGGCAAAGGAAAGAGATTTCTATCGGAATTGGATTCGAACAAAACTTGATTTCTGTGAAGCGATCACTCTTTGGGATTGTCTCCCATTGGACACGTTTTCAGGGTTAAAGGGATTGAAACGTTTGACTCTTGATAGCTGCCGATTTCTTCGTCGATTACCGGAGATTCTCGAGAAAGGACTTCCGAATGAAAATCCCGGGTTCACCATTCAGTTTTCCACCTACTTTGACACTCAGATGGTCGGCGAGATGTTCGAGAACGATGAGAGAGGAGTGATCGAAGAAGATGAGCTCCGTTTTCAGCATTTATACGAGCCGTTTAAGCGGTCAACTTTTCAGGGATTCCACAGTTGCTCAAGTTATCGAAAGTGGCTCGATGATGGGAAATATTTGGCGTTTTTTGGGGCTCTAGTATCGGATGATCCGGTGAACGAGAGACCGCCTGGGTCGGTCTTCTTAGCGAAACTCCTCGAATCTGGCGATAAATCGGAAAAATGAAAAACATTTTGCTATATTTATGTTTAATCTGTTGAGTTTTAGAAATTACACATTTATTTTTTTTGTTCTCATAGATCGAAATAAATGTTTTGAAAATGGTAAAAAGTGGTAAAAAGTTCAAAGATGATGAGAGCGAACTCGAAGACGGATTGAACGGCTATTTTTGATCTCGCTCGCTTGGGCTTTACAAATGAGGGATTGGCAAGCTACCCAAACGTTGGAGAAAAGATAAATTCACCTGGGGAATATAAAATTGATTCTGATCCATTCGTTTTTTCTATGCGTTGAAAATAAATGAAATTCAAAATCTCTGGATTTTTATGAGGCAATCTAATACTCAACACTGTCTTTTTTTTCTTGCTAAACAAGGCATCGAATATCTATTGAACAAATGAACAAATAAAGTATTGTAATTGCATATAGTTGTTGATAAAATAAAAGCGTTTTCTTCAAATTTGTGCTCAACTAGTTGCCGTTCGAACTTCTCTCGATGGCGCCTCATCTTGACGTTTTCGAAGGAAATGGGCTGTCGTTGTGCTATATTCTGACGTGAACTTTTTATTAATATTCAATAAAATTGAATCTTTAGTAAACTTTCGGGCGTATCACTCAGTCTAGAAAGTTTTTCATCAGCCTAGTACTTTATCAGTATATTGTACGTTTTTTTCTAAATCGATTTATGTGCTTTCAAGTGGCGTAATTATAACTATAGTAGCTTCTCGATGGATCGATAAGTGTATGACCCTTTCCTATATTGTATGGGCAGTTAAGAGAATTTTAAGCCCGACTCTAGTTGTGGCTCAACTCTAGTTATGGCTCAATGCTAGTTATGGCGCAACTCTAGTTGTGGCTCAATTTTAGTTATGGCTTAACTCTAGTTATAACTCAACTCTAGTTATGGCTCAACTCTAGTTATGGCTCAACTTTAATTATGGCTTAACTCTAGTCATAACTCAGATTTTTCTCTATCTCTATGAGAGGAAGAGTTCTCTCACCTCGTTAAAAAGCTGAACCCAACAAAAATGTACATGATGAATGGAACCGAATGATCATTGGGATCATAGACTGAAGGAACGAAGAAGAGAAGAGCACTCAATTGGAATATCACAATAAAGCACACCTCGGTCACGTTTAGAATAGTACTCGATAGCATCTGGAAAAGATTTGTGAAATTGATTCGGAATGTAAAATAACTAAAACTCTAGGAAAAGAGCACATCTCATCCCTTTGATTTTATGTCAGATTAAGGTCGACTTAAAATTTCTTTACCTGTTTCAAAAGCAGTACATCGACGTGCGAGACTTTCCCACTTTGGCCCAACTAAATAATTATAAGATTCGCAAAGGAAAAAGTTGTTAAAAAAGAAAACCTTAAAAGGTTCGAGTCCTTCTTGGCGGCTCTACCATGCATAGTTACCAAGAAAACTAACGATTTTCATCTTTCGATTTGTGAAAATATCGAGAGAATAGGTGAGCATAAACGGGAAACACAAAAGATTTCTGTCGATAAAATCTTGCAAAGCGGGTGAAGCAAATTGATAAATCAAACCAAGAATGATACGCAAAATAAAAGGAGAGACCAATTGAAGTAATGGCTTTTTTAAAGTGTACTGAAAGTAGAAACCGTCAAAGGAAACAGCCAGGAAACGACTGAAAACAGAATATTTTAGTACAAGATAGCTTGGCTAACCTCAATGAGATACCAAACTGACAGTATCTAGCAAAATCGACAACATAGTTCAAAGAAAACGATATATCATTTGCCAAAGTTGTCGTGAAATTGCTTGTACACCTAAAAAATAATCAGAGATCAAGAAATCTAGGGGATTGAACCCAAATAATCATTAGAAGTGATCATTAGAAGGGATTTTCATGCTTGTCTTATTATTTTGTTAGCTTTGCTAGCAATATTTATCAACATCGAGCTTTATGCTTATGAAAGAAATCTTTCGCTCAACTTTGTATCGATATTATCAATCTTTTTGTTTCATCTACTCACTGAATTGAGCTAAAAACAGTGCCAGCACACCCGTCAACGTACAAGACACAAATACAGAAGAAAATCCACATTGAATGCTCAGCGACAACCAGCATACTAAACAGAAAGTGGATAAAGTATTGACATTTGAATTAGTAAACAGATTAAACTAAACTAACAAGGGAATGATGATTGGGTCCCGTGGCCTTTTCCGATGATATACAGGGTGCGTCATAATTATTGCAACAAGATACTCAAGGCATTGCACACCAAGAAGTTTCACTGGAAGAAGATTTTTAAACAGAAATAGCTTTATTTAACAGTAACAAATAAGGAAACAAGAGAGCATTCGATATGACCGCCTTTTGCCTTGATAACAGCCCTTAATCGGTTCGGATATGCCTCCACTGCGGCCCGAATGTCATCTTGAGGAATCGCCTTCCATCCTTTGGTCAAAGACTTCTTCAAAGAATCCAAACTTGTGTGTTTTCCTCTAAGATTGCCCAAATGGAAAAGTCCATCACATTGAGATCCGGTGAGTTTGGAGGCCATTCATCCTTGGTGATCACTGAGGGAAAGTTGGCCACACACCAGTCCTGAGCCGTCTTCTTCGTGTGAGCGGGAGCTCCATCTTGCATGAAGGTCCAATTTTGATCGTTATTGGCTTTACACACCCATGACACGCCCGTTTTCCTGTTTGGAAAACGATCTTTGAACTCTTGTTGCAATATTTATGACGCACCCTGTATAGACCATTCGACGCAGAATTTTACGCTAATTCCGACGAGGTATTAGCTGCCGAATGGCGCGTAATCACCACCAAACTGACATAAAAGTTTTGAGCCTCTCCTTTTAACGCAAACAGTTCATCGACGAACAGTTCATTTTTTCGACACAACAGTTCATCGGTGGCCGGGTGGTTGAGTAATTGTACAGCAAGCTGGGGGCGAGAGTTCGAACCTGACCCGTCTCATTTTTTTGCTTTTTTTATTCCTACCTTCTTTTGTGCTCTTTGTGGGGCCACATAAACGTTTTTCTCCTAATCGATTGTAGTTTGTCATTCTTGTTAAACATTTAATTGGCGAAATTTGACTTTGAGGTTTTTGACTCGTAGATGATGCTAGATTTATCCAAAACCTATTGAACTTATATCCAAATATGTAGCAAATTTTCTGTAGCTTCTGAGACTTATAATTATTTTACAAGAGGGCTCCTAGTTTTTGAGTTATGCCCTTTTCCGCGCCCTTCAAAAAAGGCCTTTGCGCAGAAAGTGATAAAGAGGTTTACCCTAAAATATTGTATTGCACATCAAGCTGTCTGCTGAAAGGATGTTTTCAATTATTAGCTAAGATCTTGTTTTAGTTAATTTAAACTTTATTTGACGAAAAAATGAAAAAAAGTCTTTTTACACACTTTTTCCACCGTACTACCATTTTCTCAAAATTTATCGCCTTTATGCTTTTATGAAAGACCCAAAACTTCTATGGCAGTTTGGCGATGATTACGCGCCATTCGGCAGCTAATTTTTACATCATTGGAATCAGCGTAAACGTCTGGTCTATATATCATCGGAAAAGGTCACGGGACCCAATCATCTTGCAAATAAACAGACTAAACGTTTCTCACAAGGGAATGCCAACCGAGTGTGGTGGCCAAATGGTACGAGCCATATATTATTCGAATAACCATATATTATTAGAATTTTATCCTGTTTCCGAATCTGCTTTCAGTTTTTGCTAAATAGCACTCTGTCAAAAGTTATAAGCAGGCAAAGTTTTGTATGGGCTTTTAAAAATCATCAATCATCATAAAAAAAAATTACAAGCAGCTTTCCCAGAGACCTTGACAAGCAAGGATGGCCGAGTGGTAGTTGGCTAGAATCCAAGAGAAATTCGCTCGAGTTTGAGTCAATTTTTTTATTGCTTTTTTAAAGGTAATTGATCTCCATTTCAAATACAAGTCTTTTTCAAACTACTTCTCATAAAAATCTTTACTTTTAACTATTAACATTAAACAACAATCATTAAAATCGAAAACATCAAGAAATTGATGACATTCGTCGATTTGACATTTGTCGATTCTAATTTGACTACCACTACAACAGGCATGAGACATAAAAGCAAGATAATCTGTATGCTCACTGGGAAAAACATCAAATTTGAAACAAGCATCGTTTTAATTATCGAATGAAACGCGCTCATTTCACGAATGTCATCAATATCGCGAAGACTTGATGTTTTAGATTTTAATGATTATTGTTTAATGCTAATAGTTAATAAAGATTTCTATGAGAAGTAGCTTGAAAAAGACTTGTATTTAAAATGGAGATCAATTCCCTTTAAAAAAGCAAAAAAAAGGCTGAGCTGTGGACTCGAACCCGAGAGGCTTCGCCTCGTATTCTATTGGGTTGGGGAGAATGAGTCGGCGCCAAACTTTAAAGGGACTTTTTGCACACATAAAACCTTCTTTAAATACACGTTTTGTTTCATCAAAAAGGTCCACTATTTCTCTACAAAATGACTTTTGAGAGATTCCATAAAGCTTTTCTTTCGTGGAGTTTATGGACTCCCAAACACAGCTAGTCAAAATGGCAAAGTGTCCGACTCCTCGTTTGAACAGTTTCTTCCACATAAACCTTCTTTGGTGTCTACATAAAAAGATAGAGTATACTCAATTACTTAAGTTGCCAAATTTGCAGGAAGATCCCACCAATGGTTTTTTCTAGATCACAGTTTGTAGTTTTTGTGAAAAAATGGCTTTTTCTTGAGCGGAGGCGCTGTTTGAATTTTCTTTTAAATGTCATTTTGTAGAGAATTAGTTAACCATTCTACTCATATCAAACGCATATTATTTGACGAAGTCGAATAGAAGTTTTAGACATTTTTTTCATTTTCGGCGCCGACTCATTCTCCCCAACCCAATAGTCAACTACCACTCGGCCACAACTGCACTGCGAAATCTGCTTATATGGGCGAGAAGGTCTCATTGGATATTTCGTTGGAGAACCGAAAGACAATAGCAAAAAACTACCGTATTCCAGTCGAAAGCCGGTTGTTTTGTGTGGAGAAATAAACAGCAACCAAAGCCATTAAAGAGCATAATATGAGTAGCTGAAAAATCGATAAACTACTACTTCGTTGAGCACTCCTGATACCGTGAGCTTCGACGAGTGATATATAGCAATAATCTGATACCAAAACTCTTTGGGATCACTTGGATCAATTGCGGCAAAACTCCACTCATTTTCGATGATCACCAGGGCAAGCCAGATGGGACAGTTGAAGAGAACTAGAAGGAACAAAAACATTTCATTATCTTTAGATAACAGTTTAGGATATAGGAGATAGGAGTTTAGTGCTTTTAGGTCGAAAAGATAACGTCAAGCTTGAAATTAGGTTTTTTAAGAGCTGATTTTGAGCTAGATCAAGCCCTAATCATGACTTGCTCTGACTGGTTTAACCCTAGCCAAGATGGTGATCGGACATTTGATACCGAAAATCATTTTCGTTATATCTCTTGACAGGGTAGATATTTCTGAATTTTGAAAATAAATTCGCATTTAACTATCAATTTTGCATATAATGAAAACAAAATCATAAAAGAATATCAAGATTTAGGCAGTAAAAAAAAGTGCTTGAAGAAAGGGGTACTTTTTGGGTTTTTCGGAACTTTTTTTTGCTTTTTTGCCCATAGCTTTTGGTAAAGTGCTTATTTTTGAATTTTCTTTGCAGAATTTGCGTTCTCACTTCATTCTGTATATTATAGAATCCAATTTAAAAAGACACACAAGGAGAAAAAAGTAGAAAAACTTTTTAGAGAGTAGAAAAAAGTAGAAAAACCCAAAAAAAACCCCTGTTTTTTTGGTTTTTGCTAATTTTCGACTCTTAACTTTGATGTTTTTCTTTTTGACTGGATCAAAATATGCATCTTTAAGTGCTGAATCCGAATCTGCAAACAGAAAGCAAAAATACAAAAGTCTATCAAAAGTTTTGGCCAAAAGTTCTATCAAAAGTTATGGCCAAATTAATTTTTGGTATCAAATGTTTGGTTCAAATCAAATGTCAAAGTCAAGATTCGTACTTAATTTCCAGAGCTATACAAGTAAAATCAAAGCTGTTTCATTAAGATAGAATAAACAAGATTGAATAAATGAATTTTTGATGGAGCTACAGTACTGGACAATGAAATATCATATTTGAAAAACGATCGTTACTTTCGCGCGTCTGTAACTCCCTTGTCTTTACCGTATTTCTAAATATTAATATTACCATTGTGTAGCCATTGAAAAGAGCTTTCAGAAAATGTATAACACTAATAGTTTAAACTCAAAGAGAAGGGAGTTACAGACGCGCGAAAGTGACGATCTTCTTTCAAATATGATATTTCATTGTCCAGTAGTGTATCTTGGTGCCAAGCATTCCAACTGACGTACCGACGAATATCACAGCGGTCAGCACGACGCCAATAAACTCCGAATATTTGGCAACAGAGAAAACTAGGTCTCGAATTGAGTTTCTGGTGGGTATCATTGTGACAATCATTTCAGACAGGATCAGGAAACAATATTTCTATGAAAACAAAAGGCTGTTCAAAACTTGCATACGATTTTTTGCGATTATAGAAAAGCAGTCGTATGAATTCGCAGGTGTTGGTCCATTTCTGAAAATTTAGAGCTTTTTGAGACCAATAAAGAACTGAAAGATTTGGAAACGATTCTGTTTCGATACATCGCAATTATTTCACGGTTTTCTTGTTCATTTGGCATCGTTCATTTTTGTCTAATCGTTAGTTACGTCGGGCTTTTGATTTTTTTTCTCTTTCGTTAGTTGAAAAAGCAAAACTTTTTCAAGAAATGAGAGCTTTCGAAATTTCACTCTTAAATGTCAGAAATTGTAAAATGGGATCAATAATTTGTTCCCACAGAAACCAATTTTCTTATACTAGGTTGGTGCAAATGAAATTTCGTTTTTTTACAAACATTAAAGTCAACCAAAATTTTTTTTGATAACAATTTATTTAAAACAATAAGCACCATTATTATCTATGACATCCCTCCAACGTTGCTACAGATTGCGGATCCCCTTCTCAAAGAACGCTTGATTCTGTGATGCAAAGTAGTTGGTCACCCAATTTTCGACTTCTTTTGCATTCTTAAACTGGCAATTCTCAAGGGAATGTTGCATCGATCTGAAAAGGTGAAAATCGGAGGGTGCTAAGTCTGGACTATACGGCGCATGTGGTAAGGCCTTCCATCCTAGCTTCTCTAGTTCCTTACAAGAGGTTTTTGCCGTGTGAGCTGGAGCATTATCACGGAGAAAGCTGATAGTTGAGGGATTTAGGCCTTTTTCACGCAAAATTTCGTCAACCTTCTTGAGTTGTTGAATAAAATAAGATGAATCGACTGTTTTTCCGGGCTCTAATAATTCAAAATGAACAAGTCCATTGATATTCCACCAGCAAGACAACATCACTTTGCGCCCATGATAATCCGGCTTTGGAGTTGGAATTGGCGCTTGACCTTTGCTCAGCCATTGTCTTTTTCGAGAAGTATTATCAAAGTGAATCCACTTCTCATCCATCGTCAAGATATTCTCAAAAAAAATGGCTTCTTTTCGACTTCTGGAGCAAGATATGGCTGATCGGAACGCGTGCTCCCAGATTCTCAACACTCAATTGATGTGGAACCCATTGTCCATTACGATTTGTCTTTCCAATTATTTCCAAATGGCGTACAATTGTTGAATTGGAGATGTTTGGCAAGTTCTCGTGTTGTTTGCATTGGATCAGCTTCAATTCATTGTTGTCGATGGCTGTGGCACGATGTCCATGCGATTCGTCTTCAAGGGATTCATTACCATCTCGGAATTGGGCAAACCAGAGCTGGCATGATCTTTCGGTGATAACCTGTTCTCCAAAGGCGGAACAGAGATCACGATGTGAATCAGCAGCGTTTTTGCCCATTTTGAAGTCATAGAGAAGACACGTGCGCAGAACATACTTTTGATCCACCATGATCTAAAGCAAAAATCAATTAAAAAGTGAAAGCTCTGACTTTGAAAAAATGCGAAAATAAAGTAAATATCCAAGAGTACAAATGCACAAAAGAACATCAAATAAGCTCTTCAGATTAAAAAAATAAGAACATTTTATATCGACCGAAATTTCTTTTGCACCAACCTAATAACTGTGGCTGGACTGGTTTTCCAAAAAAAACTACCATTCATGCCACAAAAAAAAACATTTTTTAAAAAATGGGAATTTTCAAAGTACCAAAAATGTAATTGGCTTGTAATTTCTTTCTACATAGACGGTTATTTTGAGAGTTTTTTTTCAGATTATGGATTGCTTTTGATCTTCTGAGTATTTAAATGATTTTTCCTAATTTGAAGCTAAAAAGTTATACTCAGATTCATTTTTAATGAATCTAGTCGGCATTAACTATGGAAAACTTTAAACCATTCGAAACTTCTGCAGCGAATAATCGCTGCATCAAAAACTCCGGAACGGACTATTCGCTGCAGCGCTAATTGAGCTATTTTCATTCAATTAATTGATTTTTTTGCTGTTTTTCAGCATTACATGTATATTCCAATTGTAACAGATCCACAAATTACGTGGGCAAAAAAGATGTTTCATATTTACCCGGAATCAATGCAGCCTCTGACTTTGCATTGAAGTGTTCCATAATAGCTCTAATCTTATAAAGCCGATCTCCTGCAGGATCCAGTTCATTATCACAAAATTGCAGGTTTCAAAGAATAGATTCAAATTTTACTCTTGACATAATGTGGGACATGTGGGAAAATCCTCCTAATCGAGGCCTGCTACTCCAGTAGTCACGAATCCTCCGTAATTTGACGATTCCCATTTGAAGATACAGAGCCAAGAAGAGCTTGAAAGATTTTGCATCGAAATCCTGCCAGTTTGTTTTCCTTTTTTCATGTTTATTAGATTCACCTACTAACATATTGATTAATTTGTCGTCGATAAAATAAGAATAATAATCGATAGGATCTTGAAAAGTACCGAAGACGAATCTAAATCGTTCTTCATCAAAAATAAATGGTGAAGGAGACCCCCGTAAATCTTTCCAACCATCTGGATAAACTGCTTCAGACGCATCGTCATCCTCTTCCTCGGATTCGCTTGCTTGATGCCAATACTTCTGGTTGAATTAGTCGATCATCCGATCCATCAATAGACTCCAAATCATTGTCAATAAATAAATTATTGAAAGAATCCTTCAATTCGTCATCCATAACGCTATCGAAAAGAAGAATAACTTAGGTTAATCTATAGAAATTATCAGAAATAATATAAAATAGAAAGTCAGCAAAAAAAACGCGGGAACGGACCGCTGCAGCGAAAAAAATGTCAAAAAAGGGCTTGGTCCGCAGACGAAAAAAAAGAAAAAACGCTACGGTTTCGAATGGGTTAATTTGCACATTTTCTATATACAGTAGAGTGTGTTCCTCGCGAGTAATGCGTTTTTTTAAAATGCACAATTGGGAAAAAATGACCGTACTTTTATCAAAAATTATTGCAAAAAAATGACGCAAAAATCACGCGCCCATATATATACGACACTTTTTAAAGATACTCAGCTGTTTAACTGATTTGGTGGGAAATTCCCTTCCAATGTAAAAAAATGATTTTTTTGAAAAACCTGCCCAAAAAATTGCTTTTATATTTTTTTTTCGCGCAGGTGCCCTCCTTAGAAAACGCATTAGTAATTACTTACTCGAGTAATTACTTACTCGCGAGGAACACACTCTAATATACAGAGTGCGCCATAATTGTCGAAACAAGATCAATTTCTGATTTTAAGGCAGACAACAGCAAAAAAAGACAAATTTTTAACTGAATAACACTTATTGTACATTAACAATTATAAATCAACTATCAAATTCGAATCGGGCACCGCCGATTCGAATTAAATAGCATTTGAGCAGGCTCGCGGGCGTTTCGGGAAGGCGTCAACGGTGGCGACAAAATAGGCTGGGTCGAGCTCTTCCCACGTTTTAAACAGTGATTTCTCCAAGCTTTCGATGTTTTTGTGGGGCTTTGAACAAGCTTTGGCTTCTAGAACCGATCACACTGAAAAATCCATTGGGTTGAGGTCTGGGAGCTAGGTGGCCACTCAGAAAAAGAAATGAAGTCCGGGAAGTTGTTTTGGCAGAACTCTTGGACTTTCTTGGATTTGTGGGCTGTGCGCCATCTTGCTGATAAGGCCAAATTCGATTTCCAAAATGTTTACGAGTTCAGGCCAAGAGTTCATCCTTGAGAAGAGCCAGGTTACCGCCAGGTTAGCCAGGTTACCTTGTTACCGCGCGTGATACCTTGTCGCGACAATTATGGTGCACCCTGTACAATGGTGGAAAAAAAAATGCACCATGCGAAAAAACCGTTTTGCTGAAATTTTGGCAATAATGCGTGTGCTGCCAGTTAAATTTTGCTCATGAGCTAGTGAGCTAGAAAAAAGCTGTTCATGAGCTAGAAAAAATAAGAGACACTTTATTCTCAGACTTCACTCATTTTATAGGGAGAATTTGCTAAAAAGAGGATGAAAATAAAAATGCAATGCACCATAATGAAAAGAAGCTATTTTTTAGTATTTTTTTGAGTTTCCTTGCACTTTAATGCATTTGTCTCTTTATCAAATTCATTTCCCGTTAGAGCCGCTAGATTATGGAACTTGCGCCCAAACGACATACGAGAAATTCAGTCGCTTTTCATATTCAAGAAACGTATCGATGCTTTAGATCTAGTGGCTCTTTGCCGTAAGTAATTGGCTTATTGATTTCAGTATGTATTGTATGATTAAGTATCACTGTGCATTTCTCTATGATTTCTTTCACTTTATCGTTTGAATAAAGTATTATTATTATTATTATTATTTGTGCAGCCTTTTCAACATATTTACAAAATATTTTACGAGTTTCAGCACGCGAAACAACTTTCATCTTTGAGAAATCTTGTCCAAAACGCAAATTACAATAAGCGAGCAATTCTCGCTTTGCATAGGTTCGCTAATGTCCTTTTGAAGTATAAACGGAAGTGAAAGGCTGTATTTGAAGAAGAAAAACATTATTGATGCAAAATGACACGGCAAAAACGCCCAAAACGGTGCCTGGAAGCCTTCACTTTCCAGTGCATCACCGATTCACTTTGGAAGTTTTGAGTTGCTGGTCTACTGGAAGTCGCCGCCCAGGCCCCATATTTGTATGAATATAAATAGACACTTAATACTCAAATATTCCAGCATATCTAGAGCTATCCGTGAAAAAAATCCAAAAAAAGTGCATTAGTGCCAAAATTTCAGCAAAAAAACGTTTTTTAAATTTTTTTTACGACTGTTTTTCTTTTTCTTGTATTTTCTTGTTCTTAGGGTTGAGTCTTCACGAATTTATTTTCGATTTTGAAAATCCCAATCGCCAAAAATATTTCTCTATTATCCGGAGCAGTACGGATAGAAGGCGCCGTTGTATGTGTATCCACCAGAGCATCGGAAAGTGTTACCGCCCGAAGTGAAAGTGTTGGTGTTACTGAAATCGGCTGCATCATCAGGAGAAAACAAATAAAACTAAAAGCTTTTCCCCTTTCTGATAGACTGTTAAAGGTTCTAGCTCCATTAGTGCTAAAGTTGATTTTTCTAATTCTCCAAAGCACTTTCAGAGAATATTCTAGATGCTATAAGTGCTCGTAAAGCTTGTAAAGTTTGTATCAGTGCTTGTAAGGCTTGTATAAGTGCTTGTAAAGCATGTAAGGCTTGTATCAGTGCTTATAAAGCTTGTAAAGTTTGTATAAGTGCTTGTAAAGCTTGTAAGGCTTGTATCAGTCCTTGTAAAGCTTGTAAAGCTTGTATAAGTGCTTGTAAAGCTTGTAAAGCTTGTATAAGTGCTTGTAATGTTTGTAAAGCTTGTATAGGTGCTTGTAAAGCTTGTAAAGCTTGTATAAGTGCTTGTAATGTTTGTAAAGCTTGTATAGGTGCTTGTAAAGCATGTAAAGCTTGTATAAGTGTTTGTAAAGCTTGTAAAGCTTGTATAAGTGTTTGTAAAGCTTGTAAAGTTTGTATAAGTGCTTGTAAAGCTTGTAAAGTTTGTATAGGTGCTTGTAAAGCATGTAAAGCTTGTATAAGTGTTTGTAAAGCATGTAAAGTTTGTATAAGTGCTTGTAAAGCTTGTAAAGCTGCCAAAAAACGTAAACTTAACGTAAACTCACGCTGCATTGTAGTAGTACTGTCCATTGTTGTTGTAGCCATTGGTTGGCGAGGAGAAAGTGGCTCCGTTTCGATAGTAGGGATAAGTTGCTGAAACTCCATTGTAGGTATAGGTGGCACGTCTCGCTCGGATTGGCCTGAAATTCGGTAATAAAGTGTAACGATTTATATAGGAGATTCTTATCTAAAAGAAAGATACCGTAAATGCTGTATTAGAACGAGCACCTCTAAAAGAGTGACCCCCTTCTTTCACAAATTTTTTCATTTCTCATTTTCTGAAAGGCATTATTTTTAAAGTTCTAGTCGGACCTACTGCTTAGTTTTAGTTTTTCCAAAAGCTAAGGAAAAAGTTGTAAGAACAAGGGAGAGATAAAAAGTCCCTGCTTTAGCATGCTTCCATTCTTGGTCCTAGCCTGTTCCAGCTTTGAAAACTCATCTTAAAACTTAAAACTTAGTGCTTACTAAGTACACAAGTTAAAAAAACTTAAAGCCAATACTCACCCATATCCTTCAAAGTCACCAAATTGAGCCGAAACCGTGGCTAGGATGACGAGAAGAGCGAGAAAGGAAACCAACGAGGAATTCATCGTTTTTCGAATCTTGTCCGAAACTGTTTTTGATCCTCCTTATATCTGTTTTAAAGGCGTTAACTTTTTACCCAATCTATTTACTGAAAAGGTTTCTTGAAACCCTGGAAACATGCTCTAATCCTGGAAATTCTTTTGCTAAAAAAGCTTGAACTCATTTTGCTCTTTTTGACCCGTTTATCCCGGGAGTTACCCCCACCTTTTCCGAGTTTTTGAGTTTTGTCGCCTTTTGATTTATCTTAGAGACTAAAATCAATGTTTACAGAAATGACGAGGGTTTTCTCTGGTGTTCCGGGAAAAGGAAAAATTGCTCTCTAGTCTTCGGCAAGTTGAGAACAAAAGTAAACTCTTCAAAAGCTTCATGTATTTGTATAAACCTTGACCATAATTCAAAATGCTTTGACTCGGTAAAACAAACTATAATTTTCGAATCTTCTTTCGAATTGAGCTCATTTATTGAGAATTCGAATTGAGCTCATTCAAGCTCATTTATTGGTATAATTATAGCCGGTCTTTCAGCTAGTTTATGCACGCCAAAGCTGAAAAATTGTTGGGGTTGGGGGCACACACTCGGAAACTCATGGAGGCTTGACGAGGCAGCTATAACTGCTCACCATGCTCACGAGGCAGCTATAACTGCTCACCATCTCAGATCGACTTCAAAATTAAAAACATAATAAGAATTTTCTGAAGTTTTTAGCTGCTAAATCCTAGAAATAACTAAAATATAAGGTTTCAAACTTTAGCTCAATATACTTAGCTTTTTAGCTCAATATATACTGCTTCTTTCATTTTTTCGAGTCTTTCCATCGATGTTGAATTTTTTGTTGATTGGACTTTAACCGACTATTACTGAGAAAAGTTTATTTTCTTTATTTAGTTTACTTTCTTTATTTAATTTACTTTCTTTATTTAGTTTCCTTCTTTATTTAGTTTACTTTCTTTATTTAGTTTACTTTCTTTATTTAGTTTACTTTCTTTATTTAGTTTACTTTAGTCTCTTTATTACTTCAAACTTTAATACTTTATCCACTTTCTGTTTAGTATGCTGGAATGGAATGCGATTTTTTTTTCTGTATTTGTGTTTTGTACGTTGATAGTGGCACTAAAAAAACAGCTCAACGTTGAGCTAAAAACAGCTCAACGAATTGAGCTGTTTTTAGCTCAATTCAGTGAGTAGATGGAACAAAAAGATTGATAATTATCGATACAAAGTTCAGCGAAAGGTTTCTTTCATAGGCATAAAGCTCGATGTTGATAAATATTGCTAGCAAAGCTAATAAAATAATAAGACAAGCATGAAAATCTCTTCTAATGATCACTTATTTGGGTTCAATCCCCTAGACTTCTTGATCTCTGATTATTTTTTAGGCGTGCAAGCACTTTCTCGACAACTTTTGCAACTGATATATCGTTTTCTTTGAACTATGTCGTCGATTTTACCAGATACTGTCAGTTTGGCATTTCATTTTTTTCCTTCTTGCACAAATAACCCTGAGGCTTGTTTAGGGCATATATAAACGCTGTGCAAAAAGTGCAAAAAGAAAGTTTAAAACAAAAGATTATTTCTGATAATTGCTGGCTGTTTAGCTTAGGTATGAACAATGCAAAAAAAGCTGGTTTTTTATTAATACAATCTGCGTGTACTAATACAGGGAGTTCGAAATTTGCATTTTTAGCTGTTGGCACTTAAATGTCACGAAGCGCCAGAGCCGGGAATGTTAGTTCGGGTGGGTGGGACAGTATTTCACATTCATTCGGGCAACGGAATTAGGGTGGGTGGGCTAAAGATTTGATTTTTAAAAGTTTGCATATTTTGTCTTTTTTAAAAAACACCTTTTGTCTATAGCTGCTTTTTGTCAACTGTGATTTCAGGGCTATGAAGAAAGATGAAAAAGATAATATTTGCACGAAAATTCTCAAAGTTTAAAGAACTAGGAACTAATATTTTATTGCTATTAAACCAAAAGTCAAGAAATTCTTAGACAATTTGTAAAAATAAATACCTTTCCGAATCTACTCTTCAATTAAAGAAATGACCAAGATCGCCAGTTGCAGTCGATAAGTGTGATATCACAGATTTCACGTGCACCAATAGAAATAATTTTCTTTCGCAAGAAAAATATGAGCTGGACAGGCATTAGTTTAATTGATAGAGTCCGGAAATGATGGCACACTTCCTCCAAATTCTTTTTTTGCAATGTTTTGCGATATTTTGTTGTTTTGTGAATTTTCAATCAATGAAAGTATTCTGCTTCTCTGTAATCAGATTCAAATGTCTTATGATTTGTCTTATGATGTCTTTAAGAGCGATTGAATCATCTAAATTGATAAAATGCTTTATTGGTCTCTGTGGCGATGAGTAATGATAACAACAATCACAATCAGAATCATAATGATCGCAGCAAGAGTACCTATTCCAAAGAGAACTGGTCTCGGGAGTCCTTTACCGTCTCTCTCGTCAACGTTTCGCATCTCTAAATTTGTAAAATTAGATAAAATTTGGCAAAGTAACGTTAACAGGAGAAGCTATATACTATTTGTTGATTAGGAACTACGCTGGGGATTCCCTCCTCAACCCATTCCATCTTGGAGCGGGTGGCGCGCAGCCCAGCCCCCTCCATCCTCCCCGCTCATCCGTTTTTAGTTCCTCACCCAAAATTTTTCTCAATCTTACAAATTGTGTCAGAAGCTCATCGCATAAAATTGGTGAAGAGGTAGGCTTCACTCATCCCCACTTGAAGTGGGTCCTCGGTGTGTTAAGGACTGCCCTAGACAGAATTGTTATCAGTAGGAGGTGTCGCGCGCTCATTAGGAGATGCATGTGTAGTAGGAAACCCCCATCTTAACTTAGCACCTCCTGTAGCAGGTACCTTTTAAATCTTACAATCGTTACAACTAGTCTTACAACCAAAAAGGATTTGGAAATGTGTCATCATTTCCGAACTTAATCAGGTCGATTTCCCCAGTCCTCTTAAGTCCTCTTAAGTCCTCTTAAGTCCTCTTAAGTCCTCTTAAGTCGATACCTTTTGTTAGAGAATCCCTCCCCTCCTACTATAGCTAGAGCTTACTTCTCCAAAAATCCGTGACAAGCGACGATTTTGTTGATACTCCTTCCATTGTTCAATGATAAAACGTCAATAAGGAAATAATGAAGATGTTTTTTTGACAGTTTTTATGAATTCACAATATCTGTAATAGAAATGTAAAAATTGTTTGTGGAATATATGAAATTTTTCACGGAAGATAACCTGTTTGTGTGTTCGATTGGTGACTGATTGACCTTGGTCAGTTTTTTTGGAAAGAGTGCGCGGAAGCCAATCTCTATCGATGTTCAAATTCTCTCAAATCTCAAGTGTTCCTGCATTGCTCTTTCCCCGATGAACGTTCCAATGGCGTTGAAACAAGGTAATGAAGAGAAATTTAGATCAAAAGTATTTGACAGCAAAAGACAAAATACGTTTAGTGTCACTCGCAAAAAAAGCCGTAAACGTTTTCACCATATTCGTTGTAGCCCGAAGCGCTTCCTTTAGATGTAGTGGCTTGAGTAGAATCATTTAGCAGAGGCTAGAATCATTTAGCAATTACTTTATCGGAACCTCATAGTGTGAGCCGATAATAATTAGCTATTAAGGCACTGCCTAAACCCTTGAATTTCCACGGTCAGTAGTCAAACTCTTGCGACAACAAGAATTTTGATTGATCCCAAGATTCTTGTAATAATCAATGCGATTCGTTAAATCAAACGTCGACTGTAGTCGGTTTGCTTCGTTCATCATTAAGTTCTCGTTAAGTATAGTCTAATCTAGACTTGATCTTATCAGTGATCTCATCAGTGACAATATTGTCCGAATCAGCTCCAAGTCTAATTTTTTCAAAAAACTATTTTTTGTGTCTGGGGCTTTTTTTGGAACAGGCTGTTCCACGGGCCACGGAAATGCGGAAAACCTCTCCGTTCTATTAGGTTGTCCCATAAAAACCCAGAGATTTTGAATTTCATTTATTTTCAGCACATAGAAACAACGAAGAATCAGAATCAAATTATATATTTCCCAGATGAATTTATAACTTTTCTCCAACGTTTGGGTAGCTTGCCAATCCCTCGTTCGTAAAACCCAAGCGGGCGCGAGCGAAAATAGGCGTTCAATTCGTCCTCGGGTTTGCTCTCATCTTTGAACTTTTTACCACGTAAGAAATCCTTTAGCGACAAGAACAAGTGATAGTCAGAAGGGGCAACGTCCGGAGAATACGGTGCATGAGGAAGGATATTCCAGTGTAGGTTGTCCTTCACAAAATCGATCGATCTTTCTGATTTGTGGGAGCTTGCGCCATCCTGAAGAACGAAAACCATTTGTTTTCATAGAGTAACCCTCCGACTTTTTATTCCACTTTTTTCATATGATATAGATAAACATCGGTGTTGAAATTTTGCCTCGTTTTAAGAAGTTCCCAGAGAAGGACGCCTGTTGAACACCAGTCGACACACAAGATTCGCTTCCTTTCGTGGATCTTCCGTTTTGGCAGCATTTTACATGCTTGCCCTTTCTTCAATCACTGCCGTTGTAAGACTCGACCATCGTAGAAAACCCACGTTTGATCGTGAGTGATGATGTTCGAAAGATGAAGCCGGCCATGCCGGTATTCGCTCCACAAATGGTTGCATGTCCGCTTTCTTTTAACTTGGATTGTTTCCGATCTTTCGTATGGAATTCAGCGTTGTTTTCTACGATTTCTTTCCACTTTTCGCAGTCATCGCTACACAGTCATCCATCCACAGTAACTTCCGACCAATTCTCCGGTTGATCCATCGGGGTTTCGCAGGAATCGATGCCTCATCGATCGATCCACTTTCCAGGGGTCGGCCGCTTCTCCTCTTCCGTTTGATCCTTGTGTTGCCCGTCTTGAATCTGTGAAACCATTCCTATGCAGTACTCGTTGCCATAAAATTCGCCATTTGTTGCCATAAAATTCGCCATTTGTTGCCATAAAATTGATTGATTTCTTGTGCTGCTTTGGCCGCTGAAATCCCTCCTGAAAATCGTTGGAGTAGTTGGGCGTGAATTTCTTCTCGAGTTGGCTTCATTCGATCGACTGCAACTCTCTTCTCGTGTCGACCCCTAAAAAATGAATGCTAGTGCAAGAAAGAAGAAAGTTTTAGCATGAAAAAGAAAAAAAGATGAATACAAAACGAAGTGTTGTGAGCAAGTAGTGATTAAAACAAAAAATCTCTGGGTTTTTATGGGACAGCTTAATAATTGTAAGTTATCGGCAGGGGGAATAATGAATTTTCTCTGTCGAAGCTGAAGGATGAAATTAATTGATTCAGGAGAAGTTGGGGCCAACAGGTGTTTTGGATTCATGTACTGATACTCTAACGAGAAATAACAAATTTATCATATGAGGTAGGAGAAATTGATTACCACTTCTTTTCTTTTCCTTCTAATATTTCGATGTTCACCCCATCTATTGATTTTCTGACGTATATCAGTTATGGTTATACTTGCATTGGTATCATCAATACTTGTCTCTTTTTCTTGACAATTTATCTCCTAACCACGAAAAAATCACTGGCTTTACCCAAATATAAGAGGATTCTAGCAGCACATTTGGTTTGCACTTTAAAATCTATATAACATTAGGCTAGAATTTTAAAGTTGATATAGATCATAGCCTGGATAGCCGATTTGCTAGTCTCGTTGGGGAAACCATTAGCATTTCATCCAGACCTCGTTGTCATAGTACTTGGACCGATTGTGGGGCTCGAGCCGGTGTTGACTGGAGCGGTGAGTCCACTGTAAAAGCTATTTTAAAATATTGGGTTGGTGGAAAAGTCCTTTCCGATTTTTTGGGAGAGTACCTTAATTGTCCAATTTTGACGTTTTATAGCTCATCCTAAAGCTGAATTCAAGACGGATCGATTGGTAAAAACGTTTTGAGATATCTCTTTTTTAAAAGTTAGCCTTTCCGCCACTTTTCGCGATTTTCCTTCTATTGATCTGAGGGTCGCTGGTTCGACTTCCACCGGTGACAATATTTTTCAAAAATTTTTTGCTAAGATTCTGAAAATGCGTCTCTAGGGGTTATTTTTGACGCTGATCACGAAACACATGCTTTTAGCCTAGGTTTCTGCACGGAAAACTAACGAAACGTGAAAACAGCCATTTTTTGGCTCTGCCGCCCTTTACTAAAAGAACTGTAAAAACTTTTAGAAAAGAGATATCTCAAAACGTTTTTATCAATCGATCCGTCTTAAATTCAGCTTTAGGATGAGCTATAAAACGTCAAAATTGGACAAATTTAAGGTACTCTCCCAAAAAATCGGAAAGGACTTTTCCACCAACCCAATACTTTTATTTTACTATTACTATAGGGTTCAGCTGCGTTCAGTTTTTGCCAAGACCATTCTCTAATAAAGGAGAATGTCTGATCTTCCATTTTATCTCATTAAATCATCACTAAACGATTAAATAATAGAGGCTTTCTCTAAAAGTCTAAAAGTTCTTGAAATTAGTAGATCATTTTCAGGCACTAACCGTAGCCCTCGTTCAACTCTTTGCTCTTGTCGCCGGTTATGGTTTCTATGATAAACTTAACGGAAGCAGCAGCCAAGTTTGGTTGAGGAGAATCAATTTGTTGTCGAAAGTTATTTTTATTGGTGGCTACGTGTTTTGTATAGTTGCGACGGCGGGGGTTCTCTTGATTGGATATCTCGAAGGATTGATTGTAGCCGATGAAAAGATGGTAAATCTTTTGAAGTAAGGTGGACATGGTTAAGAAAGGCTACAATAAAGTTATTAGTATTATCAGTATAAGCAAATATAAGCAAAAAAGGCGAAAGTTTTGTTCTTTTTAAATTCTCTTTAACTGAATTCTCTTCGTTTGCTTATTATTTTATAAGTGTTTATAGCCAAAAGCTAGCCAATTTTTCACAGAATCTTATTACCGTTTTAAATTAACTCCTTTTTCGTAATTTTCATAGAAATTTTTGCTTTTTTCGGAAAGCATAGAATAACGATAACTCAAAATTTAAAGGAGCTGTTTAAAAACTGTAATCAGATGTAAATTTTGTAAAAGATTTGCGATCTTTTGGCTATAAACACTTATGAAATAAAAGCAACCAGGAAGCTTTTAGAGAGAATTCTAAAAAGAATAGAACTTTCACCGCGCCTTGTATTGTTATGATCTGTTGTAAGGCACAAATTTTTGAAGCCAAATCGAACATCTAAGAGGGCAAATTTCCTATTTGGGAAAGAAAGACAATTGCTGGAAATTGTCCGAAAAATCCTTCAAGTCCAACAAGAACGAGCTTGACTTTTTTTGAATCCGAAACTAGCAGCAATTTTAGATCTGTGCCCGACTCTTTCCCATATGTAACTCGATGGAAGTTTCCGGTTTCTATTCAAAACAATTCAACCTACCACAAATGATATTGATAAAATTGGTGGTCGGATTGGTGACGTTGAATTATGTTCTCGCAAGTGTCAATCTGATCATCCTTCACATCGATTATCGCCGACTCGTAATCAAAACGATGAGAAGTGCAAAAACTTTGGCTATTAAAAGATATTTCTTGCTGATAACCACTTGTCAGGTTCAGCTTGACACGATTTTAACAAAGTTTATTCTTTAGATTGTCTTAATCATTTGTTTTGTCGGTATTCCTTGGACATTAATGATCTCGATCGAGTTTCTCACGTTTCTACAAACGAATTTCCTTGAAATGGGTAATGTCAAAAAGATCAGAAAGCCTAAATTTTCACCTGGCTTTAGTACAAATAACCAAACCAAAAGCGATAGAAAAAGCTGTTCCAAGAATTAAGTCAAAATTGAGCTTCGATGTTCTTGAAACAATTGAAAAGCTGCGAATAAAATATAATATTCTACCAAGGTTGTTTTCTAATGAAATAAGATCAGATACGACTTCTAGAATTAACGGATTCATTAGGACAGTCTTGGGCAGGCACGTTCAGTTTGAGACTAATCTGGGTTAAATTAAGAACCAATCTATCCATATCAGCTATTAGCTATTAGTTGGCATGTGCAAGACCGCCCATATTTTGTCGGTTTGTTCCTTTTTTTGGGATATTTTCGGGAATTTTGGTCAGCTTGGTCGGTCAGTTCGGTCAAGATCAGGTCTGAACGGCGGTTGAAACATCTACTCTATTGCGCTAACTATTGCTCGATTTTAGTCTTGACTTGTGCTTTCCTTTTCTCGACTCTTCATTCGGCATTCAGCAGTATGACGATCATTTTGGCGACAAAGCCCTATCGAGTGGCGATTCGCGGTTTCGCATCGAGCTTCCTCAAAAAACCGATAACCCCATCCGTCATTGTGATAAATAGTAGTAATCATATTAGCGTAGTTCGATAAATAAAAGTACAAATACATTGCTATACTTATCTTAAATTTAGAGTCTAAGCTAGACGTACTCAGGTTGAATTTCAGAACCTCAGAGATTTAGAACAAATCTGAGATGAGAAAATGCCAAAAAAGCGAAAAAGGGATCAAAAAGAGGTGAACTGACCCTTTCTCGGCACCACTTCTGTTTTAAGTGATCGCAAAGTAGATGCAAACTGTAGATAAATTTATTCTGCATCAAATAAGAAGAAGAAACACAGAGAAACTTAGCCGTGGAGGGGCTATTTTTGCCGTGGCGCTGCTTGTACACGACGCTGTTTTGATCAGCTCCTTAATTTTATGCATCAGCGGTTACCGTATTCTCTCAAATAGTAGTGCACCCCGCCGAGCCGAGTTGATGCCCATTTTACAGTTCCCAGGCTTTCACAAAAGCTCAACACTCTAATCCCCGACAAGATCTCATCGTCAGCTATATTTTCCGACCCCACATCGATAGGTTCTGATGAGCGCTTTTCGAGATTTCGAGCAATTTAGGCGAGGCCCAGGGTGCACTACTATTAGAGAAAATACGGTATTTTTAGTGATAATTATATAGTGCTCTGTTGTGGGATACTGTCATTTGTTGTGATAAAAGCAAAATTTTGGAAAGAATTTCCATTTTGGTCATTTGTCAAGCAGTTAATTTGTAAGGTTATAGTAATTTGAAAAATTTGTATTTTCCGTTTGTTAGTTGCCACATTTCTCTACTTAAAATTATTGTTCAGGAATGGGTGATGTTGAGAATTCAGACCAACCGATGAAGTTGGAAGAGCATTTGACGACGAAGATCGTGGCTAAGCTCATCGCCAAGCCGAAGCTTACGCAAAAAGGGTTGGCCAAGCAATTCGACTTCAACTCTAGCCTTCAACTCTAGCCTAGATGATGATCGAAGGGGGGACAGAAGAAAGCCTCGGTGCAGCGATCAAGGCAATCGACAAGAGGAACGATGATGATGATTGATGATTGAGGTACAACCAAAAACCTTCCAAACTTTATCTGGAATAAAGTTTGAAAGATCTTGTCCAACTCTTGCATTATTTTAGCCGACAGAATTCTTTCAAACTTTCACCATAACTCTTAAAATGCTTTTCAACGAGGTCATTCAAGATTCTGCTGGAACTTTGCTTTCTTTTGTTGAACTTTTTTTTATATTTTACTATGAACTGGTAAGGAATTTGTGTATATCACGATAATTTTATTTAACGCAATTACGATAATTTGTCTTCGGAAAAGAGGAATTAACCATCAGATTACTCAATGTTTGAATAATTTTTTGGAAGATTTTAGTAATTAACCTGGCAAATACTGGTCAGTTTCATTTTCCAATTTGTCACAAAGTCGAGTGCACACATCAAATAACTTAATGTCCAGCCAGTGTAGAATCCAAATGTCTTGTCGATTTAAGAGGCAAATACACCAAGGAATTTCTCAGAGCCATCAGAAAATAGATAGAGAAAAAGCAATTTTGACCATGGCCATCTCGTCGTGAATCAGATTTGCTGATTGCTGAAATTTGCGAGGAAATTCACCATTCTGATTACTTGCCATTCGAAGCGTAACGAGAAGAAGATGGAACTCGTCGAAATGGTAAAAGGACTTTGGCCCAGCTGAAACAGGAAGCTGAAATATTTGAGTATTATCTCAAGTTAGACGAATCCGGGCTGGGTAATTCTGGAGAACTGGTCCCAAAAAGATAATTGTTTTCATGATCACCTTATTGTTAGGGTTTTAGATCAGTCAGTCAGTCAGAAGAGTCAGTTTTTAGTTTGAGTTTGACCCTTCAGCTCTCTCATGGGACGGACAAATTAGCAAAAAGCGGTCAGTTATAGATAAACCGTATTGTTAAGTGGTCTTGCTAATCACTATTAAATCATGTATCCAAAACCTTTTCCCCTCCAAAAAGTCTAAAGGGTACGGCGAAAACTTGGTAATAGACACACAGACAGAGGATGTCGAAATTCAACCTGAGTACGTTTAGCTCAGTCTCTAAATTTAAGATAAGTATAGCAATGAATTTGTATGCCATCAAATAGCATTTACCATTACTCTCCGATCTTGATAATGATGAGCAGAAAGAAATTGACAGTAATGGCAGTGAGGATTGGTATTTGGAGGATGATATTTGAATTGTTTACATGTGACATTTGTTCCATTGAGATTCTTTATCTAATAAATATCTAATAAACTTTGTTTCTAGCTTACGTTTAAACAGTCGAAGCTTATACCCTTAAAATAACAGATACCGGAAAAAGTTTTGTTACTGTTTAGTTAAATATTTTGAGCTTTACATCAAAACCTTATTAGAACTTATTATACATTATATTTCGATTGAGTTGCCCCAATACCCAGGAGACTAATCTTGTTTTTGATTCTAGCAGTTGCCATAAAATCTTTATTCATCGAACTACGCTAATATGATTGCTACTGTGTATCACAATGACGGATGGGGTTATCGGTTTTTTGAGGAAGCTCGATGCGAAACCGCGAATCGCCACTCGATAGGGCTTGGTCGCCAAAATGATCGTCATACTGCTGAATGCCGAATGAAGAGTCGAGAAAAGGAAAGCACAACTCAAGACTGAAATCGAGCAATAGTTAGCGCAATAGAGTAGATGTTTCGACCGCCGATCAGACCTGATTTTGACAGAACTGACCGACCAAGCTGACCAAAATTCCCGAAAATATCCCAAAAAAAGGAACAAACCGACAAAATATGGGCGGTCTTGCACATGCCAACTAATAGCTAATAGCTGATATGGATAGATTGGTTCTTAATTTAACCCAGATTAGTCTCAAACTGAACGTGCCTGCCCAAGACTGTCCCTAATGAATCCGTTAATTCTAGAAGTCGTATCTGATCTTATTTCATTAGAACAAAACCTTGGTAGAATGTTATGTTTTATTTGCGGCTTTTCAATTGTTTGAAGAACATCGAAGCTCAATTTGGACTTAATTCTTGGAACAGCTTTTTCTATCGCTTTTGGTTTGGTTATTTGTACTAGGTTAAAGCCAGGTGAAAAGTTTGGCTTTCTAATCTTTTTGACCTTACCCATTTCAAGAAAATTCGTTTGTAGAAACGTGAGAAACTCGATCGAGATCATCAATGTCCAAGGAATACCGACAAAACAAATGATTAAAACGATCTAAAGAATAAACTTTGTGAAAATAGTGTCAAGCTGAACCTGACAAGTGGATATCAGCAAGAAATATCTTTTAATAGCCAAAGTTTTTGCACTTCTCATCGTTTTGATTACGAGTCGGCGATAATCGATGTGAAGGATGATCAGATTGACACTTGCGAGAACATAATTCAACGTCACCAATCCGACCACCAATTTTATCAATATCATTTGTGGTAGGTTGAATTGTTTTGAAAAGAAACCGGAAACTTCCATCGAGTTACATATGGGAAAGAGTCGGGCACAGATCTAAAATTGCTGTTAGTTTCGGATTCAAAAAAGTCTTTCTTAACCATGTTCACCTTACTTCAAAAAGATTTACCATCTTCTCATCGGCTACAATCAATCCTTCGAGATATCCAATCAAGAGAACCCCCGCCGTCGCAACTATACAAAACACGTAGCCACCAATAAAAATAACTTTCGACAACAAATTGATTCTCCTCAACCAAACTTGGCTGCTGCTTCCGTTAAGTTTATCATAGAAACCATAACCGGCGACAAGAGCAAAGAGTTGAACGAGGGCTACGGTTAGTGCCTGAAAATGATCTACTAATTTCAAGAACTTTTAGACTTTTAGATCTTCTAGAGAAACCCTCTATTATTTAACTGTTTAGTGGTGATTTAATGGGATAAAATGGAAGATCAAGCATTCTCCTTTATTAGAGAATGATCTTCGCAAAAACTGAACGCAGCTGAACCTTATAGTAATAATAAAATAAAATTATTTAAAAATAGCTTTTATAGTGGACTCACCGCTTCAGTCAACACCGGCTCGAGCCCCACAATTGGTCCAAGTACTATGACAACGAGATCTGGATGAAATGCTAATGGTTTCCCCAACGAGACTAGCAAATCGGCTATCCAGGCTATGATCTATATAAGCTTTAGAATTTTAGTCTAATAAGTTATATAAATTTTAAAGCGCAAACCAAATGTGCTGCTAGAATCCTCTGATATTTGGGTAAAGCCAGTGATTTTTTCGTGATTAGGAGATAAATTGTCAAGAAAAAGAGACAAGTATTGATGATACCAATGCAAGTATAACCATAACTGATATACGTCAGAAAGTCAATAGATGGGGTGAACATCGAAATATTAGAAGGAAAAGAAAAGAAGTGGTAATCAATTTCTCCTACCTCATATGATAAATTTGTTATTTCCCTTTAGAGTATCAGTACATGAATCCAAAACACCTGTTGGCCCCAACTTCTCCTGAATCAATTAATTTCATCCTTCAGCTTCGACAGAGAAAATTCATTATCCCCTGCCGATAACTTACAATTAGAACGGAGATGTTTTCCGCATTTCCGTGCCCGTGGAACAGCCTGTTCCAAAAAAAGCCCCCGACACAACAAATAGTTTTTTTTTGAAAAATTACACTTGGAGCTGATTCGGACATTATTGTCACTGATAAGATCACTGGTAAAATCACTGGTAAGATCAAGTCTAGGCTAGACTAGACTTAACGAGAACTTAACGATGAACGAAGCAAATCGACTATCACAAAATAGGACGCGTTGTGAGTATGGTCTTGCCGCATGTATTGGGTTGGGGAGAATGAGTCGGCGCCGAAAATGAAAAAAATGTCTAAAACTTCTATTCGACTTCGTCAAATAATATGCGTTTGATATCAGTAGAATGGTTAACTAATTCTCTACAAAATGACATTTAAAAGAAAATTCAAAAAGCGCCTCCGCTCAAGAAAAAGCCATTTTTGCACAAAAACTACAAACTGTCATCTAGAAAAAACCATTGGTGGGATCTTCCTGTAAATTTGGCAACTTAAGTAATTGAATGTGCTCTATCTTTTTTATATAAACACCAAAGAAGGTTTATGTGAAAGAAACTGTTCAAATGATGAGTCGGACTCTTTGCCATTTTAACCAGCTGCGTTTGGAAGTTCATAAACTCCACGAAAGAAAAGCTTTGTGGAATCTCTCAAAAGTGATTTTGTAGAGAAATAGTGGATCCTTTTGATGAAACCAAACGTATGTTTAAAGAAGGCTTTATGTGTGCAAAAAGTCCCTTTAAAGTTTGGCGCCGACTCATTCTCCCCAACCCAATAGATAAATTTCGAGATCATCCGCGCCTTTAATCCTCTTACATAGCTGATTGAAGACAGAATGAAGACATTCGAGACCTTCTTCTGACATAGACCCTAGCGTGTGCAAACGTGTGCTGCTTCACTCTTTGTTTTCGATCGTTTGCTTTCCTATTTTGCTGCGTTTCTTTGGTCGACTCATTTTTGGGTATCTGAAAAAAGAAACAATTATTATGACAAAATGATAAAGTAAGCTCGTAAAAAGAAGAAAAATGAACTAAAAAAAAGATTCTTTGCAAGCGCTCTTTAAGTAGTTTTTTTCCCCATGGGAGGGTTACGGTATTATCCACGTTTTAGGGCGCAGAAACTCGTCAAACGTCATTTTTGTCTTCAAAATGTTGTAACTTTTTTGTGAGTTGACCAATTAATACGATTTTGGTCTCAAAATGACCGCAGACAACATTTTGATAAAGTCTACTCCCTGGCCTTCCCTAATTTTTTGTTAACATCGAGTAGTGGAGGGCCAAATGCAAGTGAGTTTGGCCGTTTCTGTGTAAAATGAACGATTTTTTTGATAAAATGTGATTTTAAAAAAATCTACAGGACGGATTTTGATAATATTTTTTCACCATTGAATTCACCACATTTTTCTGCGTCAAATGGTTATTCAAACGTAAAAATCCTATAGAAAACAATTTTTTTGCCTTATTTCGCGAGGATGTGGGAGGGGGTCCTAGTCAGGGTAGTTCCTAATCAACAAATAGTATATAGCTTCTCCTGTTAACGTTACTTTGCCAAATTTTATCTAATTTTACAAATTTAGAGATGCGAAACGTTGACGAGAGAGACGGTAAAGGACTCCCAAGAGCAGTTCTCTTTGGAATAGGTGCTCTTGCTGCGATCATTATGGTTCTGATTGTGATTGTTGTTATCATTACTCATCGCCACAGAGATCAATAAAGCATTTTATCAATTTAAAGGATTCAATCGCTCTTAAAGACATCATAAGACAAATCATAAGACATTTGAATCTGATTAGAGAGAAGCAGAATACTTTCATTGATTGAAAATCCACAAAGCAGCAAAATATCACAAAACATTGCAAAAAAGAAATTCGAGGAAGTGTGCCATCATTTCTCGACCCTGTCAGTTAAAATAACGTCTGTCCAATTCATATTTTTCTTGCGAAAGAAAATTATTTTTTTCATTTCGAAATTGCTAAATGGCCATTTAGCAATTTCTAAATGATAAGCGTCGTGGCGCTTTGTCTGCAAAACTCAAAAAAATGGTACTTTAGCGCTTCAACTAATTATAGAGCCACTCTGATTCTTTCTTTGTAGTTGTTTTTTTACATTTTCCATTTATTTATTATTCAATTGACTTTACTTTATTAAGTTATTTTAAAGTAATGGCAAGAGAGAAACACTCTCGGACTTCGAGAAAGGACAGCTCGAATCCAGTAAACATGCTGGAAAGAGTAATCCGGAAATTGCTCGACTTCTGGATCGACTTTTGCGAACAAAGCGCCACGACGGTTAGCAACTTCTGAGCTGATTTTTTAACTCTAATTTAATCTCAAACTTGTTTGTCAGATTCCTTGCGTTTCAGAAACATTTTGCAAAAACGATAGCAGCATTGAAGTCGGAAGTTCTGTGTGTAATTCTGTGTATTTCCGTTCCCGGAACGAAGAAAATGGAAAATTCTCGTTTCCATCCAAATTCCCGAAAATTCATTCCCGAAGACTCCCGGTTCCCATCGACAATACCCGTCAACAATAGCGGCCATCTACTCGTCATGACGTGATCAATTAAAAGATTTCATATAACTTATTGTAAAGTCAAAATAGAAGTTTGCCTGTTCTTTTGTCTGTTTGTTTGCCTCAAACTTGTTTTTTCTCGCGATCTCTCACGTTTCCGAATCATTTTGCAAAAACGAATACCAGCATCGGAATCAGCGTAAGATTCTGCGTATGGCTTATGTAATTTAGCCACCTCAGCCTTGTGACCTTCCCCTGTAGAAACGAGGAAATCGAGGAATGAGAAATCGGATTAGAAATGAGTTAGAATCAAATTCGACCCGAAAAAAGCTGATATCGGATAATCTAGTAGATCGGCAACATTTCTACATTTTACAGTATTGACGCATGTTGATCCAATGCTCACTCAGGAATGAACTATGTAGGTATCATGTTTTGACGGCTCTATTCAAAGCGATTCGGGATCTCTCTCTTTTCAACTATTCAATAAAGGTTATACTAATAACAAAAGATGATTTATCTAGACACTCCAATCATTCAAAAATTCAAAAACATTCAGCACTATCTATTGTAGCTGAACAATAAAGCTTCGAAAAATAAAAATATTTTCCGCTTTGATTCAAAATATTATAAAAGCACTTCCTCGACTCATCGAAACTCCATCAGATTTTTTTCAATTGTTTGCTTGTATTTTGTATATCTTTTCAGCTCGATAAATAAACTATAAGATATATGCATAGGTTAACTACTTTAAAACCACCAGAAACTCACAAGGGAACGACACGAGCTCGACGTTGAGAATCGCTTCGTGACCAAGCGCCTCTTATAGAACCGGCTATGCTGATTTTGAATCTGTAAAGCTTAGCTGCAAACACTCACGCAATCGCAGGGAATCTGGCATAGAGGCTTCCCTTAAATTTCGGGCTCTTCATGGGGCCGCCACAAAGAAACTTTTCCGCGACTTTGGTGGCCTAGTGGATACTCTGCTAGCCTACGGAACTTATGAAGATTTTTTGCTTGGGTTCGAATCCTCCCCAGGCTGATTTTTTTTGCTTTTTTGGAAAGCCCTTTTTTTTGAAGCTTTTTATATTAAATATTTATGTTTTATGCACCCTTTTACAACTTTTAAAGGGATGAAATTTGTTTATAGAGTAATTATGGAGTTCGTATACATTTTTTCTTTTTTTTATACACCAGGTTCTGAACCTGGTGTTATTCCCTTGTCAGCTAACAGGAGGGTTTGAGATGGAGCTGGGTAAGGCAAAAAGGCAAAAAGCGTTAGCTGAACAGTCTAACTAGTTTAACTCTAACTTCTTTGATTAACCTCGTTACCTTGTTAAACCTTTCAGGTCAAACTATTTCAAAAATGTATCGTTCTCTCCTCCTCGTCTTCTCAGCATGCATTCTCAGCTCTGTCGCTCAAAAGGGAATCCTCGATGTCGGCAAAGATATCCAGAAAATCGTCGATGAACTCTCAACCGATTATGGGGTGGTTGTGACGAACAATTGCTCAAATTCGATTTATCTGAAATGTGCCTCGGCCGATGACGCGATTACAGGCGATGGCTCAGATGATGACGACTGGTGGACACTTGAGAGCGGAGATGTAAGCGGACCAGGCACTTTACTGACAAACCTGTTAACTATCGTCTAGACTCTCAGCTGGGGATTCAAGGACAACGAGCTGGGGACAACGTGTTTCTGGTGTTACGCTAACAATAACGGTCAAGATGCACGCGATTCGGGCAATTGGTACATTCATCAGAATGTTTGGGGACACGGAAAGTGAGTCGTAAGGCTTAGGCTTAGGCTTAGGCTAGACGTTTAACAGAGCTCATCGGTAAGAACAGTTTAGTCTTAGAAATAATAATGGGTAATCGATTTCAGCACCGGCTGCGACGGAGCGCCGGGAAATAACGCAGGTGTCGATGATAACGGACTGACGGAATGGGAGGTGCGTGACGATGGAATGTATTCGAATATGTGTGGCGAGTGTCAAGATGGAAGCGTTTTCGAAAAATACTCTGATTGGGGGCCATCGCCATAAGTCTCGCACAAATGAAAATGTTTGCACAAAGTTTCCCCAAACAAACCAGCTTTAAATAAACTTTTTGGTATGTTCACTGTTGAATTATAAACACCCACAAAGCGGCTACATCGATATTCAATAGAAGACATACTCAATAGACATAAAAAACATTAATTCACACTTGCTTTTTCAAATTTAAGGTACCTGGAGAGAAGATGAGAATTAAATTGCAAAAGAATAAGAGTTTGCAAATGTTGCAGGGTAGAAATTTTCAACGGAGTCGGTTTACATAGTATGCTACCTGGAGTACAGAATTCGGTCAAACACCAATGCAACCATGTGGGCAATTGGACTTCACATCGGCTGATTGAGCTAAACGGTCACTCTCGGGCAAGAGGGTGACTGAAAAGTTCTGTCCGCATTAATGGACGTGTCTTTATAACAAAACTCCGTCGAAATAGAGCAAAATAGGGCTCAAATTTAGAAATTTAAAAATCTAAAGATTTTCTGTCGGCGGTTTTCCGTAGTTGAGAGTTTTGATTGTCATTCTTTTTGCTTCCTGAAAAGATATTAGAAATATTAGAGATCAAGAGAATGAAAAAAAGACCTTTTAAGAATGATGAAGACATAAAATTCCATTGTTGCCTCATTCAAACTGATCCCATTCTCCGATTTCATCCGCGCATCAAACGCCATTCCGAACGAGCCGGCCACAAGTCTTTCGAACAAATCTATTCTAAATATTGTTGGCAATTCACGTTTTAAAGCCTTCTATTCAACAAACTGTTTATGTTCCCGAACGTTAAATCCGAAAACTTGGCTTCGCATCGCTCGCTAAGCTAAGCTCGCTGCAGCAGCCAGCTTGTTTAGCTGGCTAATGCAGCGAGCTCTCAATAAAAGTCTTCTTTGCCTTTGAAAGAGCTCAAGTGTTTAGTTTAATAAAAATGACATAATGACCAGTTAATCCAGTTAATTAATGGGGATAAAAGAGTTTTTTGTAACCTAAATTCCTTGTGATTCACGCATTTCTTTCCATGATTTCTTGTATCAGAAAATCAAATGACGTCACTCGCCTCATCACCTCTCATCTTATCAAAATATCAATATTTCCTTTCCCCGATCTTTCTGTTTTCCAAATTCTCTTTTCCGACTTTCTATGGCTCAAATCTTTCCGCTAACCGAGGAAGATGTTTGTGGAATCTTAGCTTTTCACTCAATTTCTTTTTGTGTTTAGAAGAAGTACTACAGAGCTTTACTAACAAGAAGTGCCCTATCTGGAATCTTCTACCCATTCACCACCGCCAGAACACTTATTCAAGTTTGCATTCCTATCCGATAATATTGGGTTGGGGAGAATGAGTCGGCGCCAAACTTTAAAGGGACTTTTTGCACACATAAAGCCTTCTTTAAACATACGTTTGCTTTCATCAAAAGGATCCACTATTTCTCTACAAAATGACTTTTGAGAGATTCCACAAAGCTTTTCTTTCGTGGAGTTTATGAACTTCCAAACGCAGCTGGTTAAAATGGCAAAGAGTCCGACTCATCATTTGAACAGTTTCTTTCACATAAACCTTCTTTGGTGTTTATATAAAAAAGATAGAGCACATTCAATTACTTAAGTTGCCAAATTTGCAGGAAGATCCCACCAATGGTTTTTTCTAGATGACAGTTTGTAGTTTTTGTGAAAAAATGGCTTTTTCTTGAGCGGAGGCGCTGTTTGAATTTTCTTTTAAATGTCATTTTGTAGAGAATTAGTTAACCATTCTACTCATATCAAACGCATATTATTTGACGAAGTCGAATAGAAGTTTTAGACATTTTTTTCATTTTCGGCGCCGACTCATTCTCCCCAACCCAATAGTATCTACTAGACATAGGAAGATTCCAACCCGAATCTATTTTCACCTTCTTTCTCTCGGCCAATTGCTTTGAAATTTTGTCTACAGATAGATCGCTACAGATCGCTTTTTTGAGCAATCGAGCAATTCAAGCAAAGCAAAATTTCAGAGCAATTGGCCAAGAAACGGCCGAGAAAACAAAGGTGGAATTGGGTTCGGCTTGGAATTTTCCCATGTCTAGTATCTATCATGTCAAAAAATTAACAATACGATTTATCTATAACTGACCGCTTTTTGCTACTTTGTTCGTCCCATGAGAGAGTTGAAGCTCAAACTTAAAAACTGACTTGACTATCTAAAACCCTAACAATAAGATGATCATGAAAACAATTTTCTTTCTGGGACCAGTTCTCTAGAATTATCCAAGCCGGATTCATCTAACTTGAGATAATACTCAAATATTCCAGCTTCCTATTTCAGCTGGGCCACAGTCCTTTTACCATTTCGACAAGTCCCATCTTCTTCTCGTTAGGCTTCGAATGGAAAGCAATCAGATATGGTGAATTGCTTCGCAAATTCAATCAATCATTTATCTGATTTCCAGCAAAACAACTTGCTTATGCCAAGGGCGTTTGGGCTCTTTGGTCTGGATTTGAACCGTTTGCTCTTTCCTCGATTGTCAGTGGAGTAGCTAGTTATAGTTTTGGAAAGGTAAGATAACTTGTTCCGTAGACTGTACTTTCGAGTTGGTCTATCAATATTTATCAATACTTATCAATACCAAGGTTTTCTCGGGCCACTGTAGAAGCAAGCAGCTTACTTTTTGACTATTGATGTCTGTAATGGTCACCCCGACCATTACAGACATCAATATACGTTTTTCTGAATTAAAAAACATACCGTATTTTCTCTAATAGTAGTGCACCCTGGGCCTCGTCTAAATTGCTCGAAATCTCGAGAACCGCTTATCAGAACCTATCGGTGTGGGGTCGGAAAATGTAGCTGACGATGAGATCTAGTGGGGATTAGAGTGTCGAGCTTCTGCAAAAGCTTGGAAACCGTAAAATAGTCATCAACTCGGCGGGGTGCACTACTATTAGAGAAAATACGGTCTATTGATTTTAGGTGGTAGGTATTGATAAGTATTGATCAAACCTGTTATTGACAAAGTATTATGAGCCAAGTCTACCGTGCTTCTCTTTTAGTACCTCAATACGCATTACCCAGATGTTGGTGGACCAGTGGATTTTAACGGAAAGGAAGAAAGGGTGAGTTTTAGACAACCAGAGAAATTGAAAGAATATAGAGTGAAGAACACTTATTGCTCATTATTTGGGTTGAAATTTTAAAACAAATCAAAGTTGAAAAACGTTAGAATAAAAACGGTGTTTATTGATCTTTCCAGAGTTTGACTGACCATGAATCTTTTCGTCGCACGCTCCGTTCAGCCATTCGAAGTTCCATTGTTCAGGCATTTTCTCTCGCATGTTCTCGAGCACTCACAGGTATTCTTTTCAGACAGATTCCAACTTGAAGCTTAATATGTGTTAGAAGAAATACTTGTTTGCATTGAAAGTTGTGTTTGTAATAATGTGGTATCAATCGGAAGGAGGGAATAGTTTGTTCTTGGAAATTGATCTACAGGGTGGCTAGTAAGTATTGTCGCGTGCTTGAACGCGTGTTACTTCTCGAGGTTAATTCCAAATCTCATGAGTAAAATACCAAAATGTTGCTAAGAGTCTAGGCAATCTAAATATATGCATGGATTTTTGATATATTTAATTTGAATCTATGCAATGACTGTGAAAGATCTGATTGCGATTCTCTTGCAATTTCTATTGCAATTCAAAAAAGGTACTTTGCCCTGCTCGTTTTTTTTAAAAGTTTAGTGCAAAAGATGGTACTTTTCCGTTATACATCCGCAAAAATAACCTCTGATCATTTAATAATCAAAAATCGATCAATTTAACCAAAATCAAAAATAATAAAAATAAAGATCCCTCATGTAGTTGTTGAAGTCGACCGCGGTGTTGTGATTCATCTCCAATTCTTCCGCACAATAGTCGATCGAGGTTCACTGTTGAGTTCATCCATAGATGAGTCGTAGGATTATGAGAAACGGAGTTTTGGTGTCCTCCATCCATGAGCCAACACGCAGGCCGATCGCTGTCCGACACCACGTTTTGTCAAATCTCCATCGGGGATTCTGATTGAGCGATAACTTCATAAAGTGATGGTTGGTGCATGTGCGAGTAATAAGCAAGATGTGGCTTTGTTGAAAGAACAAGATTGCATCGACCTCGGTAGTCGGTAAGCAAAACATGAATCCAAGTCAGGAAATAGCAAAAGAATCAATTTTCTGTGGTTTTCTTTGTTCATTTTCATGGAAGGATGCAAATTTTGCGGATGTATAACCGAAAAGAACCGATCTTTTTGAACTTATTTCAATGGAACTTTAGATTTCCAAAAAAACGTTTATAATCTCGGATTTGCTGATGGAAATTTGAATTTTGGAAGTAGACTGGTTATTTTTTTTGTGGGTGAAAGAGTTTGACCGAGATCTTGGAGATCTAAGAAGCCAAATTTCATAGTTCGTGTCGTTCAAAATTTGAATCATCAATTGAATTTGAGAAATGGTTTTATCCAAGTTCGAAATTGAACAACTTCTTCGAACCTTACAATGTGCTGCTTTTGTGCTTTTCACTTAAACAACTAACTATTGTAGTTTCGGAATTGTAGTATAACGGCAATGATCGAGGGTTTATTTTTGCGGTTATATAACGGAAAAGAACCCAAAAAGATTTTTGTGAAGAATGCTCAGAAGAGCAAAAGTGCAGAAGTCACAAAAGCAAAAGTGCATGAAATTTTGGTAACAATTTCTTTTTTAAAGTTAAAAACCGGGTGTGTAAGCTCACATTTGCTTTGCTTTTTTTAATGAAAGCCGTAAAGAATATTACGATTTTTTAAAATCAAATTTTTGAATCAAAATCCAAATTATTTCAGTAAGGAAACATTTAGGGTAACATTTTGAAGCAAAATTTGAAAACTTAACTAAATAAATAAAAATTCTACTTGCATGAGAAGTTTAGAATTGACCTCGGGAAAAGCGCTTTTTTTGAAAAGCACAAGAATCGCAATAAAATCTTTCACAGTCATTTCTCAAAAATCCATGCATATATTTCAATTCCCTAGACTCATAGCAAAATTTTGGTCTATGATCTTATTCTTTTCACTCTAGTTGTTCATATCCGGCAAGTGGCTCAAATCGTGAGCGGCGAGACGAAATATCACTCTGCTCTCCAAGCACTCCAACTCGTCGGAATTGAGGAGGGACCGATAGGATTTTTTCGGTGGGAAACCGAAAGATCAACTTTTTATGTTTGAGCTAAATAGTTTAGCGGGCTTGCCACGCAAATTATCGGCGAGCTCGTGATGATTTGGGGTTTCCATTCAGTCGTCTACCTCACCGAACGTCTACTTGTTCGCTCGGGTCTCGCGGCAAAGGCGGTTGAGGATAAGCGAAAACAAGAGGTTTGGCGTAAACAAAGACTTCCCTCATTTCCCTCACAAGCTCTCTGAAGCTAGAGCTAGCGCATATCTGTCAACTCCTAGTGAATAAGAGGTACTAGTCGGCTCTAGACTTCGCTCATCCGAATTCAGCTGTGCATCAGCTATACTCCCATTATTTTACACACCAACCTATCCAGATCCAGAAAAATCCATCCAACGGCGGGTTTTTCTGGATGTTTTGCGGATGCACGGCTTTTGTCGCCGTGGATCAGTGGATAGCGTGCCGGTCTATCGCCCATACGATCGGGGTTCGACCTCCCTGTGCGACTCGAATTGTGCTTTTTAAAAAATCCAAAAGCACGTTGCACAACTACATGTAATTCCCTATTCAACGGCGCAAAGATCATTGCAAACTGTCCTCAGGGGGCTGAGGAGTAGCGCGCGCAGACAGGCAGACGGACAGACAGACGGACAGACAGACGGACAGACAGACGGACAGACAGACGGACAGACATGCGCGTAGTCCCTTAATATTGGGTTGGGGAGAATGAGTCGGCGCCGAAAATCAAAAAAATGTCTAAAACTTCTATTCGACTTCGTCAAATAATATGCGTTTGATATCAGTAGAATGGTTAACTAATTCTCTACAGAATGACATTTAAAAGAAAATTCAAACAGCGCCTCCGCTCAAGAAAAAGCCATTTTTTCACAAAAACTACAAACTGTCATCTAGAAAAAAACATTGGTGGGATCTTCCTGCAAATTTGGCAACTTAAGTAATTGAATGTGCTCTATCTTTTTTATATAAACACCAAAGAAGGTTTATGTGAAAGAAACTGTTCAAATGATGAGTCGGACTCTTTGCCATTTTAACCAGCTGCGTTTGGAAGTTCATAAACTCCACGAAAGAAAAGCTTTGTGGAATCTCTCAAAAGTCATTTTGTAGAGAAATAGTGGATCCTTTTGATGAAACCAAACGTATGTTTAAAGAAGGCTTTATGTGTGCAAAAGTCCCTTTAAAGTTTGGCGCCGACTCATTCTCCCCAACCCAATATATAGTCGATAAACAGACTTTCAGGGAATTAGTGCAAGTACGATAAGCTACAAGATTTTTGGGAAAACATGCTCAGGAACCCACGAAGGAGCTTGACTATGCTCACTGTCAGTTGTCTGCTAGATGATGAGGCCATAGCTGGGGCTATTGAAACAGACTAGTACCAAAAATTGCTAATATTACTTCTCAAGCACATAAACTCTATTTAGAATTGACACAGAACAATATTTAGGAGTTGAACGTCATTCGCGGATGTGTTTACTCGTTTTTTCGTCATTTGTTGACTCCATTATCCTTTTCCTATTCAAGGATTGCTACTGTGTTGGCCGTCCCCGGGACTGCTCACTCAAGAACGAACTAAAAAGTTCACAAAATTTATAAAACCAAATTTCCTTTTAATTTTTTGTATCACATTGAAACAAACAAACAAACAATTTATTCTATTTGATCTCCGTGAAAGCAATTCTGTTTCCATTATCATGATCAACCAACAAAAACAAACATTGAAAGTTTCAGGTTCTTAATTCTCCGGTGAAATGGTTAGTTGTTTAAGGTTAAGGTTAGTTGTGGTTAACCCAATTCGCCACATATACTAGCTATGTATAACTTTTTTTAGTATTCACAGTTGATTGACCATATATTATACATATTTATTTTAAATATTCAGAGTAAACAAGTATTTAGATTGAATCAGACAGTATCCACCCAAAATAAGAATATAAAATAAAGACTTTTCTAGACTTTTTGTGCGTTCAAACCTAGCAGCTTTAATCAAATATCGGAAATCAAATAATTTAAACGAGTTGTTTTTGCTTAAATTGCTCATGTTCTTGGGTTCGTTGTGCTAATAAAAGTAAATGAATGAGGAGAAATGACAAAAGAAACGATTGAAACCAAGAAAAAGTTAAGCATATAAGCAAAGACACACGCAATAAGCACGCAAGGAGATTTTAAGTAGCTGCACAGCAAGCACCCCAGCTAGTAAGCACCCCAGCTAGTAAGCAAGCACCCAGCTAGTAAACACCCCAGCTAGTAAGCAAGCACACAGCTAGTAAGCAAGCACCCAGCTAGTAAGCAAGCACCCAGCTAGTAAACACCCCAGCTAGTAAGCAAGCACACAGCTAGTAAGCACCCAGCTAGTAAACACCCCAGCTAGTAAGCAAGCACACAGCTAGTAAGCACCCAACTAGTAAACCCCATCCATTGTATTTATTAGCACAATTAACTTGAGCACAAAAGTAAATTTAAGCACAGAAGCATGAAGCAATCAAGGCAATTTTCAGAAATCAAACCCCGATTTTCATCTTTAACCGTGAACTTTTTGATCGGAGAAATCGAAAGAGATAATGTTTAGCTGAAAGAAATTTCTTCGTCTGGAACTAATCAATTAAAACTTTTTCCGATCTTTTGCACTGTACTATTGTTATATTTAGCCCTTTTCAATTTCGCTGAACTATGAGCAAATGAGTCAAAGTTATTTTCTTCGAATTCCCGTTCATTTCACGCCGCATTGCACGGCCACAATAGCGTGAAAATTTAAGAAAATCATTAGTGCAAAGGTTTTCTGTTTTCTGTAATAATATAATTGAATATAGAACGTCCTCTGTTTTGCACTCAGTCAATGCCTATAACTCTTGAACTTACGGCCAGAATCTCTGATTGAGCCATTAGAAAAGCCGTAATCAGATTTGGATCAAACTCCATTCACTTGAACTTATTTCCTTTTTTACATTCGACTTCAGCTCCTTTAGTATTGAATCGAAAAACCCTTCTCAACCTTTAAAATTTTTGTCGCCTAATCTTTAGCCCATAAGATTTTGACTTTTTGACTCGGAAAAGTCGAAATCTTGACTATTTAGATCGTCAAAAAAAGTTCTCAAAAGAAGAAATTCAGAAAAATGACCGTCGCCGATCGCCACATGTCAACGGTTCACTCAATTATTCAATTCGGCAGCTCGACGGCTGTCGTCGCCAATTGTCTCTTGGTGTTTTTAATCGCTAGACACAGGTGAAGAAGTGACACTTTTTTGAACCCGAGCAACCAGTTGTGCCAAAACTCTTTTCGTACTTTTTCAATTTACTCCCGCCAATACGCCGTGCAAACAGCTTTTCGCTCTTTCCACAAATAAAAAACTATTGTGTGGCTTGGCTTGGCGTTCAAAACTAGTAGAGCTAATCCATTGATTATAGGCTAATCCATTATAAACAATCTAACTCCCGGTAGATTGTTCCAAGTATATTTTTATAAAAGAAAGAAATACGAGTATTGTATATGTCGCAGCCGCTCGTGATTTTCAGCCGCTAGTGATTGAATCACCAGCGGCTGAAAATCACGAGCGGCTGCTACATATATAAAATAACTCTCTTCATTGAACTTGTGACTGGATCAATTTCTGAAAAAAACTGAAACTTGTTCCTCTATTCAGCAACTGCTTTCGCTTCATTCTTCGAAATTACGTTTTCCGTTTTCCGAAAGATCGATTTATGGTCTTTTCCCGTTAGAATCTTTTATAACTTTTTAAATAATCTGAGCAAATTAGTATAAAGAAGCGAAAGACAAATGAAAAATTGAAACCCTAATTTTTGACGGATAAGAAAGCGGAGTATTACAATATACAGGGTGTCGCAGCAGTTCCCGGACTGGTTTTTAGTGCGTCAAAAAAGTTGCTTAGTCAGTGGCTTTGTCTTTTATTTGGTCTTTTTCATGTTTTTTGATCTTTTAATTATTAAATTGTAAAGACATTTGGCCCTCGAACGGCCTCGATTTGAATCCGCTTGACTTCCCCATTTGGTCCATTGTGGAAGAGAAGATTTCTCAGAAAAAGATTCGTTCGATTGAGAATTTGAAAGCAGCTTTGAAACGAGCCTGGGAGAGTATCACCGTTCAACAATGTGCGACCATTATTAAGAACTTCCAAAAAAGTCTGAAGACATGCATTGAAGCTGATGGTGGAAATTTCGAAGAATTTTTGTAATTTATTTGTTTTCAAGGTCCCAATAAACTATTTTGTTAAGAAAAAAACTCCAAATACTCGAAGTTGACGCTTTTATATTTATTGCTTTTATTTGCAAACCAGTTTGAGAACTTTTGCGACACCCTGTAGTTGTAAAGAAATATTCTTTGCGTGCTCTTCACTCAAGACACGTTATTTCTTGTTTCGAGATATCTGATCTCACTTGAACTAAGATACTTTATTCATTCCAAAAATTCCGATTGACTCGGAATTTTTGGGCTCTCACTTGAGCAATTTCACACAAAATCGACAATTGAATTGAATTGAATTAAAAGCGACGATAAAAACAGCAACAATTTCGTCCTAATTAGGACATAACTTTCACACGATGAAAGGAAATCAGAAAAAAGTAAAAAACAATAAAAACAAATGAATAACAGTTGCATTATATAGGCTTTAACAGAGATATTCAGCTAACAAGCTACAAAACAATAAATGATTTGGGGCGCGAAATAGAATGAAGGCGCACGGATTTCCGCAATACTTATCCAATTTTTAGGTTGTCAGAGTTAGGTAACTTTTTAGTGGCTATTCGCCACAGTAGTATACAATATCAAAGAAAGAAGGATTTCTCCCAATTTCAGTCGTCCTGAATTCGGTCGCTACAAGTATTTGATGATGCTGTTCGCGACGTTCAACATCATTTATCTCATCGTTCACTTGTCGCTAATGCCGGTTCGTTTGTTGTTGTTAAATTTGGACACGCCGATCCTTTTATGGATTGAAGCTGGGAATACAAGACATGGTCGGCACGGGGATTCAAGCCCGTGACCTTATCCGGCGAACCCACTACCGAGCGAACGCTCGACGAACGAGCTACACTGACACGTCCCATTGCTGCCAGGGCAATGGGAAGTGTCGGTGCCTTCCATTAAGGTCATATCATAGGTATGAGAGATGGGATCGGCCTGTCGATCCCATCTCTAATGGACTTTAACATTGGACTTTAACCTTGGACTTTAACCTTGGACTTTAACTCATAGAATTCTTATCTTTGAAATCTTTCAAAATATTCGTAGACTAGTACTCTAGTCTTGCAAAGGTACTCTTAAATCATACAGTACTGGACAATGAAATATCATATTTGAAAAGCGATCGTCACGTTTGCACGTCTGTAACTTCCTTGTCTTTGAGTTTAAACTATTAGTGTTATACATTTTCTGAAAGCTCTTTTCATGGGCTACACAATGGTAATATTAATATTTAGAAATACCGTATTTTTGACGCATTTCAGCGCGCGCCAAAGTGACGATTGTTTTTCAAATATGATATTTCATTGTCCAGTACTGTACCTAATACCTTTGTAAAAAGTGATAAGTCAAATGATCCAAAGTAGTCACAGAGTATGAGCTCAAGATCTGGAGATCTCGATTCGATTCGGTTCAAAAAAATTTCCAGCTTCGACTTTCAAGCTTCGGACATCAAATTTTGAAATTCGTCCATGTCTAATACATAATTTTCTTTAATATTTCAGGGTCTCCACGTGGTCGGTAACGCGTTCGTTTTCTATGTGGCCAAATATTCTCCGTTAAGCGGATATGTCAGTCAAACTGTTGGACAGGTTTCAATCTATTAATCTATTTTAAGGCGTTAAGAACGCTTACAGTACTTGATTCTCTATTGGGTGGTTCTCTACGATAAACAGCTCGTCTTGATCGTTTTCCACTTTCTTTATCGATATGTGGTTGTGTGTCGGTGAGTGTAAATGAGTGCCGGGGGTAGAGAGGCGAAAAATCTTCATTAGCCAATATTATTTATAGGATCAATAACAAATTCAAGAACTTAAACCAAAAAATAAGTCAAAATATTCTTTTGAAAACAAGGAAAGCCTAACCCCATTATAATTCCCCATTTAATATGAAAATCCCCTTATATATTTCAGTATATTGTATATTTCATTTTAAAAATCTTATTTTATCTTGGAGGAATTCCCAAAAGCCGTTTACTATCGAGGTTAACCTCAATCAAAGTGACACTAAAGTGCTTTTTGCCGGCGTTTTCTGGAACGTTTTTCTGACTCCTGACTTCCTTCCTGACTTTGAAATAACGTAAAAACATGAATGGGAAACATGAATTGAACCCTCGACACACTTCTGACCTTCTGCCTACCGAGCAGATGCCTTACCACTGACTAGGAAACGGTTTGAACATACCACCGATTTTCGAAATCGGACCTAGTTAGACTCTGAAACTTATGCCATTTTTGCTTGCGAATTCAATTCCGCTTGCCGCCAAATTTTTCTCCCGTAGAATTCTGCCTATCGGGCAGATGCTTTACCACTGACTAGGGAACTGTTTCAACAAACCGATTTCAACATACCGATTTTCGAAATCGGACCTAGCT